CAGCTCAAGGCTAGCGCTCTACCACTTGAGCTACAGCACCACTTCCAGTTTTTCTGAGTGGTTTATTGGAGATGAGAGTCTCATGGACTTTTCCTGCCCAAGCTGGCTTTGAACCGTGACCCTCAGACCTCAGCCTCCTGAGTACCTAGGATGACAGGTGGGAGCCACCAGTGCCCAACTTTAACAATGCTTTTTAATAATGTTCTGAACAGATGTGGTGGTGCAAACCCTCAGTTCTATCTCTGAGAGAGTGAGGCAGGCAAGTCACAAGTTCAAAGCCAGCCTGTCCTAGATAAAGACCAAACAAACAGAATAGAATGATATGGCATAATCCACCATAGCCCCTTCTCCTCCCCCTGCCAGATGCCCTGGTGGGTCTTCCCTGGAGAATGGGACAGAGCACACCATGGCCGGTGGCACCTCGGGACGGGGTCCCCCTGGAGGTCTGTGGCGTGGATTTCTGCTCCTGTGAGTTGTGAGTCTGTCTGCACCTGTCCTGTCCTCTCTGTACTGCTGGGGCTGCTGTTTGTCCACAGCCTTGCTTCTCAGACAGACAGGTCTAGCACAGCCTTGCTTCTCAGACAGACAGGTCTAGCACAGCCTTGCTTCTCAGACAGGTCTAGGAGTTATTGGTACTTCCATGTTGTTTCCTTCTTCTTACTTGTTGTTAGGACAGAGTGTCTCTACTAATGATCTTTTCTGCATGCCACCTGCTCCCTGCTGAGATCCCGGCTGCCAACACAATTGGTACCAGAAGGGGTCCCCACAGACACACGCGTCTGTGGGGCGGTAGGGGGCACTGCTCACAGCTGGTGGGCATGCCAAAGGCAAGTGGAACTCTGGGACTCTGCTGCACAGAGACCATGTTTAGGGTGCTCACCTCGCATGCATGAAGCCCTGGGTTCGATTCCTCAGTACCACATACACAGGAAAAGCTGGAAGTGGCTCTGTGGCTCAAGTGGTAGAACCCTAGCATTGAGCAAAAAGAAGTTAATAGACAGCACCCAGGAAAAGCTGGGTCAGGGGTCCAAAGACACAAAAGCTGGCAGAGTGCAGGTTCAGCAGGCAAGGGGAAGAAATGTGTAAGTCCCTGGTTTTCTCTCTGTGTAACATCCCCCCTCCTCCTCGCCCTTTCTCTCTCTCTCCCTTTCTCTCTCTCTCTTTCTCTCTCTCTCTTGCGGGCACGCACACACGCGCATGCATGCCAGCTTTCCTTGACTTTTGATAGCAACCTCCAGCCTAGCTCCCTGAGGCTCAGGGTGGACGTGTCTGCTTCTTACAAGTGCTTTTAACTTCACTTACACCCTTCCAAACAATCATTAAAGACTCTTTTTCCTTTTTTAAAATTGTGTTTATAAAGATGATGTGCAGGGGTTACAGTTACATAAGTCCATTAAAATACTTTTAACTACACTTCAAAGTGTGACATCTCTGACCTCTGAATTCTTACTTTTTTTGGGTCCAGTCCTGGGCCTGAACTTGGGCCTGGGTGCTGTCCCTCAGCTCTTCAGCTCAAGGCTAGCGCTCTACCACTTGAGCCACAGCGCCACTCCCGGCTTTTTTCTTTTTGCTTATGTGGTGCTGAGGAATTGAACCCAGAGCCTTATGCATGCAAGGCAAGCGCTCTACCACTGAGCCACCTTCCCAGCCCTGAATTCTTACTTTTGATAACATATTTTTTGCTGGGGACTTGTAAGTGGACAATCACATTAATGACAAGTAGTTTCTTCCTTTGCCTATTGTTTTGGTCAGGTCTTTTTTCTATAAATTTGTGAGGTGTTTTGGCAAATTTCGGCAGCAATTCTGTCATACATATTGGAGATGTTTTCTGTTTGCCACTTTTTTATGTCACTGGGGATTTAATTCAGGAAGGTGCTCTACTGCTTGAGCTATGCCCCCAGCCCCTTTCTGCACTGGTTATTTCCAAGGCAGGGTTTTGCTTTATGACCAGGCTGATCCGGGTGTGATATCCTACATGTGCTTCTTTGGTAGCTGGAACAAGAGGCCTGCTCCTCCTCAACCAGCCATTGATTGAGATGGAGTCTCAAAACCTTTTTGCTTGGGCATTGGTGACTCATGCCTGTAATCCTAGCCACTCAGAAGGCTGAGATCTGGGAATCTTGGTTTGAAGCCAGGCAGGGCAGAGAAGTCCCTGTGAGACTCTTATTTCCAATGAACTACCACAAAACCGGAATAGAGCTATGGCTTAAAGTGGTAGAGTGCTAGCCTTAAGCAAAGGAGCTCACGGACACTCTCCAGGCCCTAAGTTCACATCCTATACTGAAAAACAAAAAACAGAAAACTTCTTTCTGCCTGGGCTGGCCTCAAACCATGATCCCCTGATCTTCACCTCCCATCGATGATAAGCTTGAGCCACTGTGCCAGGCACTAACCTTTTATTACTGAGAGAAAACCTGTAATCTATCAAAAACGCACAGATCCTAAGCACATGGTTGGCTGGGTTTTGGTAAAGCTATACACTGGGGTGACCATTGCAGCTGAGGAAGGTTGGTGGGATTTTAAGTAACTGCTACAGGCTGGATGTGGATGTCCCCAAAGGCCCGTGGGTTGAAGATCAGTCTGCTGGACACTGGAATGGGGCCAGTATGGAGTGGGTGGAAGGTGTTGACCTCCCTGAGGAGGTCTGGCCTCCAAGGGGGAGGGGGAGGCCCACCCTGACCTTTTCCTTCTCTTTTACCTCCCGTTGCCGTGCAGCACACGTTTGCCCCACTGCATGCTCCCTGCCATGGTATGCTGCCTTATCACAGCCCACAGAGCCTCCAGAGGAATCAGCTGAGAGACGCTCTAGCCAGATGAGATTTTACACCATCTAAGGCCATCCTCAGAGTGCCATCCGACCACATTTGCCAGTTCTGTTGTTTGGAAGCAAGCATAGGCCCTGTCCACACTCCAGAAGAGAGGACTGTATGAGGACATGAACACAGGACGGTGAGGACAAAGACCCTCACAGAGTGGGCACTGAATCTAGTGCTCAGAGGAGGTCCTGGCAGGAGAGGTGCTCAGCACACAGGTGACTCTCGATGCCACAGGTCTGGAGATCACTGAGAATGTGGGTGGACAGGGGTCCAGGGGACCCTGCTGCATAATTACCTGCTAGTAAGAGGGAAGGAAGATGTGGTCTTTGAGATGAGAGGGAACGAAGAGAACATGCATCCCAGGTGGGTGTGAAGAGCCATTGTAGAAGGAATGTCCAAGGTGGTATTGCAATGTCATACGTGGGAACTGAGAACTGACCACCAACATGGAGAGTGCTGCAGACTGGGGTAAAGCGGCTCTGCCTGGCAGCAGGTCCTGCCATAACTGGAGTCCCAGGACAGTCAAGTCTGGCCACCTGCTCCACTTTGCCCACTTGCCAAAGAGATAAGCAGTGGTGAAGGTCAGAGAAGGGCGCGTGAGGACTGTAGGCCCTTCAGCTCATGTCCAAGGTAGACATGAGCTTTTCTTCAAATAGAGGAAGCGCTGGGGCAGGGGCAGGAGGTACTCCTAACAGTCTGGTAAGAGCTGTGGTCTAAGTGTCTTTGGGTTGCTTATTTCTCAGGATCGGTCAGGTGGGGCCTTTTCCAACTCTTGACTTACTTTTGAATCCTCTGGAAGGAACAGCATTTCTATTAAAATGTTGAAAAGGAGCCAAGCAGAAGGAAAGACCAGGGCGGGCTGGAAAACCTCGGGGGCCCTGGTCATAGATGTTTATCTGTAAGTCCCTCAGCTGGAATCCAGAAGGCCAGGATGTCTGACAGGGGGGTTGGCAGATGCAAAGTGGGGACAGAGGATTTGCAGGCCCGACTGAAGTCAGGACTCTGGGCAAAGGCAAGTTTCTCTCACAGTCCTTCTGGGAGGCCGGTGGGCCGGGGTGGGGCACGGGTTGCCCACCAGCCCTTCCGTCAGGCCTTGGGGCCCGCGATGGACTCCTGCCACGCGCAGCGTGCTTGTTAAAGCCCTGGATCCGGGCAGGGACCCGAGGACGGGGCGGGCCGGGCCGGGCCGGGGCGGGCAGGGCAGGCCGGGCTGAGACCCGAGGACCGGGCGGGCCGGGCAGGGCAGGGGCGGGCCGGGCCGGGCCGCAGCGGGCTGAGACCCGAGGACGGGGCGGGCCGGGGCGGGGCGGGCAGGCCGGGCCGGGCCGGGCAGGGCAGGCCGGGCTGAGACCCGAGGACCGGGGCGGGCCGGGCAGGCAGGGCTGAGACCCCAGGACGGGGCGGGCAGGGCAGGCAGGGCTGAGACCCGAGGACGGGGCGGGCCGGGGCGGGCCAGGCTGAGACCCGAGGACGGGGCGGGCAGGGCAGGCAGGGCTGAGACCCGAGGACGGGGCGGGCCGGGGCGGGCCAGGCTGAGACCCGAGGACGGGGCGGGCCGGGGCGGGCAGGGCTGAGACCCGAGGACGGGGCGGGCAGGGCCGGGCCGGGGCAGGCCGGGCCCGGAGACCCTTCGGGCTCAGGAACCAGCCGGAAGCCGGAGGTGGCGCGGTGGCCTAGGGGTGGCAGCCTGCGGGGCAGCCCAGGCCCGAGCTCAGCCCCACAATTTAGATACACGCTCTTCCCCCGGGCCCCGGGGTGGGGCTCGCGGGTGACCGTCGGCTTTACTGCCTTCTTTTCTCCGTTGTTCGCGGACGGGACTCGAACTCGGCGCCTGGCGCTCTCCCACCCGAACCACGCCTCCGACCCCGCAGCCAGACGTCTCCTCCTCCGACCCCGCAGTTCTCTCCCTCTCCCTTCTCCCGCGCCTGCGGGCGCTGGTCCGTCCACCGCCGCCCCGCTGGACTGCCTTCGGCGCACTTGCGCACGCGCAGACAGCGGGTCCGGAGCCATTTCGCCGAAACGCCCGGGTCCAGAAGAGCGCGATTGCGCAGGCGCCCGCCAAGGGCCTGGCCCCGCCCCTCCGAGCCGGGAGCGCGCGTGCGCGGCACGGGCTGGGGCGGGTGGGGCGCATGCGCCCGGGGAGAACCGGGGCGGCTGTCAGCTGACTGGGGCGGCGCAGCTTCCCGGAGGCCGACGTCGGCGAGGCGGCTCCGGCGGGGGCGGAAGAGCTCGTCCGGCGCGGCGCGGCGCGGAGGGGTCGACGAGGCCCGGGGGCCGCCGCGGCACCATGGCGACCACCGTCAGCACGCAGCGCGGGCCGGTGAGGCCTCCGGGCGGCGGGGCGGCGGGGCGGCCTCGGGCCCGGCTTCTCCTCAGCGCGGGCGCGGCCGGCACCGACCCCTCAGTCCCGCCGGCCTCGCCCGGGGGCCGGGGCGGGAGCGGGGCCGGGGCCGGGGCGGGAGCGGGGCCGGGGCAGGGACAGGGGTCGGGGCCGGGGCTGGGGCCGGGGCCGGGGTCGGGGCCGGGCCCGGGGCCGGGGCGGGAGCGGGGCCGGGGCCGGGGCGGGAGCGGGGCCGGGGCCGGGGCAGGGGTCGGGGTCGGGGCCGGGGCCGGGGCCGGGGCCGGGGCCGGGGCGGGAGCGGGGCCGGGGCCGGGGCCGGGGCGGGAGCGGGGCCGGGGCCGGGGCCGGGGCCGGGGCCGGGGCGGGAGCGGGGCCGGGGCCGGGGCCGGGGCCGGGGCCGGGGCGGGAGCGGGGCCGGGGCGGGAGCGGGGCCGGGGCAGGGACAGGGGTCGGGGTCGGGGCCGGGGCCGGGGCCGGGGCGGGAGCGGGGCCGGGGCCGGGGCGGGAGCGGGGCCGGGGCCGGGACCGGGGGCCGGGGCGGGAGCGGGGCCGGGGCAGGGGCCGGGGCCGGGGCCGGGGCCGGGGTGGGAGCGGGGCCGGGGCTGGGGCCGGGGCCGGGGCCGGGGCCGGGGCGGGAGCGGGGCCGGGGCCGGGGCCGGGGCAGGGGTCGGGGCCGGGGCCGGGGCGGGAGCGGGGCCGGGGCCGGGGCGGGAGCGGGGCCGGGGCCGGGGCCGGGGCGGGAGCGGGGCCGGGGCCGGGGCGGGAGCGGGGCCGGGGCCGGGGCGGGAGCCAGGGCTGGGGCCGGGGTCGGGGCCGGGGCAGGGGTCGGGGCCGGGGCCGGGGCCGGGAGCCGGGGCTGGGGCCGGGGTCGGGGCCGGGAGCCAGGGCTGGGGCCGGGGTCGGGGCCGGGGCAGGGGTCGGGGTCGGGGCCGGGGCCGGGGCCGGGAGCCGGGGCTGGGGCCGGGGCGGGAGCCGGGGCCGGGGTCGGGGTCGGGGCCGGGGCCGGGGTCGGGGTCGGGAGCCCGGAGCCGGGAGCCGGGGCTGGGGGCCGGGAGTCAGGGCCGGGAGCCGCGGCCGCGGGGAGGCGGGACCCCCTGGGCGTCGAGCGGTGCGGGAGGCCCCGCGTGGGCCCGCCCCCCCCCCCCCCCGGCGTCCCCGGGACGGGGACGGGGTCCCTGTCGCGCCCGCCCCCAGGTGAGGCTTCCTCCGTCCCGACGCCGCCCGGGCCCGTCGGGTCTTGTGGAGGTGGAGCGTGGGAGCCTTCCCGCATAGATGCCGGCCGCGGGGCGCGCCGAGCCAGGACCCCTCGCTCTACCCTGCGTTGCAACCCCCCCCCCCCCCCCCACACACACGGGACTCCTAGCACACCTTTCTTAAGGTGTCTTTTCCGAGGGCTTCAGAGCCAGTCTCCTGAGACACTTGGTGTGTGGCGCCTCCAGCGCCTGCTGTGTCCCTCTCCATCTCCACCCCACCCCAGAGAACTAAGCAGCCAGAGAGGAAGGGAGACAACTTTCCTGTGCCATGGCTTCCACACAGCAGTGGGCACCTGGCCAGGCGGGGTAGCCCCTTCCTGTCCAGCTGGGTGGTCTAGGAATTCATCCCCTCACATCCCTTCCCGCTCCCTTCCAATCTGAGACCCAGTTTGAATTCACACAACAGTGAACTAAGTGTTTGGCGTGAATTGAGCAATCCACTGAGCTTTGCCTTTCCTGTTGCTGAGAGAAACTGATGCTGTGCCTATGCAGAGCTGGCATAACCTTTGTCTGTGATGAGTTACTGAGAGCGTCAGGTACTGTTCAGACTTGTAGGATGTGAGGTGTCCAGGTCCTGCTGTTGAGTCTGACTTTCCCTATGTCCTGTGCCACCCACATTCTAGGCAGACACGTTCAGAACAGTAACCTTGGGCTTGGGCTCAGGCTCTAAGGCTATGTCATCAGGGACCGGATCTCCAGTTCTGCTTGGGTTGTGTGACTTAGCCATTCAGCAGAGTGAATGACCATGCGTGGTATGTGGGCAGCCGTGTCATAGTGAACCACAGGGACAAAGGGCTGCAAGTGACAACTCAGATGTACTAGTGATTGACAATCACATCAGGTGTGTGGTCTTCCTTAGGGATTGGGTGCTGTGTGAGCGTTGTGTGGGTTGGGTAAACCTTTTTGAGGCAGTGCATTCAAACTCGCACTTGGAGGGGATCAAGCGTGTGGGGTGTGGTAAGGCGGAGAGGAAGACTGCTTGGGCTGCGGGCAGTGTGTCTTACAGATAGAAGGTCCTTGGGCTGTGTGCAGCTGGATCTGGCCCAGGAGCTTTGGTCAGAGCAGTTTCTGATGCTTTTTGCATACCCGCTTCAGTTTCCGCCCTTTCCATTAGCTGCTTCACACAGAGGGACCTTCCCGTAGCCCTCTAGGTTCACCAAAACTTGCAGAAACTTCTTGGCCAATTTGTTAGGGTATAGTAGAGCTCTAAATTTTGCTAGGGTGTGATAATAAGTACTATATCCCTGCTTATTCTGTTACACTCAAGGGACTGTGGCAGCACTGAGATAAACAGTATCACCCTTTTCTACCTAGTCCACAGATTTTTTTAAGCACCTATTGGATTCCTATAGTAAGTGACTTAGAGCCCCTGCTTCTCTGGGGAAACACAGAAACACATGCAGGAGATTCTGAAGTCTGTGCCAAGGACAGCTTTACCCGCTGGCCTTCTTCATCAGCCTGTGTCCTGTGGAGTCTGGCAGGTGGGATGGCAAGGGCCATTTCCTAACTGGGACTGTTGGTGAAGATAAGCTTTCCTGCCATCAGCAGAGCGGGCACAGTTTGTAAAGGTAGAGTAAAATATGTGCTCCTTACTTAGCAGGAAGAGGACAGAGTTGATTTTCTTTTGTTGCTGGCTTTCTTTTGTGGAGTGACCTTATGGACCTTCGCTGTCAGTCAGCCCCCTCTCAGCCCCTGCCTGTTGATATGCTCGCAGGCAGATGGGTTACCCACCAGTTGGCCCCTAGGTGGTGTTAGTCTGTGAAGGTCTTTGCTGGATTCAGAGGCCACGCTACTTGTGCATTGTACATACAAGCCTAGCATTGCTGCCCCTTCCTGCAAATAAGACTGGTCACCAGGTGCTGACCTTACGGGCCTCACTTTTTGCTTTTTTTTGGTACTAGTATAGTTTCTGTATCTTCCTTTCAGAGTATTTATCTGATGGTGGTTTCTCTTCACATTTTGCTCAACATTTCTGTTTAAAATTCATCATCTACAGCATATGATTGTATTAAAAAAAGTCAAATCTAAGAAATTCTAGTTTTTCTCTTTTTGCTGAAACGTATTAGCTTGCCCTTTTTTGTAGTTATAGACACATATACACGTATCTGTGTTTCAATCACTTGTGCTTTTATTTTCCTACTTTATCCCTTTTTTATTTATTAAACATAGGTTGTGAAAACTCAGTTTAATAGTGTATTTTCTACTGGTTTGGGAAATGCTTGGTGTATTTCTTTTTCTTTCTTTCTTTCTTTTTTTTTTTTTAACATTTGGCATTATGAGGCTCTGAAGGAAGTCACTGGTCTTGTCTCACTGGGTAATGCAAGCCTGGAGACCTTTGGGTCGCATCTTGGCTGGGTGTGGTGTGTGATGTGGTAGCTTCTACCTTCCTGTGGAGGCTTCTACAAGGAGCAGCGTTGTTTTTGTGCAGTCCAGTGCTTGCTTAGGTTGGCTTTCTTGTCTTACTGTTCCCATGTCTCACTTAAGTTCCTCCCTTGACTCTTGGTGCTTCACACACTCAGTTCCTCATTGCACACGCCTTATTGAAACTCCTGAGGGCTATTGGTGCTCTGTGTGTGTGTGTGTAATGTTGACAGTTGTTTCTCTGTCTACTGAAGGTTTGCCCTGCCATCTTCCTTCCTCCTGCCTTTGAAACCCTCTTCTGGTGTGTCTCCAATGTCATTACTTCACTTCCACTTCAGTTTTTGATATACATTATGTGAGGCTTCAAGTACAGTGACAGTTCTCTAGCTTTGGGCTGTCACCCTTCATGAAGCCATTCTTGGGGCTCATGTTGAAGATGGGCTAAATTTATGTGTAGGAAGTGCTTGCTTCAGGCCTGACCCATAAAAAATACCATGAAGCAGGTGCACTTCTGGGTCTTTATGAGTTATTTTTCATTTCTCACAAACTGTGGCTAGGTCCCCTGTATCAGTTTTGGCTTTGATGTCACTCTGCAGTGTTGCTGTGTGCAGGGAAGATGGGGGCCTTAGGCAGGGAAGGGTTGTTGTGCAGGTAGCAGCAACTCTGTGTTGAGTGTTGCCCGTGAGCTCTGGCCCTGGAAGGTTGCCCCCAGCCTTGGCACCAGTGCAGCAGACTCTGCCTCTGCTCAGCTGGTTTCTCTCATGTCCCCTCTGGACTGTCACCAGTGCCATAGCTTTACATTTCCACAAATAGTCCATAGTGACTGCCCCCTCCCACCTCTTCCTTTGTTCTAGACTCATATCCAGCAGCACTTGCCTTTCTGTAGAATGCTCCAGACACAAAGGCAAGTCCTTCCTTCATGTTGCCTAGGCTAAAAGCCTTCTGATGACCCCCACCCTCACCCTTGTCAGGAGGTCCTACAGGTTCTGTCTTGGAAGCATGTTGGGATCATGTGATAATTGCTCCCTCCTGTGCTTGTTCCCACTCTTAAGTGCAGTCAGGTGCCAGGCAGAGCCAAGTGCGAGTCTCTTGCCTGCCCAGCCCTTGTCCTGGGTCGGGGTCCTGGGGGTGTCCTTGGGTCTTTACTCCTTTCCAGGGCTTCATGGGTCTGTGTGAGTGGCTGTTCCTCTTCCCAGGCAACGATACCTCTGAGTGCCAGTACTCAGGGACTGGACACTGCCCTTAAAATTTTTTCCCTTAAGGATAGCAGTCTATTACTTGGTCCACAGTTCTACTTCTGGCTTTTTATTCTGAGTGGTTAATTGGAGATAAGAGTCTCCTGGACTTTTGCTGCCTGGTCTGGCTTTGAACCAGGTCTAAGCCTCCTGAATAACCAGGATTACGGGTGCCTGGCGCGCGCGCACGCGCGCGTGTGTGCGTGCGTGCGTGCGTGCGTGCGTGCGTGTGTGTCTGGGGTTTGAGCTCAGGGCCCTTGTGCTGGCTAGGTAAATACTTCACCACTTTGAGCCACATTTTCTATCCCTTTGTTTTAGGTGTTTTCTGGATAGGGTCTCATTTTTTTGCCTGGAGCCAACCTAGACTGAAATCCTCCCACTTAAAGTTCCTGTATAGCTGGAATGACAGGCTCATGTAACCTTGCCCAACTTTTTATTAATTGAGATGGAGTCTCAAGAAGCATTTGCCTGTATTGGCCTTGAACTTCTGAAGTAGCTGGGATTGTAGGTGTGAGCCCCTGTGCTTGGCTACTTTTGGGTGTTTCTACAGGGGTGCTACCTGGAAATGGAACTGTGGGGCTTTCATGAGCTTCTAAGTTTTTTGCTAGTATTGGTCAGGTTCATCTTTGAGCAGAACTCTAAAAAAACATTCCTATGTATCTGTTATCAAGATTTTTATTTTCTTTTTATATACCTGGTTTTGTATGTGTGTCTGAATGTCCTGGGGCTTGAACTCAGGGCCTGGACAATGACCCTGAGCTTCTGTGCTCAAGGTTAGCATTCTACCACTTGAGCTATAGCTCCAATCTGGCCTTTGGTGGTTAATTGAAGATAAGAGTCTTATAGAATTTCCTGCCAGGGATGGCTTTGGACCATGAGTCTCAGATCCTAGCCCCTTGAATAGCTAGAATTACAGGTGTGAGCAACTGGCACCTGGCTAGATTCCTGTTTTTGAGCCATGTTAAAGAATGTATTCTTCACAGAGCCCAACATTTCCTTCATTATGGCAAGGAAAACAGACGTTTTAGAATTAGAACTGAATTTTAAAAATGCCTGTTTTATCAGTGACATTTTCAGGTACTGTGACTGACATTGTAGGAGGGCACCCTAACCTGTATTGTGCTGCGGCTTGTGAGACATTATTTTGTTTTGTTAACAGTGGTTGCTTTTGAAGTGTAGAAACATGTCCTCGTTTAGACAAATTGAATCTCAAGTTGAGAAATCTTCTGGGACTTGCAACAGCAGCCAGACTTGTCTTTCTCCTCCTGCCGACACTGTGTGTTGGTTGCATAACAAGTTTGTGATGGTTTGGTTCTGGCTGTGTTGGCTTCCTCTGCCCTTTAAGGTAAAGTGAAATTTTTTCTACTAAACTACTTCTGATCTAAGAAGAATTCTGTATTTGAGAAACAGATACGCTGAGGCGCTCTGCGCCTTCCTGTGTCTCATTTAGCCTTCCCAGTCATTTTCTTTAGCCCACATTGTTAAAACCTTCCTATTTGTAGCCCCATGGCTACATTCTGGTTGAAGCATAACACATTGGGTCTTCTGATAGAATTTGCCCCCATTAAGAAGTGGCTCCATTCTCTACTGGAAGCCTGCTGCCGAGAGGCTGTACTCACAAGGGGCGAAGGCCAGCCATGGCCTTCCTGCCCCACAGCGACAGCAGCCTCCCTGGCCCTCACTGGGACACCGCTGAGCGTGTCCTCGGCCATTCTCCTCTCTACCCCCAGAGCTATAGTGCATGGCATTAGGGGTGCGGGTATTTGTTTTTTAGTTAAATGAGTGGGAATGTGATTTGTGTGTTAACCTAAGACCTTGTTGTCGTGGGAATGTCTGTGCCGACAGTGTGTTGGTGGTGAGCAGAGCCAGAGGGGTGTGAGCTCTGCTGGCCTCGCACCTGTGTGAGCCGGCTGCCATTAGAAGGAGCTGGCGTGTGGCGTCTTGTGTCAGCCCTTTTCAAGACTCTTCACGTGGACTGGCAGCCTGTGTGACACAGCCGAGGAAGTGCTGTTCCCGAGAGGCTGGGCCCTCACAGGTGCCCTTTCCTGGGGGTGTCCGTAAGCGGGGGCTGGGCCAGAGGCGTGAGGGCTGTGAGTGTTCTCCGAACCAGGGGCACAGGTGGCAAGATGGAGAGGAGCCAGCCCATCCCAGACCTTTGAAAGCAGCGACTGAGGGCCCGGGGAGAGGAGCTTCCTAGCATGTTGGGAACCAAACAACTTGTAGAACCTTCTGGCAGCCTGCCTGGCTTCCTTTGGAAGCCGAGGGGAATGAGTGCTGTGGAGGCGGCTGGGGTCGCAGCCCCTAGGCGCGCGTGTTCCTGCAGCAGCTTTCAGTCAGGGCCTGCCAGGGCTCCTGTCCATGCTGCCGGGTTTCCTTTGAGGTGTACGCGCACGCTGCTGCGGGAGGGAGCAGGGTGTCAGGTGAGGTGCCAGGCCTGCCGCAGCCAGGCTTCCACTTGGGTGTTTGGGCCTGGCAGGGTTCATCAGCTGTTTCTGGTGTGAACATTTCCCATACAGGACCCTCTGGTTCTGTGCTCGGCCTAGGAGCAGTTCTCTTGGTGCCTCACTTAGGGCCAGTGTCCCTGCAGACAGTGCTCACGCCCAGGGGTCCCTAATCACCCTTGGGACCTGGGCCCCCGCCTTGGTTCCCAGACAGGCCTGCTGCTTGCAGTGGGGCTTTGCCGCACAGCTGTTGGGTACCGTGATTGGGCACTTGTCTGTGTAGCCCCGCTCCCTGGTAGGTCCTCATGTGGGCTCTGCCCGTCCATGTGGTCATGCTCCCTGGTGTGAACTCGGCTGGTCTGAGTGATCACACTCCTTGGTGTGAACTTGGCTGGTCTATGTGATCACACTCCCTGGTGTGAACTCTGCTCGTCTGTGTGATCACACTCCCTGGTGTGAACTCGGCTGGTCTGTGTGGTCACACTCCCTGGTGTGAACTCTGCTCATCTGTGTGATCACACTCCCTGGTGTGAACTCTGCTCGTCTGTGTGATCATGCTCCCTGGTATGGGCTCTGCCAGTCTGTGTGATCATGCTCCCTGGTGTGAACTCTGCTCGTCTGTGTGATCACACTCCCTGGTGTGAACTCTGCTCGTCTGTGTGATCATGCTCCCTGGTATGGGCTCTGCCAGTCTGTGTGATCATGCTCCCTGGTGTGAACTCTGCTCATCTGTGTGATCACACTCCCTGGTGTGAACTCTGCTCGTCTGTGTGATCATGCTCCCTGGTATGGGCTCTGCCAGTCTGTGTGATCATGCTCCCTGGTGTGAACTCTGCTCGTCTGTGTGATCACACTCCCTGGTGTGAACTCTGCTCGTCTGTGTGATCACACTCCCTGGTGTGAACTCTGCTCATCTGTGTGATCACACTCCCTGGTGTGAACTCTGCTGGTCTGTGTGATCACACTCCTTAGTGTGGACTGTGCTTGTCTGTGTGACCACGCTCCCTGGTGTGGGCTCTGCTCATCTGTGTGGTTGCATTTCCTATGTGGGACTCTGCTCCTCTGCTCCTCTGGGATAGGAGCTTTGGCTAGGGTCACCTCTAGGAGGCTTGGCTCACCTTTGGCTTTGATAACTCTCTGGTTTTCTTGTGAAGCTTTCCTCTAATCTTTGAGGGACCATGCAAGATTCATGCTCTGGGCCTTGCTCTGAGGACCGTCTGCCTCCAGTTCTGGGCCCAGCATTTTAGGTGTCCCTCTGAACCCCTATCAAGGTTGGACAGGCTGGTCAGCAGGGTTAGGTGGGAGGCAAAAAGCAGAGCAGTGAAGTCTTTTGAGTCTGCTTCTTATATTGTTCTGAGGCACTCTTGAACTTGAGCTGCATTTTGAAGATTACCAGGACAGAGTACTTGCCAGATAACTTTAGATTTCAGAGTGCTGTCTCATTTACCCAGTGATTCACAGACTGGAGCACATGAGAGCCGACACATCCCAGAGCAAGCCTTTCTGAGGGGTCAGAATGGGTTTTAGTGTTCTGAGCGTTCAGAGGACTCTGGTTTGCCTTTGAACACCTCAGATGAGACAGTTCCTATTGGGGACAGAGTCCCGTATTTCTTGGACCTTTTTATTTTTGGAGAGACTGAAGCTGAGGGTGGTCTGGGCCTGTGAGGACATGGGAGTGGGGTGGGAGGAGAGCAAGCCGACTGGGCTCTGGTAGGCCCTGGTCTTAAGCGTGTAGGGTGGTGCCGTGGGGTTGCTCAGTCTCCTGTCTCTGCTCCCTGCCTGCAGGTGTACATCGGTGAGCTCCCCCAGGACTTTCTCCGTATCACGCCTACACAGCAGCAGCAGCAGATCCAGCTAGATGCCCAGGCAGCCCAGCAGCTGCAGTACGGAGGGGCACTGGGGACCGTGGGGCGCCTCAGCATCACCGTGGTGCAGGTGAGTGTCAGACTCCCCTTCCTGTGGAGGCTGGCATGGGTTGGGGAGGAGAGGGGACAGGCTGTGCTCAGGCAGAGAGAGTGTATTTCAGCAGGTACAGCAGGTTTTCCCATGTGGACAAATGATTCCAGTTTTACCCAGAACGTCTGATGCTAAAAAAGAATGTGTGAAACATATTCCTGATTTCCCAGGGATCTGCTTAAAATAATTGTAACGAGAGTTGGTGGGTGTGAGCTCCATGTTGGGCCTTGTTCCCTTGTAAGGATAGGTTCCATGGCTCTTGAGGCTGCTGAAGAGACTGGCCCGGCCCATGGCCAGGTCGACAGCACTGCCCCGGTCCATGGCCAGCTAGACAGCACTGGCCCGGCGGGCAGCAGCTCCACCCAGCTTGCACACCCCAACAGCTTCCTGCTGACAGCTGTGTGAAAGCCGCAGTGAGGTACTTGTTGCGGCTGCGTTCTGTTGAAGTGGCTCTGGTTCTGTCTCCCAGAGTGTGTGAGTCTACCAGTGATGATAGCTGACCGTCCCCTCGTCCTGGAACACAGTGACTGTAACTCCCCTGGGGACTGGCAGGGCGCGGCTCAAGGAGACAGGCGGCTGTGGTGGTGCATGCCTTTCCCTCTGGCGGTGGGCCCATCATTTGTCTGAGTCTGGCTTTATTTCAGGCAAAGTTGGCAAAGAATTACGGTATGACCCGCATGGACCCCTACTGCCGTCTGCGCCTGGGTCACGCAGTGTACGAGACGCCCACAGCCCACAACGGCGCCAAGAACCCTCGCTGGGGCAGGGTCATCCAGTGCACCGTGCCCCCAGGCGTGGACTCTTTCTACCTTGAGATCTTTGATGAGGTGAGGGGCCTCCAGTGCCATGGAGGCCACATGTGAGCCCGGCTGACCCACCTGACAGCCGTTGGAGGCTGCTTGTGAGGCTTAGACCTGCCTGTGCTCTGCGTGTTACCGGTTGTGTGAGCCCCCCTCCAGGCCCCCCCCCCCTTCCCGTCCATTCAGTTCTGGTTGTGTGAGCTGGGGCCGCACCCCTTGCTCTCAGTTCTAACAGCCTCCATTTGAAAACATCACAAATGACACAAAATCTGTGAACTCTGCCCAGAGAGTGGATGTGTCCCTTCTTGCTGTTCTGGATAGGTTCACTTTCAAGCAAGAGCATTGTTCTTGCTGGCATGAGCCATAGGCCCACCAGTAGTACGCTTGCTTATCAGCAGGGGCTGGAAAACATTTCTGAGGGGCTATTGGATGGTCAAGTGGCGGCAGGAGGCTCATGGGAAGCTGGGTTTGGGCTTCACATGTCTCCCGAGGCCTGAGTGCAAGCTGGGAGGAATAAGGGCCACCAGGGCCAAATAGGACCTGGAGTGTAAGCAGCTTGGCCAGGAGGGCGCAGCTTTCCCTTGCCCTCTTTCCTTGGCCTCTTACTCACCATTTCTCTCTTCCTGTCCCTCCTCCCTCTTCCTTCTGTGACCCTTGGAAGAATTGGAGCATACAGGAGGATGTTGGGGCTCTGGTGGCTCCCCATGTTTCCTTCCTCCTCGTCTTGTACCTTCTGTGCTTGGGACTTGAGATGGTGGCTGGAGGTTCAGGAGTGTGTCCGTGAGGCCTGGGAGCAACCGTGGGCGAGTGGGCATTCCTGGGGCAGGCACAAGTTGAGGATAGCGGCATCAGAAATACTTCCTTCCCCGTTCTCAGGCCCATCCCCGCCCACCCCCCATGGGGACTGCAGAAGAGGGGCCCTGTGTCTCGCAGACTGCTGAAATGGTGGTTTCATGGGGGCCTTGAGGGGGGCTGGCAGGAGTACCCATGCTGCCGAGGCTGTGGTGGGGCCTACAGCGCAATGCCATGACAGGACACCACAGGTTGTGACTGTTCCTTCCCTCTCCCAGCGAGCCTTCTCCATGGATGACCGCATTGCCTGGACCCACATCACCATCCCTGAGTCCCTGAAGCAGGGCCAGGTGGAGGATGAGTGGTACAGCCTGAGTGGGAGGCAGGGTGATGATAAGGAGGGCATGATCAACCTGGTTATGTCCTACACGGTAAGTGCCAGCCCCCACCATCTGTCTGTCTGGGAGGTGGGCAGGCCCCGCCCTGTTACTGGCCTCATGGGAGGTGTGACTCTACTTTCTTGTTAGGCTCTGCCCTTGAGCTTGAGCTGTGTAAGGTAGTGATGTGGCAGCTAGCTAGGACCTGGGATGTGGGCAGGGCCTAGTGTGTGACCCAAGCTTGGGGCCTTCTGAGGCAGTGACTGGTCACAACTTTGGGGCCCGCTGACCCCGGGTTGTGGACACTAGTCTGGCTGTGTCGGGCAGTGGGCCTAGTATGTCAAGTGTCTACTTCCCACCTACCCCTGTCCTCAGAGCGGCTGCAGCTCTGGGGCCCTTGGGGAGGTCATCAAGAGGCACGATTAGGGCCAGGACTCCCATCATTGCTGTGTCACCAGGGACTTTTCTCTTAATGGTAACGAATGTAAGCCTCTGATGAATATGGTTGAAGTAGTTTGTTTGCAGGTGTAAAATTAGAAGCATGAAATGTGTTAAAAACTGGTTTGTGAAGTGGAGAAGAGGATAAGAAAGAGAAAGGGTGACCTGAGATTGATTTGGAATACATAAAAATACATACATGAGCAGAAATGTCACAATGGAATCCTACAACTGATGTATGCAGAAAGAAAAAAGTCATGCTCTGGGCGTGGAGGGCGTGTGCTGAGCCTGCAAATCCATCCCTCCCTGCTCTCCGTGCTGAGCTCAGAGCAAGTTCTAGGCTCACTGTGTGTTTCTAGCAGACATTCCTGCGTAGTCCAGAACTACTTCATCTGCAATAAATCCTTTGAACTAAAATCTAAGACTAGTATAAGAAATGCTGATGTTGAGTCAGTTTCTCTCATAAAACAGACCTTAAAATGTACACTTAAATGTACATGTTTTTTATTTAGTTATTTTTCAGATAAGAGGCTCAGGTGTTTTCCTAGAACCAACCCGGAACCAGGGTCCTGCTAGTTGTGCCTCTGGTGTAGCTGCAATTAATAGGCACATTTACCAAAACTGGCTCACTTGTCAAGATGGGATCCTAGTGACTTTTTGCCCATGTGGTCTCTAATGGTGACCCTCCCCCAAGAGCTGAGGTTCTAGGCATGAGCCGCTCAGGCCTTGAGTGGGTCTTGTTAAGTCCTGTTCTCTTGATCACATTACAATAGCTGTGGTCATGTCTGTACCACCTTTCAGTTCAGGTTTCCAGCTGAGGTGAAGTATGTGGGGCTGGTGTGGGTGGGATGACCACACCCATGCTGAGATTCTGTCTTGGGTCTGGGCTCTGGCCAGGACACTTGTGGTGAGACTAGAAGGAATGCCGTGATGACGTGTGGCAGGTCCTTCTGGCTGCAACGTTGTCTTGTGTGTTTCAGTCCCTGCCGGCTGCCATGATGATCCCGCCCCAGCCTGTGGTCCTGATGCCAACCGTGTACCAGCAGGGCGTTGGCTATGTGCCCATTGCAGGTATGTGCTGCTGCGGCCGGCCATAGTGGCAGGCTCTGGGGCAGAGTGGGATGCAGGAGGGACCTCCACGCACTCCCGTGGGGCTGGAGCTAGTGCAGAATTGTGTACGGATTTGACCCCCCCTCCCCCCGAAGATGCTTCTAAAAGCAGAGTTGTTACATTTTAATTTTTTATGCATATGCCTAATTGTTGTAACATATAAGATGGTTGAAAATTTGTATTTTCAGGCATTAGCCATCAGGACAGTCTGGCCCACAGTCTTAACCAAAGATGCCAAGGCAGGTTCTCTGTCATGGTCCAGCTCAGCCTGGTGGTCCTGATGCCCCAAAGTGAAAAAGGCCAGGGCAGTGGTCAGGTTTATGGGGCAGGAGTTGTGTGAGGTCGTAAGGTGTGGCCTTCAGCTATGGGTGCTAAGTGTGGGTGCGCCCTGGGCCTGGAAGGGCAGACACACTGGTGGCCTACCAGTGTGGGCACTTGAAGTGCAGAGGCTCATCATCCGCTGCCCCCACCCCAAGGCCACACCCAGGAATCAAGGCCTGGACTGGAGCGGGTGGAGCATGCTTCAGGCTGTGCCATGCTGAGGTTTTCTGTCTGTGGAGCTGCCTGCCGTCAAAGGTAGAACTCCGCTGAGGGAAGTACTAGGAAGTCACCAGACCCATAGGGCTATGTGATCGGCAGTCAAGAGGAAAACCAGTTCATGGAGATGGGGCAGGATGACCCATAAACCAGAAGGCAGTGTGGCCATCCAGAGTGCTGGAGAAGACTTTAACCAGTGGGAAGAGGCCTCAGCAGGGGTGTGGTGCTTCTGTGAGGCTCCAACAGGTTGGTGACCTGTCAGATGCAGCGACAGGGTCTTGAGTTCAGATGGGACTGCGTCCCTGGAGAGCAGCTCTCCAGTTTTGTGGGTTTCATTCTGGGACAGCCTTGCTATCTGAAGAGTGCAGTGTTCTGTCCAGCATGTTAAATGGTGTTCGTTAGGTTATCTTGAGGCGGAAGTCTGAAGGAAAAGGTATTGTGGTGTCTCAGTGTCAGTGCTGTGATTCCTCTTGAAACTCTTGAGTTTTGGTCCTTCCTGCCTCTTCTCATTCCGGAGCCTTTAGCATTTCTTGGCTTGTGGCCACACTGCCCCAATCTTTCTCTCTGTTTCCATGGGGTCATCCCTCTTCTTTCTGTGTCTTTGTCCTCTCCTGTCATTAGACCAGGGCCCGCTGCATGGCCTTGTCCTAGCTTAAGGATCTCCACAAACATCCTACTCTTTTTTTTTTTTGCCAGTTGTGGGGCCTGAACTCTGGACCTCGGCACTGTCCCTCAGCTCTTCAGGTCAAAGCTAGCACTCTACCACTTGAGCCATAGCACCACTTCCTACTTTTTCTGCTTATGTGGTACCAAGGAATCGAACCCAGGGCCTCATGCATGCAAGATAAGCACTCTACCACTGAGCCACCTTCCCAGCCCAAACACCCTACTTCTATAAAGGCATTTGGAAGTAGAGCTGTGGCAAACTGGTAGAACTCCAATCTTGAGTGAAAAAGCTGTGGGACCGAGCTCAGGTCCCAAGTTCAAGCCACAGTGTGGGCACAAAAAAAAAAAATCTAGATCTAAATAAGCTCAAGGCTCTTCACAGGCCTTGAGGTCAGGATTTGAGCCTATCATTTTGGGGGTATACAGTTCTGTCCAGTTCAGTTATGAATACCAAGAAGTATTGGTCAATAGTCAACTTCCACATAGAGACAGAAGCTACTGACCTGTTTCTGGTTCCTGTCCTTAATTTTCTATATGCTTTTAAAGTTTTCTCTAGGATGTATATCTTAGGGAAGATTTCTTTAAAAAACAGAGACTTTGAACTTTTCTTTTGACATACATTTGTAAGTTTGAAATAGTCTCCTACTTAAAGAAACATTTCCAGAAAGAGAAAAGAAGGTTTTGCCAGAACCTTTGAAGATTGTGGCCTCTGGTGCCCGGCCTTCCCTTCTCCTCCGCTCACCCTCCCCCCCCCCCCCCCCCCCCCCCAGGCTCCTGGTGTAGGTTTTCTATACGAGGACTCAGCCACAGCACAGGACAACGCCCACATCAGGCATTGGTTCAGGGCCTCCAGGCTGCTCCCTACTTGCCCTGTGGAGGGGCTCAGTCTGGAGTTGGGGTGAGCAGGCCCTGTGGTTCCCTGTCCCAAGGCTGTGGTGCCCTTCTCTGCCTTGTGTATGAGTGTGTCCACTGTCACCAAGGAGCTGCTGGCCTTTCTGGCTGCCTACCTCTTCGTATTCAGAGGGAGGGGGTGGCGTACCTCGACATAATGGTAGACTTGGTCCCAGAAACACCTTTTGTATCTGCCCTTGAGATCAGGTTCAAGGTCGTGGCTACCACTTGGTTCTCATGAGATGGAGCTGCCCACTATTGACTAGCGGTGTGGGCTCAGGTTTGTTTTGTACTCAGGGCTACAGCTTACTACATTATTTATTTTGTCACTCAGTGACCCCAGTTTGGCCAGAGCCCTTCAGGCTGGAATTTGTCCTCTTGAGATGTCCTGTGTTCTTTGAGAACTTTCCAGCTCTGGTGGGACAGAAGCCCCGCCCATCTAGCGCACCTTCTGTTTCTACCCTGGTGTCAGTGGTGCCTCCCAGGAGCTCTCGTTTCCATGAGTGGAGCGTCCACGAGAGGATAATCAGCCTTTGAACTGTTAAAATAATCTTGGTGCTTGGAAGGTTAACACAACTTGGGGACTCATTGAAAGTTGATGCCCGTTTCCCTCAAGTCCCATAATTCCTGAATGTTTGTGGTGGAGTGTGCGGGTGTGTTCAGCGCAGAGACCACCGGAGGCTGCCACATCAGCCATGGCCCCCTGGGGAGTCACACGTTGAAATCAGGCTTTTCTTATCAAGGTTGACTCACCAAGTGCATGTTTGCCAACGCATTCCTGCTCCTTACCTGCCTTCTGGAAAATGCAGAGCTTGAGCCACACCTTAGTTCAGGTGATGTTTTGTGTTTTGGAGTTTGTTCTCTTGTGAAGGACTCAGTAATGTGTTTGCGTGCGTGCGTGGTGGGAGGCCAGTGTGTGTATGTGTGTGTGTGTGTGTGTGTGTGTGTGCTATATGTGGTGGGAGGCCAGTGCACGTGTGTGTGTGTGTGTGTGTGCTATATGTGGTGGGAGGCCAGTGCACGTGTGTGTGTGTGTGTGTGTGTGTGCTATATGTGGTGGGAGGCCAGTGCACGTGTGTGTGTGTGTGTGCTATATGTGGTGGGAGGTCAGTATGTGTGTGTGTGTGTGTGCTATATGTGGTGGGAGGCCAGTGCATGTGTGTGTGTGTGTGCTATATGTGGTGGGAGGCCAGTGTGTGTGTGTGTGTGTGTGTGTGCTATATGTGGTGGGAGGCCAGTGTGTGTGTGTGTGTGCTATATGTGGTGGGAGGCCAGTGTGTGTGTGTGTGCTATATGTGGTGGGAGGCCAGTGCACGTGTGTGTGTGTGTGTGTGTGTGTGCTATATGTGGTGGGAGGCCAGTGCACGTGTGTGTGTGTGTGTGCTATATGTGGTGGGAGGCCAGTGTGTGTGTGTGTGTGTGTGTGTGTGTGTGTGTGTGTGCTATATGTGGTGGGAGGCCAGTGCACGTGTGTGTGTGTGTGTGTGTGTGCTATATGTGGTGGGAGGCCAGTGCACGTGTGTGTGTGTGTGTGTGTGCTATATGTGGTGGGAGGCCAGTGCACGTGTGTGTGTGTGTGTGTGTGTGTGTGTGTGTGCTATATGTGGTGGGAGGTCAGTGTGTGTGTGTGTGTGTGCTATATGTGGTGGGAGGTCAGTGTGTGTGTGTGTGTGTGTGCTATATGTGGTGGGAGGCCAGTGCACGTGTGTGTGTGTGTGTGTGTGTGCTATATGTGGTGGGAGGCCAGTGCACGTGTGTGTGTGTGTGTGTGTGTGCTATATGTGGTGGGAGGCCAGTGCACGTGTGTGTGTGTGTGCTATATGTGGTGGGAGGCCAGTGCACGTGTGTGTGTGTGTGTGCTATATGTGGTGGGAGGCCAGTGCACGTGTGTGTGTGTGTGTGTGTGTGTGTGCTATATGTGGTGGGAGGCCAGTGCACGTGTGTGTGTGTGTGTGTGCTATATGTGGTGGGAGGCCAGTGTGTGTGTGTGTGTGTGTGTGTGTGTGTGCTATATGTGGCGGGAGGCCAGTGCACGTGTGTGTGTGTGTGTGTGCTATATGTGGCGGGAGGCCAGTGCACGTGTGTGTGTGTGTGTGTGTGCTATATGTGGCGGGAGGCCAGTGCACGTGTGTGTGTGTGCGCTATATGTGGTGGGAGGCCAGTGTGTGTGTGTGTGTGTGTGTGTGTGTGTGTGGTGGGAGGCCAGTGCTTGTGTGTGTGCACACATGGTGGGAGGCCAGTGCACGTGCGTGTGTGTGTGTGTGTGGTGGGAGGCCTGTGCACATGTGTGTGTTGTGTGTGTGTGGTGGGAGGCCAGTGTGTGTGTGCTCTATGTGGTGAGAGGCCAGTGGATGTGTATTTTGTGTGTGTGTGTGTGTGTGTGTGTGTGTGTGTGCACTCTGTGCATGGTGGGAGGCCAGTGCGTGTGTGTGTGTGAGCTATGGTAGGACAGCAGGGCATAAGTGTGAGGTGCATGGTGGGAGGCCAGTGTGTGTGCTTCTGTGAGTGAGTGGTCAGTGGGATGAGTCCTATAGACTTGTGGCAGGAACTGAGAGGCTACCTTCCTGGGCAGGTCCTGAAGCCCCTCAACCCATACTTGCTCTTGTGCCCAGTAGGCAGTGTATAGCCTGAGGTGACCCTGGACTGTCCTTGTGTGTGTGTCTGGTCAGAAGTGGCTGCACATTCACTTAGGGGCCTCTGATAGTCCCTTTTCTAGACTTCAGAAGATGACCACTATGTCAGAGATATGACCAGCTTCCACAAGGGTCAGAGATGTGACCAGGCTTCACGAGGGTCATCAGTATGACCAGGCTCCACGAGGTCAGAGGTGTGACCAGGCTCCACGAGGTCAGAGGAGTGACCAGGCTCCACGAGGTCAGAGGAGTGACCAGGCTCCAAGAGGTCATTAGTGTGATCAGGCTCCACGAGGTCATGGGTGTGACCAGGCTCCACAAGGTCAGAGGTGTGATCAGGCTCCACGAGGTCATCAGTGTGACCAGGCTCCATGAGGTCATGGGTGTGACCAGGCTCCAAGAGGTCATTAGTGTGACCAGGTTCCATGAGGTCATCAGTGTGACCAGGCTCCACGAGGTCATCAGTGTGACCAGGCTCCATGAGGTCATCAGTGTGACCAGGCTCCACGAGGTCATCAGTGTGATCAGGCTCCACGAGGTCATCGGTGTGACCAGACTCCATGAGGTCATCGGTGTGACCAGGCTCCACGAGGTCATTGGTGTGACCAGGCTCCACGAGGTCATCAGTGTGACCAGGCTCCACGAGGTCAGAGGTGTGATCAGGCTCCACGAGGTCAGAGGTGTGATCAGGCTCCACGAGGTCATTAGTGTGATCAGGCTCCACGAGGTCATGGGTGTGACCAGGCTCCACAAGGTCAGAGGTGTGATCAGGCTCCACGAGGTCATGGGTATGACCAGGCTCCACGAGGTCATCAGTGTGATCAGGCTCCACGAGGTCATCAGTGTGATCAGGCTCCACGAGGTCAGAGGAGTGACCAGGCTCTAAGAGGTCATTAGTGTGACCAGGCTCCACGAGGTCATTGGTATGACCAGGCTCCATGAGGTCATCGGTGTGACCAGGCTCCAAGAGGTCATCAGTGTGACCAGACTCCACGAGGTCATCAGTGTGATCAGGCTCTACGAGGTCATGGGTGTGACCAGGGTCCAAGAGGTCATCAGTGTGACCAGACTCCACGAGGTCATCAGTGTGATCAGGCTCCACGAGGTCATCAGTGTGATCAGGCTCCACGAGGTCATGGGTATGACCAGGCTCCACGAGGTCATCGGTGTGACCAGGCTCCATGAGGTCATCCGTGTGATCAGTCTCCACAAGGTCATCAGTGTGACCAGGCTCCAAGAGGTCATGGGTGTGACTTAGTTTCCACGAGGTCATCGGTGTGACCAGTCCATGAGGTCAGAGGTGTGACCAGGCTCCACGAGGTCAGAGGTGTGACCAGGCTCCACGAGGTCAGAGGAGTGTGACCAGGCTCCATAAGGTCATCAGTGTGATCAGATCAGTCTCCACAAGATCAGAGGTGTGATCAGGCTCCACGAGGTCATGGGTGTGATCAGTCTCCACGAGGTCATGGGTATGATCAGGCTTCACGAGGTCATGGGCGTGATCAGGCTCGACGAGGTCACCGGTGTGACCGGGTTCCACGAGGCCTCGGGAGTGAGACATCAGAAGGCTGAGAGCCTTCCGCTTGGGAAGGACTGGTCTTGTTCAGTTGTGATCATCGGCACTAGTGTTGCTTCCTTTCCCCCCATGGCATGTGGAAAGCTGGCATCTCCCAGCTGGACCTCTGGTAGATGCTCTGGTACCTGCAGGCTCAGGGCCCACACTCACTGGTGTTGGCAGGGCCTCCCACGGTGGCTACAAATTAACATTTCCTTCTTCCCGGGCCTCCGTGTCTCCACAGGCCTCTGTAGAGTGATCTGTTTCGGGCAAGTGGGCAGATCTGCTGTCCTCTGCCCAGAAGCCAGTTGTTCACGCACTGTGGCTGATATGTCCGTGCTCCACAGGCATGAAAGTAAGGCCCCTCCTTTATCCCTAACGCCTGCACTGTGACCAGCACCCGTGGGAGAGGAGGCCTGCGTGGACAGTCATTGCCATCTCCCTCACAAGGAAACGCACATCTAGCTCCACGTCACTTGCTGTCTTAAACTGTGCAAATGCCAGTATTGAAATAACACTGGGTTTTTGTTAGCTCCCCCACCTTTGCTTGGAATTTGTTCCTTTTTGCTCCTTTGTGTTTGAGTCCACTGATTTGAAACCTCTGAAATGTGACATGATAAGGAGCGTTCTTTTAGCTCCACACTGAGCCCAGGCTGCGGGCAACACCGGTGGCCCTTTGTATGCCCTATGGACTTTGTTCTGTGGCAGGACTTTGCCCTGTGCATGTCTTCTGCATAGGAACAATCTCATGGCCTTCAGCTACTAGAGTCACACCTTTTCTCTGTGTGTGTGTGCGCGCGCGCGTGCGCTTCTGTGTGTGTTCCGGGCAGTTGCTGTGAGGTCAGTGTTCATCCAAGCAGTGAGGTCCATATCACTCTGCCCTTTTTTGTGCTGATGGTATGAGTGCTCGAGAGAAGGAGTTTGCGTGGCAGATGATAGGAACCAGCCTGGCCTGGCTGCAGATAAGCACCTCTCCTCATGTGGTAGCTGCAGGGGTAGATGCTTCTGGCGTGTGGGCACCATGTCCAACCCAGGAGAGACTGTTGCTGAGGACCTAGGCCAGCAGCCTGCCACCTGTCGTTCTCTGTGAAAGGAAGCCACGTGTAGCTACCATGTGGTTTCCTTTCCCTTTGTTGCTGAAAGACCTGCCATCATGGACTGTGGTGACATGCCCTTCCTGTGTATGACAGCCGTCTCAGAGACAGTCGGCCAGGAGGTGTTGGTACCAGTGGAGGACTGTAGGTGGTGGCTTTCGTGAGCCCTGCCCCATAGAGGGGCAGCTTGGGTGGAGGTGCTAGGGCAGGAAAGCATGCAGCTGTGTCTGCACCTGCAGCCACTCTGCCCAGTGCCAATAGCTTCTGGGTCCTTTTTCCCATTTCACTTTGTGCCGGCCTGGAAGATGATGTTCAGCTGCCATTGGGGTCCTTTATATTTAGTTCGGAGAGAAACTCTCCCTGAGCATATGCAGGCCACATTTAGAGTGCTGTTCATGAATTTAAGGAAGTAGTGTCTGAAAGGTGTTTTTTTTTTGTCGGTTGTGGAATCTGAACTCTGGGCCTGGGTGCTGCTGTTAACCTCTTCAGCTCAAGGCTAGTGCTCTAGCACTAGAGCCACAGCACCACTTCTGGCTTTTTCTGCTCATGTGGTACTGAGGAATCGAGGTACTGAGGACCCCGTGGCATGCAAGGCAAGCACTCCCATCACTGAGCTGCCTTCCCAGCCCATGTCTGAAAGTTTTTAGGGAGGAATTCAAGTAGGAATTCTGTGATTCTTGGTTGCTCAGTGCTTTACTTCCTGTGTTCTCTTTGGGTGCTGACGGGGTGTGCGTGTGAGCAGTCCAGGCCTGTCAGACTCCTCTTGGTTGCTTGTGCCTATGTCTCTTCTGTGTCCCCTGTATCCCACATAGTGCATAGCTCTGCCGGGAGCCCGTGTAGACTGGCCCTGCTGCCAGCCAAGCTCACATGGCTTGTGACAGTCCTGTATGCCCATGTGTCTCTTGCCTGACCTACTGACCCTGCAGCTGACCATGCTCAGTGGTTCTGACCCACTGAAGACAACTGGCTTTTTTGTGATTCTGTGAGCAATTTCTTGTGGTATTTTTTGTTGTTTTTTTTCATGTGTATCGTGTTTATCAGTATGCACCCCCGCCCCCTTCCCCCCGCCCCGCCTGCCCCCTCCCAGCCCCCTCCCCCCCACCCACCTGCCCCCTCCCCAACCCCCCCTCCCACCCTGGATCTCTGCTGTGGTTTCTCCTCCTTACCAGTATAGGCACCCAAAGTGGTAGTGATATCCTTGCTTTGCTGTGGTAGTATGTTCTAGAGTATGAAGATATTAGACTCCAGCTTTGAAGTATGGGATGAATGAGCATGAACTGGCTGGCCAGTTCCCAGGACCTACTCAGGTCCATGGTGTGTCCCAAGGCTCTGAGGGGTCAGCTGTGGTCCCTGCGTTTTTATCTTGGTGTCTGTGATGGGTGGTAGCATGGGGGAGATAGGACAGAGCTGCAGAGCATGTCTGGAGAGTGTGTCAGGAGGAGGCTCATCCCACTGTGGTGGCCACCCAGGTCCTGGCTTCCTGGTGTGCTTGCAGGATTGGTGTTTACTCTGCTGCTGCTTTTACCAGAGTCGATCTTTTGTTTGCAGGGATGCCTGCGGTCTGCAGCCCTGGCATGGTGCCGGTGGCCATGCCCCCACCTGCGGTAACCGCCCAGCCCCGCTGTAACGAGGAGGACCTGAAGGCTATCCAGGACATGTTTCCCAACATGGACAAGGAGGTGATCCGCTCTGTGCTGGAAGCCCAGAGAGGGAACAAGGGCGCTGCCATCAACTCCCTGTTGCAGATGGGCGAGGAGTCCTAGGCTGCCTCGGCCTGCACCTCCCACCACCGGCCTTGGGACCTGTCCTCCCAGGGTTCCCAGGGTCAGGCCCAACACGATTCCTATGAAAGACCACCCATGTGCTCCCTCCTTGGACATGTGTGCCGCCCCTCCCCACCTGTTTTGGGATGCATGTGGGTTTTCCCTTGCTAGCAGCCCTCGGGGCCATGGGTGGGGTGAGGCGGCTCCCCCCCTTGTCTGGGTTACTGATGGTGGCACGGGCACACCGCAGGCCTGTGCTCCTGTTGCTTGGAGACCCGTTTCCCCTCTTCACACTGTTTTGGAAAGCGGCCTCCTCTGCCAGGGCATTAGAAGTTATAGTGTCCTTTTGGGTTGAATGGCATGGGGTTATTCTGACAAATTGAGACAGATGTGGTTAAGGCGCTCAGAATTTGTTTACTGACTTGTGGGTTGTGTTGAGAGCTCATGTCCTTCCTGACATTCTTTGTGAACATGAACTACTTTGTCACTGAGTCCTGGGCCATTGAGCTGTGCTTTCTAGCCATAGCTGGCAGGCCGCCCCGCCAAGCTCACCTTGCCGTCAGCCAGGCCTCAGCCATAGCTTTGCTGGTGGGTGCAGCACGTGTCCAGACCGCCAGTGTGAAGGGAGCCTGGGGCAGGAGTCCCTGCCTGCCAGCTTGCCTGTCTACCCGCTGCCTGTCTCCTGCTGTTCCCTCCCATTTGTCTGGAGTTAGCCCGAGGGCTTCTTGCCACAGTGCCTGGAGTCCGGCAAAGGGACAGATGTAGCACTGTGCTTTCTAAAGTATTCAGGCATTGTGGCTACTGCTGACCCGTGTAAGGAGACGCTGTGTGCCATGTACATGTAGCTCGGTCTGGGTGACCGAAACCAGCACCTGCTCACAGTTTAGACTTTGCAGAGGCTAGAGGTGTCCACACCCTAACCCCTGGTTACTGCAGGTCACCACACCTGACTCCTGGTTACTGTGGGTCAGACTTTCTGACCTGTGTTCTGGCTGCAGACTCAAGGTTTAGGGACAGTGCAGGTGACACCTCATTGTGAGACTCAGAACCGTGAGAGCTTTCTCAGTGATGTGTTGAGTACGCACGCCAGGGGAAAGCTAGCAAGCATCGATATGTGTGTGTGTTGTGGTTCGACATAAAATTGTAGTTGCTTCTCGTTCTTCTGAGTGTTTGCCCCCAGCCTTTGGAGACAATGCTGACTGACTGGCAGGAAGGTACCTCGTGGAAGAATTAGAGTAAGGAAGTTAGCACTGGAATTTCAGTCTTTCCCCCCCCTAAAAATATAGGGCAAGTTTTAATGTCAGCTGGAAAATCCTGCTTTCTGCCACCTGTGGAGGTGCTTTTTGTCAGATAATATTATTCATAAATATTTATTTTTGTATCCCTGGAGGAGTGTGGGTGGAGGTACCGAGTGCTTTGCTTTCCCGGGGACGGGGGGGGTGGGGGGGAGACACCAATGTTTGTGAAGTAGGATGGGGTACTCGCTTGAGCCCTGGTCGCTGGAAGTCCCCTGTCAGGCTCTTGAGTAGGTGACGTGTTGGGCAAAGTGGACCTTTCCAGGCAGTCAGCAGACATGGTGTGGGAGGGGCTGGAGGTTTCTGGTGTGGCTGCAGTGCCAGCGTCTGCCTTAATGTTGCTGGGTGCCTGAGTGCGTCTCGGCATGGTTCTGAGGAGGGTCCTGGAAAAGCATCCCTTGGTGCCAGCTGCCAACTGGGAGCAGCCATCACGGTGCCCACCAAGGCAGCTCTTGTGGGCACCTGCATAGGAGAGAGTGATGGTTTTAAGATAGATTTCAGACTGAACTTACCACAGTCTCTTCCCTTTTTTCATGAACACTTTATTTTTTTAAGATTGAGAAAGATCACATTTTATAAGACCTTTAATTCAATGAGACTCTTTTCTCCTTTGTTTTGTGTTGTCCTGGCCTGTCCCGGGAGGGGAGGTACTTGTTCATCTTCTGTCCTGTGTCTGGTTTGGATGAAAGGTGGTCACACTTGGAAGGCAGAGACCACAGCAGACTGGGGCAGACGCAGATGGCTCCTAGCTCCTGGTCCGGGCCCGTGCACTGGGGCAGATGCAGAAGGCTCCAGCCCAGTCACTGGCCCTCTCTGGATCTCCTTATCGCTCCTGCCGTGTTTGAAGACACGGTCGTTAACAAAGCTGCATGGGACACTGGAGGGGAGCAGCCCATCAGCTTATTCCACTGTGGCCAGCGGTCTGCAAAGTTGAGGCTGGTATATTTTCACAGCCGTTGCTGGATGGTTAGTCTGGGCTCATCTGGCATCTGTGTGGCTTCTCCCCGTGTGAAGGATGACTGTGAGAGCAGTATGTTGTATGGCTCGGGGCTGCCCATGCCCTCTCCAGGCCCCTCGTGTCCTCTGTGGGCATGCTGGCGTGGGTGGAGACAGCTCTGTGGGGATGATTCTCAGAACTTTGTGTTTCTGGTTACGTGGAGGCAGCCCGTGTCCAGATTTTCTTTGATTGTAAAATATATTTTTACCTTTCAGCCTTCTAATTTAAGTGGTCCATATAAAAGTAAATAAAGTCCTCTACGGAAATGTTTACCACTTTGTTCTTGAGTGTTTTTTAATGTGGCTCACAGTATGCAGAAGTAACAAACCAGGCACAGCCAGTAAGCTCGCTCACTAGTAACCTTGTTCAGGTTGTGAGAGGAGACGCCGTGGGAAGGCAAGCCCGAGGGCAGACTGGACGCAGCTGGTGTGCCGCACCCAGCATGGGCCTTCACTTCGGGTCAGAACTGGTGCAGCCGTCCGTCTGTCTGCCCGTCTCTCGGCAGCAGGGGTAGCTTTTGTGGTTGGCCCTTCCTTCACCAATATCTGTAACGTCCCCTTTCCAGGCCATTTAAACTTGGGAATGAGGGAAGAACTGGACCCAACGCTTCCCTCTCACGGGGCCAGCGTGACCCCCTAGCCCGGCTCACCGAACCCCAAGGGATGATTGTCTTGTTAGGAAGTCAACCTCGACTCTGAAGTCGTGCCTTTCCTCCTCAGACTCCACAGGCACTTGCAGGCTGGGCATGGGGGCTCATGCCTGTAAACCCAGCTACTCAGGAGGTGGAGACCAGGAAGAACACGATTCAGGCCAGCCTGGGCAAGAAGTTAGGGAGATCCCAGCTCAGTCAGCTGGGTGTGGTGCCACACACCTGTAGTCCCAGCTCTGGAAGGCGGTAGGTAGGTGGGCCATGGGCAAAAAGGGGACTTTCCACCCTACCTGAACAGAAAGGTTGATGTGTCTGCTAGCAAACTCAAGGCCCTGAGTTCAGTCCCCAGCCCCACCAAAGACAAAGAGCTGGGGCTAATCAGTGATGGTTACATCAGTTTCCTGTCCTTGTAGCTATCCTTTGGGGCTAAGGTTGTGGCTGGCCTAGCCTTCTCTGCCCAGCACACCCCACCCCTGAGCCAGATGGACAGATGGAGCTGGATGTGGCACCACGGCTCCTCGAGCTGTGGGCTTCTAAGTGTAGCACTTCTATAAATTGTGGTCTTTCAGCCACTGATCTTAAGTATCAGGTGGTTTTTGGTCCAAAACACCTGATAAAAGCTGTACGTGTGTTAGTTCTGGCCATGATGCAGAGACGCATTCCTAAAGGGACTCATGCCACAGTTGCCACAGGGAGAAATAGCCTTTAAGTTCAAAGCTGAGCTCTTAAGAAAATTGCATTTCCCTGGGCAAGGGGAATTGCATGGGTTTTAACAGGCTGGAAATGGGGTTTGGTCTCCCATTTGCCACTGTTTCCAGAGGACATGGTACACTGCCCTCCCCTATAGATATCCCTGAGTGGATGAAGAGGCCTGAGGCCTGGGGTGCAGGGCAGGGGGCTGCGGGCATCTGAGTGGACGAGGAGGCCTGGGGTACAGGGCAGGGGGCTGCGGGTATCTATGAGTGGATGAGGAAGCCTGGGGTGCAGGGCAGGGGGCTGCGGGCGTCTGTGAGTGGATGAGGAGGCCTGGGGTGCAGGGCAGGGGGCTGCGGGCATCTGAGTGGATGAGGAGGCCTGGGGTGCAGGGCAGGGGGCTGCGGGTATCTATGAGTGGATGAGGAAGCCTGGGGTGCAGGGCAGGGGACTGCGGGCATCTGTGAGTGGATGAGGAGGCCTGGGGTGCAGGGCAGGGGGGTGTGGGCATCTGAGTGGACGAGGAGGCCTTGGGTGCAGGGCAGGGGGATGTGGGCATCTGAGTGGACGAGGAGGCCTGGGGTGCAGGGCAGGGGGCTGCGGGCTTCTGTGAGTAGATGAGGAGGCCTGGGGTGCAGGGCAGGGGGCTGCGGGCGTCTGTGAGCGGATGAGGAGGCCTGGGGTGCAGGGCTGGAATATGGTCCTTTTATTGCCAGGTTGAGCTGGGGGAAAAAGCCACCTATAAGGAGAGATAACTACCAGAACTCAGATCGCAGCCCGGCCTCCTCCATCTGATCCACAGGAGCCAAAGTGCCCCAAGGCTTCTATCGCCCACAGACCTGCCCAGCATGCACCTGCAGCAAAGCGTTGGCAAATGTCGGGACGCAGCACCGCGGGGTTCAGTGGAAGCAACCCTAGCACCTGAGCCCTCAACCCTTGACTAGTACGTGCCACTGTTTGTTTCACATAAGGGGTTTTTGTTTGGTTGGTTTTGTGTGGGTCCTGGGGCTTGAACTCAGGTGGGTGCTGTCCCTGAGTTCTTTCTGCTCAGGGATAGCATTTTACCACTTGAGCCACAGTGCCACTTTTGGCTTATTTTTAGTGATTAATTGGAGAGAAGAGTCTCACAGGCTTTCCTGCCCTGGTTCACTTTGAACTGTGATCCTCACATCTCAGAACTCCAGGCTTTGGAACTGTCCCGAGCTTTTCCCTTGAGCCATAGCTCCAAGTACGGCTTTTTGGTGGTTAATTGGAGATAAGAATCTACGAACCTCCTGCCTGGGCTGGCTTTGTACCATGATCCTCAGATCTCAGTCTCCTGAGTAGGAATGCAGACATGAACCTCCAGTGCCTGGTGCAATTGTTATTTTTACAAATAACTTCCACAGCCTCTGTGAATGGTACCTTTCTGTCCAGCAATCCTTGTAGAAGCAGGACCCATGGCCAAGGTTTATTTACAAGAAAGGGCCAAAACATGGAAGCAGGGGTGTGTGGGTGGCAGGTCTGGGCCCAACCCTGCCCAGCAGACTGGGCTGGCTTGCTGTGGCCAGGGGGTGGGCCAGGCCTCCACATTGAAGTTTCCCCGAGGTTGGTAACGTGAGGAGTGTGAGGTTCCCTTAGTGCTGGCAGGTGGCAGCACTAGGCTTAGAGGGCAGCCCAAGGCAGGCTCCTCTCCTGTTTTTGGTTGCTGTTTGGGGCATGGTCTCACTGTGTAACCCACAGCCTGGCCTCAAATTCAAGATCCTCCTGCTGCAGCCTCCACAGTTACTGAGTGGCCAGCAGGTGGCATCCACTCCACAGTGTGGATGGACAGAGCCTGGACATCACCCCTGGGTCAGCTGGTATGTCCTTGCTGACCTGAGCCTTGAAGGCCAGGTCCACACTGCAGATAGGCCTTCCAGGTAGAGGACACAGCTCACCCCACACATTTCCTATGTAGAAGGGTCAGACTCCCGTGTCACACCACTGTTGGACTCAGAACTTTTTTTTTGGCGGGGGGTGGGGATCCGGAAGTGGGGCCTGAACTCTGGGCCTGGGCGCTGTCCCTCAGCTCTTCAGCTCAAGGCTAGCGATCTACCACTTGAGCCACAGCGCCACTTCCGGCTTTTTTCTTTTTGCTTATGTGGTGCTGAGGAATTGAACCTAGGGCCTCATGTATGCAAAGCAAGCGCGCTACCACTGAGCCACCTTCCCAGCCCCTGGCCTCAGAACTTTAAAAGCTGTAGAGCTGTAGAGCTACAGGAAATATCCCAGGTGATAATGTTCCTTGCCGCAGGACAGGGCTGGGGTGGGTAAGCGGCCTGATCCTTCTGGCAGCTTTGACTTGATCTCTGTGGCCTTCTTCCCCAGCATCCGGGTTGGATTTACTTGTTCTGGTCTCTCATTGCTTCTTAGTCCTGTAAGACTGGTGGTACCCCTGGAATATGTGTGCACGCATGCTCTCTCCCTCTTCCCCCCCCCCCCCCCCCGCCCCTTGCTTTTTGGAGCTCATTAGAAAAAAATGTTCAAGTCTGTCTTAAATATCTTTGTCTTCAGGAGAGAGGACAGGCCCTCCTGTTGAGCCAGTGAGCCTGGATGTGCAGTCTTTCACTACCCTTTTGGTTTAGCTGGTTCTCAGGACCCGGGAGCACTTGGCGATTTGGGGCTATATGCATGTTGTCTATCAAGAAGGGCTCTGGGCCCAGGCCCTTCCTGTCTCCATGGCATCTGTCTGCCTTTATGATAGTTACTGTCATTTTTTTAAGCTGCAGTTTCAGTGTTTCTGTCACTGTGGAGGAGAGACACCTACTTTTCCATCTAGAAACCAGAAGTCCTTTTTTAAAACTTTAAAAAAATATCCCTCCCTCCCTCCTTTCCTTCCTTCCTTTCTTCCTTTTTTTGCTGATCTTGGCCTGGGGCTTGAACTCAGGGCCTGGGTGCTGTCCCTGAGCTTTTTTTTGCTCAAGACCAGAGCACCCTACTACTTGAGCCACAGCTGTTTTCAGTTTTTTGAAAGTTCATTGGAGATGTCTCATGGACTTTCCTGCCTGTGATGGATTCAAACTATGATCCTCAGATCTCAGCCTCCTGAAGAGCTAGGATTACAGGCATGAGCTGCCGGCGCCCAGCACCAAAGTCCTTAAAAGTAGTCAAATAGTACTGTTTGGTTTTGGTTGTCCATCTTACCCCTGTCCCTGTCTCCCAGGGACAATGGCTTGCAGTGCACCTGAGCCCACTAGCCTGGCTGGAGCCAACCTTGCCTCTTCTGTAGTACTTCCTGGTCTCTTTGCACCGGTTTCCTCACCCCAGAAGTGAAAGCACACTGTTAGGTTAGGATTAAAGGCTGGCACCCTCCATCCTTAAAGGATGGAGATGCTGCCCCGAGCCGGTAGCCCAGGCTCGTGTCCTGAGAAGTGGCGCCGCAAGAGTAACCAGGGTTGTGAGAGTAACCAGGGTCGAGGACATAGTTTGCCTGTGGCCTGGCTCCAAGAAGCTGACCTTGGAGCCTGCTGCTGCCTCACACCTTACCTGCACCCTTAGCCCTTGGACCGGTCCATTATGTCCAGGTGGCCTGCCTGCCTGACCTCACTAGGTAGATAGGAAAGGCAGGCCTGAGCACTGACCCTGTCCAGGAAGGAGAGTCAGACCCTGCACAACCCTCCAAGAGCAGGGCCCCACTGCATCCACACCCTCAGAGAGAGGAGAGGCCTCCCAGCTCCCCCTCCTCCCTGCCAGACGCTTCCACGCAGAGCCCCTGGCTCCCTGGTCAGATGCTTCCCTGGTTGGTGGTCAGCATTTACCTTTGCTTACCGCTTACAACCATACGCTGCCTTGGAGGTCATTTCCCACCCTTTCTGCACAGCCACACCACAGGCACTGTCTGTGTCCTGCACCAAGTGGGTCCCTGTCTGCCACCTACAGCCCCCACCAGTGAGCCCCACCTGTCCCCGGCCTCCGTGACTCCCTGCCATGTATATGGAGAATTCTTCTCTCTGGAAAGGGCAGGGATGAGGCTGGCCACATGTGCAGACTGTGACAGGTGTACCGAGGAAACACACCCAGGGCTGTGTGCCGGGCCCGGGCCCGTTCTGCCACAGAGATGTCAGCCACACCGCTCATCCCTCTGCGCTGCCCAGGACAATGGCTCTGCACTGACAGGCGCCTGGGCTTCAGGCTCCACTGCCTGCCTGGGGCCCACCTCCTCGTGCTGCCCGTGTCCATAGAGGGCTAGGCCGGGCATGGAGCCCCAGCTTGAGACTTGCCCCTGAGGTGCCCAGGGCCTGCAGATGGCTAAGCCCTCCTGCCCGCAATCTGCTCTGTGCATTGTCCAAGCCCCATCCTCGGCAGGAAAAGACACCAGGGTAACATGCACACAGTGCTAGGGTTTATTGCAGCTGGGGCTGGGTGAGCAGTGGGTGCAAAGCTGGCCCCTCTCCTGGTCCAGTCCCAGCTTCCTCTAGCAGGCGGCAGTGGCAGGGTGAGGGGGAAAGGCCTGGAAGGCGGCCGCTGCCGGACACAGCTGGCCTGGTCAGGCCCCTGTTGGCTCCAGGGGGGCTTGCAGTGGGTAGTGGTGCTACAGGTTCTGGGCTTTGCTCTAAGGTGTCTGGAGGACACCACGGAGGGGTGGGCGGGGTGGGCCGGGAGCTGGGTGTCAGGGGGCAGGTCGCCACCAGTGCCATCCTCAAGTGGATCCTCACGGGCCCGCCACCACCAGAGACCTGGTTTGCTGAGGGGCAGGCAGAAGGCGGGGTGGAGGTGGTGCGAACCACAGAGGCCCAGCAAGCCCGCCTAAGGGTTCCATGTCAGTGATGAGTGTTCTGGCTTCAGGAGGGGCAGGAGGGATGGGGCAGCGGCCCCTAAACGGAGGTGCCCATGGGAGCCATGGGCTGAGAGCTGCAGGCCAGGGAGCAGCTGCACTTGTCCACGAGGGTATAGGTGTATGGCATGGTGGAGCCATCCGGGCAGCGCAGGGCCACGGTCACCTCGTGGGCCTTGCTTTCTTGGCAGCAGGGGCAAAAGTACTCCATGGCCTGGGCCTCAGCTGAGTACCTGCAGACAGAGCCGGGCAGCCCTCAGCCCGAAGCTGTTCCTGGGCTCCGAGGCTCACAGCTGCCCGCTCTGTCTGCGGGGGCTGCTCCCTGAGCACACAGCACCCCTCCCTGGGCTCTCTGGGCACTCAGACTTGCTTTGAACCTGCTCTGCCTCCTGTGGCTCTCTCCTCTGACTAGCTAGCTCCTTTAGCTTGCTGCCTCTGGGCAGGCTCTACTCTGAGAACCTTCCTGAGCTCTTGGGATGGCCCGACTCCTCCTCCTGCCTCTTCTAGCCCAGGGCCCCAGCTTTCCTGCCGTCCTTCACAGTTGGCCTGGAGGCCCACAGAGGGCTCCAAGGCTACCTGTCCCATATGGCGGATCCTAGCTTGCCTCTAGTCTGGCTGGGAGGCTGGCCCTAGGCTTTGGTGCGGGGGTGCGGGCAGACACAGTGAAGTCCGGTCCCTCTTCCCATGGTAGGCGTGGCCTCCTGGCCTGGAAAGGGCCATCAGCCGGGGCCCTGGTGACTGAGTGTGGCCCACTCACTTGGACAGTCCAGGACAGGAGCCCTCGCAGAAGGTGACTTTCACCATGGCCTCGGTTGTGCAGCCCAGGTGCCGCAGGATGGTCATGTTGGTGTGGACTTGGCATGAGTCTGGGAAGAGGAGGCAGATGCAGAGACCCCATCCCTCACAGCCTCCCTCCTGCTGCCCTGGTTGGGTCCCACTGGCCCCCAGGGGGAGAGGTCTGGGCAGGGGCTGGCGGGAAGGCGGCCTCCACTTACTGTCCTCCTCACAGAAGTAGCAGCAGTTTTTCTTCCTGAGGATCCCCTGCAGGGTGGAGGACAGTGGGTGGGGGTTGGGGTACAGTTAGGACGTTGGGGGGTGGGTGGGGGACTCAGAGCATGACAGGGACGGGCCAGCCTGGGGCAGGGCCTCCCAGACACGCACCCTGCAGCTGGACACGTCGGGGCAGTGTGTGGGCTGCGGAGTCAGTACGTAGACGCCCCCCTCCTCCCGGCAGCGGTACTCCGTGCAGTTGTTCACCTGGCTGTTGACCCAAGTCTGGTTGGGCTGCAAAGCAAGGCGGAAGGGGTGCCCGGGAGGGGGTTAGTCCAGGGCTGAGCCTGTGGGGGGCCTTCTCCCCACCCCACCGCCCTCTCCTGTTACCTGCACCGGCCGGCCCTCCGGGGTGAGGCAGGCAGCCTGCACACACTCCCCACAGCACTGCCCCGGCATCCTGGAGTACTTGAAACCCTGTGGGAACCGGGAGACAGTCAGCCTCCACCCCGTCCATCAGTCAGTCAGCCTCCACCCCGTCCATCAGTCAGCCTCCACCCCGTCCATCAGTCAGCCAGCCTCCACCCCGTCCATCAGTCAGTCAGCCTCCACCCCGTCCATCAGTCAGCCTCCACCTGTCCATCAGTCAGCCTCCACCCGTCCATCAGTCAGCCTCCACCCCGTCCATCAGTCAGTCAGCCTCCACCCCGTCCATCAGTCAGTCAGCCTCCACCCTGTCCATCAGTCAGCCTCCACCTCGTCCATCAGTCAGCCTCCACCCTGTCCATCAGTCAGCCTCCACCCCGTCCATCAGTCAGCCAGCCTCCACCCCGTCCATCAGTCAGCCTCCACCCCATCCATCAGTCAGCCTCCACCCCGTCCATCAGTCAGCCTCCACCCCGTCCATCAGTCAGCCTCCACCCCGTCCATCAGTCAGCCAGCCTCCACCCCGTCCATCAGTCAGTCAGCCTCCACCCCGTCCATCAGTCAGCCAGCCTCCACCCCGTCCATCAGTCAGTCAGCCTCCACCCCGTCCATCAGTCAGTCAGCCTCCACCCCGTCCATCAGTCAGTCAGCCTCCACCCCGTCCATCAGTCAGTCAGGCTCCACCCCGTCCATCAGTCAGTCAGACTCCACCCCGTCCATCAGTCAGCCTCCACCCCGTCCATCAGTCAGCCTCCACCCCGTCCATCAGTCAGCCAGCCTCCACCCCGTCCATCAGTCAGTCAGCCTCCACCCCGTCCATCAGTCAGTCAGCTTCCACCCCGTCCATCAGTCAGCCTCTACCCCGTCCATCAGTCAGCCTCCACCCCGTCCATCAGTCAGCCAGCCTCCACCCCGTCCATCAGTCAGCCTCCACCCCGTCCATCAGTCAGCCAGCCTCCACCCCGTCCATCAGTCAGTCAGCCTCCACCCCGTCCATCAGTCAGTCAGCTTCCACCCCGTCCATCAGTCAGTCAGCCTCCACCCCGTCCATCAGTCAGTCAGCTTCCACCCCGTCCATCAGTCAGCCTCTACCCCATCCATCAGTCAGCCTCCACCCCGTCCATCAGTCAGCCAGCCTCCACCCCGTCCATCAGTCAGTCAGCCTCCACCCCGTCCATCAGTCAGTCAGCTTCCACCCCGTCCATCAGTCAGCCTCTACCCCATCCATCAGTCAGCCTCCACCCCGTCCATCAGTCAGCCAGCCTCCACCCCGTCCATCAGTCAGCCTCCACCCCGTCCATCAGTCAGCCTCCACCCCGTCCATCAGTCAGCCTCCACCCCGTCCATCAGTCAGTCAGCCTCCACCCTGTCCATCAGTCAGTCAGCCTCCACCCCGTCCATCAGTCAGCCTCCACCCCGTCCATCAGTCAGCCTCCACCCCGCCCAGCCACCCCGTCCATCTGTCCTCAGCAGGCCCTCCTGGTCCCCGCCCGGCATGCTGCACCCACACCCCACCTCCTGCGTCTTCTCTCTGTCCGCCGCTCCTCCTGTCCCCCCAGGCCTTCTTACCTTCCTGCTGATTTGGGGCAAACAAAGCCCAGACCCTGCCCCTCAGAGGCTGAGCAGGGCCCATGCTGCTGGCGGGTGCTGAGGGGGCTGCTCCCTGCAGGCTCACCTGAGGGCAGGTGGTGGAGCAGGCCTCCTTCTCGCACTGGACGGTCGGTGCCCGGATGTCCTCCGAGAGGCAGGTGCATGTGTAGCAAGGAGTGACTGCGGGGAACCGTGCCCCAACCTGCAGAGGGGGGGTGTGCGGAGCCACGGGGTGGCGCATGGGGGCGCACCGAGCCATGGGGGTCCCTCCTGGGGCCAGGCTGGCAGGGCCCGGTGTGAGCAGTGCCCCACCACATTCTGCTGCTGGGAGGCCCTGTAGCTCAGCACTCCGGCAGCAGGCTCAGGACGCAGCTGTGCAGCTCTGGTAGTAGAGGGGGCCGCCTGGACCCCACAGCCCCTTGCTGACCTGGCCTCCCTCCTGCCCCGCCGGACCCTGCTGGAGCCTGCCACCCTGCCCAGCCCTGTCCCCGCCCCCGCGTTGGCTGAGCCCTTACTTACTCCATAGACTGTGCCGTTGTACTCACACAGCTTAGGCTCTGGAAGAAGAGCGGGGGCGGGGGGGGGGGGGCGCTGCGTGTGGCTGGCCAGCAGTGGGGAGCTGTGCTCCTCCATCACGAACCCAGCAAGGTCCAGTCCAGGGCACCCGTGGTGCCCGGCCATGGCCCAGCCTGCCCCTCCCCTGCCCCTCCCCTCCCCACCCACTCACTGCAGGTGAAGCTGGGGCAGCAGCCACCTTCCTCCTGGACTCTGATCAGCTCCTGGCCAGGCCCACACACGGGTGGGCTCTGGGGACAGGTGGTCGTGTTGCAGACTGTGAAGAAATTTCCCCGTCAGGGTCCAGCCTGCCTGCCTGCCGCCACCTCACTCCTTCCCTGACAGTCTCGGAGGCTGGTAGGCCTCATGACCCTTCCGAGTTCCCCTCCAGATCCCTCACCAGCATTGCCAGATCTCCCCCTGAGCCCCCGGCTGGCCGGGAAATCGGCAGTTCTCAGTAGAAAGGCCTCAAGGCCTGTCCACAAGGGTGGCCAGCCCAGGTCATGCTGAGACACAGCCGCCTGTGCCCACTGGCAGTGCTGGTCTGCTCTGCCCCCTGACCCCGGCTGGTGGGGCTCACCGCACAGTGTCTCGGGGCAGCATGGGTTGTCAGCCTGGGGCCTGGTCAGGGTCACAAAGCCGGCCTGTCTGCACTGGAGGGGGAGGTCCCGGGGCTCGCAGGGCACGGCCTCACACTGCACCGTCACTGAGCTCGCCTCGCACTGGCATGTGTGGCAGTTGCTGACCCACCGTTCCCCTGGCTGGAGCAGAACAAGGAGCCAGGACTAGGCTCAGGGACAGAGTCCTCGGCCTTTCCAGCTCCACCCCTCTGCTGCCCAGGGGACGCAGGGGAGCCCACCCGGCAGAGCCGGCCACCCTTCTCCCCTCCCTCCCTCTGCTCAGATAGAGAAGGAGGAGGAAGAGCCACTCACGAGCTTGGGGAACCCGTCTGGTCCCACGCAGGCTGGAAGGAAAGGGGGAGTCGCTGGTGATGTCACAGGCTGGGGCTGGCACAGAGGGCCACAGGCCGAGGGGACTGTGCCCTAGGCCGCGCTGCCCGAGACCCCGGGCCAGAGCCCCTGTCTTCCCACCAGGATGGCACAGATGCCCCCTGGGAGGTTTGGGGGCATCGGGCCAGGGAGATGGGGCTGGGGTAGGACCACTGAGGGTCCAGCACAGTGCAGTGGGCTTGTAAGGGGACAGGGGACATGTCTAGCTGTGGGTGGGCAGCGCTTACGGCACTCAGACACACAGATGTCCATGCTAGAGCTGAAGAGGACCTGACCCTCGGGGCAGAAGCAGCCTTCAACCAGCCCCCGGTTCTCGGAGCTCTGGGTCCTGAAGGGTAAGAACACAGAGGACTCTGACCCTGTGGCCAGGTGGCAGCCTGAGGCAGCCCACATATTGCCATCAGGGGTTGGGGTGGGCCAGGTGTCCTGTCTTTCCTGGGCTCTGTCTGAAAGGGGCGTTGGAGCTTGGAGGCAGGGCTGGGGGGTCCAGGGAGTCTGGGGGTGCAGGCGTGTATAGGACTTCAGCTCAGACACCTGACCCATCCTGTCTTCCAGCTCCGCTCACACCTTCCGCACCAGCTGGCACCTACCTGGAGTTGCAGGACTGGGGCTGCAGGGGGCCACATGACTTGTACACCTTGGACGGAGGGCAGGAGAAGTCTGTGGGCACAGGGACAGCGATCATGAGCTGCTGCATGGGCCCGGAGGCTGGGGTCCTGGGCCACCCCGGCTCACCGCACTGCCCGCCGGTGGCATTGCGCCAGTCCACGCATGCCCCCCGGGCACGGCAGAGCCCTGCGTAGGCCTCCAGGTTCTGGCAGAGCGCCTCGGGGTTGCTGGTCTGGCAGCTCTCGTGCACACAGGTGCTAACGAAGGCACCAGGTGGGATGAGTCTGTGGCACTTGGCAAAGACCCTGCGGCGGGGTTGGGAGTGGTCAGTGGCCAGCGGGGAGCCTGGCTCTCACGGCCGCCGCCCGCGCCCACTGCGCCCAGGCCAGTGACTCACTTGCTCAGCATCACCTCACAGAGGTTTTTGAGAGGGCACGGGATAGAGGTGAGTGCGTTGGACACGGTGGGCATGAGGCTGGTGGGTGTGGGGCTGGTGCTTGGGGCCGGGCTGGACTGTACAGAGCAGTTTTGACTAATCCCAGGCAGCAGCCAGGCCCGGGCCATGTCCTGGCAGCTGGGGGCCATGGTGCCGTCTGGCCGGCGGCAGTCATCTCTCCGGTCGTTGGTGCAGGTTCCTGGGGGCGGTGGGGTCCGTCAGTCCCTCATGCGCCCCCCCTCCCCGTTCCCTCCCCGTCGATGGAGCACAGGGGCAGCTCCGGCCTGGAGAGGAGCAGGTAGCAGCCCGAGGGGCCCAGGGAGGAGGGCGGCTGGGGCGGGACCAGGCCCACTCACCGCACTGGCCCTCTGTGTTGTGGTTGAAGTGGCTGTAGGACAGCCGGATGTGGAAGATGCGGCCGTCAAAGGAGATGGTGGCGCCGATGGTGGGAATGTCGATGCTCATTGTGGAGGTTCCGGTCAGGGACACACTCACACCATCCTTGGTGAAGCTCCTGCTCAGCCTCGTTTGGTTAAACAGGATCTGGGGTTGCCCGTGGGGACCCATCGTCAGAGCAGGGCCAGGCAGCAGCGGGGACTGACTGACACAGGCCCGGGGTCCCATGCTCGGCTGTTCAGGGGTGCTCTTCCTTGGCCGCCCATCCCCAGCCTCCATGGCTCCCCTGGGGACTGCCTCTGGCACAAGATCCTGGTCTCTGGGGGCACCTAGCCTCTGCCCTGGTCACCACCACACCTAGGCCCTCAGTTTGCAACTTGGCCCCCGGGCCTCTGTGCTGGAAAGGCTGCAGACCGCCGTACACACTCACCAGGCCCTCCTCCTTCCTGCCGACCGTGGCCGTGGTGGTGAGGATGATCTCTGTGGATCCGAGGTTCACTTGGAGGGCCCGGGGACAGTGGGCGCTGGTGGCTACCCCGCAGTAGTGGTTGTGAATGATGACGCTCAGGTTCCCCCACTGAGGGCGGATCTCGCGCATGAGTAGGTAGGCGCAGTTGTCCAGGAAGGAGTAGGAGGTGCCGTCAAACGTCCTGTAGTGTGATTTCCCCCAGCCACTGCAGGAGCCTGAGGAACACAGCAGGCTGAGGCCTCCCCCTGGGGCTGTGCAGGCCCCGCCCCCACCCTGCCCCAGCCCTAAAATGGTGCACCTGAGCAGGTGAGGGGCGCAGGGTCTCCAAGTGGGACCAGCCAGGATTACCTAGGTGGACCCTGCATCCAGCGGCCGTGTCCTTTTAGACAAAGGAGCGGCCACGCAAACGCAGATGCACAGATGGGAGCCCCAGGCCGGAGAAGGCAAGGAGGTGCCCCCTGGACCCCAGATGGCCCCCGTGTCAGAGTTCAGCCTCTGGGATGGGAGAGCATGTCTGTGTTTTAAAACCTGGATTGGATCATTCCCCGTCCTTGGTACTCAATAATAGAAAACAGACACAGAATCCCAGACTCCACCCTACGGACACTGCCTGCACCCTTGCCTTGCTCACCTATGCTGTGCCCATTGTCCAGCCCTCCCCCGGGACTTGGGGCCTGCAGGCCAGAAGAGTGGGTACGTGTGCTGCTTGAGGCCACAAGAGCTACTGGCCTCCAGACAACCCCCCCCACTCCCATGTCCTGCCTGCACCCCGTGACCTGCCTGTACCCGACCCCGTGTTCCACCTGCACCCCGTGACCTGCCTGTACCCCACCCCGTGTTCCACCTATACCTTGTGTTCTATCTGAACCTCGTGTCCTGTTTGCACCCCCGTGTCCTGTCCTGTCCACACCCCCGTGTCCTGTCCTGTCTGCGCCCCCGTGTCCTGTCCGCACCCCCATGTCCTGTCTGCGCCCCCGTGTCCTGTCCTGTCTGCACCCCCGTGTCCTGTCCTGTCTGCACCCCCGTGTCCTGTCCTGTCCACACCCCCGTGTCCTGTCTTGTCTGCACCCCCGTGTCCTGTCCTGTCTGCACCCCCGTGTCCTGTCCACACCCCCGTGTCCTGTCTGCACCCCCGTGTCCTGTCCTGTCTGCACCCCCGTGTCCTGTCCTGTCTGCACCCCCGTGTCCTGTCCTGTCCACACCCCCGTGTCCTGTCCTGTCTGCACCCCCGTGTCCTGTCCTGTCCACACCCCCGTGTCCTGTCCTGTCTGCGCCCCCGTGTCCTGTCCTGTCCACACCCCCGTGTCCTGTCTGCACCCTCGTGTCCTGTCCACACCCCCATGTCCTGTCCTGTCTGCACCCCCGTGTCCTGTCTGCACCCCCGTGTCCTGTCCGCACCCCCGTGTCCTGTCTGCGCCCCCGTGTCCTGTCCTGTCTGCACCCCCGTGTCCTGTCCTGTCTGCACCCCCGTGTCCTGTCTGCACCCCCGTGTCCTGTCCTGTCTGCACCCCCGTGTCCTGTCTGCACCCCCGTGTCCTGTCCTGTCCGCACCCCCGTGTCCTGTCTGCACCCCCGTGTCCTGTCTGCACCCCCATGTCGTGTCCTGTCTGCACCCCCGTGTCCTGTCCTGTCTGCACCCCCGTGTCCTGTCCTGTCTGCACCCCCGTGTCCTGTCCTGTCTGCACCCCCGTGTCCTGTCTGCACCCCCGTGTCCTGTCCTGTCTGCACCCCCGTGTCCTGTCCTGTCTGCACCCCCGTGTCCTGTCCTGTTTGCACCCCCTCCACATGCAGCCCGCATCCCGTGACTGCTCACACTCGCATTCGTAGTGGAAGCGGCAGGGCTGGTCCTGGTCCCACACTTGGACGGGCAGGTACTCGTTCACACAGGTGATGTTGGCTACGGGCTCCGGCTTCAGGAGGATGATCTGGTTGTCGCCCTCACACCTGGCCACCGTGCAGTTGTCCAGGGTCCAGGTCTCGTTCACCTGGGGCAGGGACACACAAGGTGCTGACTTGGGAGCTTGTGGGGTCCCAGCTCCCTCCCCTCCCCACCTGCTGTCTGAGGTCCCTAGGCCCCTGAGCCCCAAAGAGCAGCCAGTTTGTAGTGAGCGGGACACAGATCCCACATGCCGGCCACAGACTGCAGCGAGCAGGGAAGGGGGCTTTGGTGCTGGCTCTGGTGCTGGTCCCAGCTCACACCAAATGGTAGTCCTGGCCAGAGGCCAGGCCCTGTGTCACATCTGAGAGAGGTGAAGGGTTGGGGGGAGACTACCTGTCGAGGAGGGACAGCGTTGTCACAGCCAGGAAGGATCGTTTGTGGGAGTGTAGGCTTGGAGGACATGGGTGGTGAGGAGGAGGGGCAGCTGTCCTGGTAGCGGTCAATGCCACAGTGCTGGTTGCAGATGGCATAGAAGTGGCAGCCAGCTCTGTCGGTCTTATTGTAGATGACTTCCCCTGAAAAATAGAGACCCGTAAGAGGCCAGTCACACCTCAGCTGTCCATGCATAAGACCAAGGGAAAAGCCAGGATGGAGGGGAGGCCATGGGGTAGAGAGGTGTTGGCTAGGGACAGAGGGGTGGAGAGTGGCCAGCAGGGAGCAGCTTCTATCTCTGAAGGCAGACAGACCCAGCTTGATAAGGACACAAGAAGAGGCACACAGTCCCCGCCACTCACCAGGTGAGAGGAGCTGTCCGAATGCACGGCAGAAACAGGGTGGACTGGGGAATGTGGTGGATCTGAGGGTGCTGATGCCCGAGGGAGAGGCAGTAGACACACTGAAACTTGGCAGGCTGTGGGGGGTCACCGTTGGGGGGAGGGTGCTCCCCAGGGTAAAGGAGGGGGGTGACAGTGGGGTGAGTAGATGTAGGCAAGACAGTTCTGCTGGTCAGCCCTGGGGGGACGTGAGTGGACACTGCTGTGGAGGAGCGGCTTGTGGATGAGGTGGCTGTGGTGGTCAGCCCTGGGGGTGCGTGAGTGGACACTGCTGTGGAGGAGTGGCCTGTGGTTGATGCAGTGGCTGTGGGTGAGGTGGCCGTGGTGGTCAGCCCTGGGGGTGCGTGAGTGGACCCTGGTGTGGAGGAGGGGCCTGTGGGTGAGGTGGCCGTGGTGGTCAGCCCTGGGGGTGCGTGAGTGGACCCTGGTGTGGAGGAGGGGCCTGTGGTTGATGCAGTGGCTGTGGGTGAGGTGGCCGTGGTGGTCAGCCCTGGGGGGACATGAGTGGACCCTGGTGTGGAGGAGGGGCCTGTGGGTGAGGTGGCCGTGGTGGTCAGCCCTGGGGGTGCGTGAGTGGACCCTGGTGTGGAGGAGGGGCCTGTGGGTGAAGTGGCCGTGGTGGTCAGCCCTGGGGGTGCGTGAGTGGACCCTGGTGTGGAGGAGGGGCCTGTGGGTGAGGTGGCCGTGGTGGTCAGCCCTGGGGGTGCGTGAGTGGACCCTGGTGTGGAGGAGGGGCCTGTGGGTGAAGTGGCCGTGGTGGTCAGCCCTGGGGGTGCGTGAGTGGACCCTGGTGTGGAGGAGGGGCCTGTGGGTGAGGTGGCCGTGGTGGTCAGCCCTGGGGGTGAGCGAGTGGACCCTGGTGTGGAGGAGGGGCCTGTGGTGGCTCCTGTGGCTGTGGGTGAGGTGGCCATGGTGGTCAGCCCTGGGGGTGCGTGAGTGGACCCTGGTGTGGAGGAGGGGCCTGTGGGTGAGGTGGCCGTGGTGGTCAGCCCTGGGGGTGCGTGAGTGGACCCTGGTGTGGAGGAGGGGCCTGTGGGTGAAGTGGCCGTGGTGGTCAGCCCTGGGGGTGCGTGAGTGGACCCTGGTGTGGAGGAGGGGCCTGTGGTGGCTCCTGTGGCTGTGGGTGAGGTGGCCGTGGTGGTCAGCCCTGGGGGTGAGCGAGTGGACCCTGGTGTGGAGGAGGGGCCTGTGGTGGCTCCTGTGGCTGTGGGTGAGGTGGCCGTGGTGGTCAGCCCTGGGGGTGCGTGAGTGGACCCTGGTGTGGAGGAGGGGCCTGTGGTGGCTCCTGTGGCTGTGGGTGAGGTGGCCGTGGTGGTCAGCCTTGGGGGTGCGTGAGTGGACCCTGGTGTGGAGGAGGGGCCTGTGGTGGCTCCTGTGGCTGTGGGTGAGGTGGCCGTGGTGGTCAGCCTTGGGGGTGCGTGAGTGGACCCTGGTGTGGAGGAGGGGCCTGTGGGTGAGGTGGCCGTGGTGGTCAGCCCTGGGGGTGAGCGAGGGGACCCTGGCACAGGGGAGGAAGCCGCCGTGGATCCGGTGGTCGTGGCCACGGTGTCGCAGTGGCTGTAGTCTCCACAGCACAGCACGCGCACGTGGTAGTTGTGGCAGTACTTCAGGCGGCCCGGCTGCTCCAGGTTTCTGCACACCAGCCCCACGCGCACGTCGCATTTCACCACCTGGTCCAGGGCCTCCAGGGGTTGGTCTGGCTCCTTCTCCGAGCGGCACTGGATGTCCTGTGGCTGCTCACAGAAGACGTGCCCGGCCGTGCGGAGGACGGAGAGTGTCTCAAAGTCCCCGCCGTTGGCCCCCGGAGTGGGGTAGTCCTCATCCATCCAGTCTGTCCAGGTGCACCGGGGTCTGCAAGCCGTGGACCCTGCTGTGGAGGCTGAAGGGGTCGCTGTGGGGCCAGCAGTCGGCACGGGCGACGTCCGGGTCTTTGGATGTGCTGTAGTGAGTTCAGTGGTGGCATTTCCGGGGGCAGGGACTGACCCGCTGGTCCTGGGGTTAGCAGAGGTACCGGAGGTGGCCCACCCTGTGATGGTGGTGGTTCTGGAGGGCTTGGATGTGGTCTGAGGGGTGGATGTGGATGGGCTTGTGACCTGGGAAGTGTTTGTGACTATGGCTGAGGATGTCAGGGTAGTGGGCCTTGAGTGGGGACTGGTGGGGGACAGTGAGATCCCTTGGGAGGTGGCCGTGGTGGTCATCCCTGGGGGTAAGCGAGTGGACCCTGGTGTGGAGGAGGGGCCTGTGGGTGAGGTGGCCGTGGTGGTCAGCCCTGGGGGTACGTGAGTGGACCCTGGTGTGGAGGAGGGACCTGTGGGTGAGGTGGCCGTGGTGGTCAGCCCTGGGGGTGCATGAGTGGACCCTGTTGTGGAGGAGGGGCCTGTGGTAGCTCCTGTGGCTGTGGGTGAGGTGGCCGTGGTGGTCAGCCCTGGGGGTATGTGAGTGGACCCTGGTGTGGAGGAGGGGCCTGTGGGTGAGGTGGCCGTGGTGGTCAGCCCTGGGGGGACATGAGTGGACCCTGGTGTGGAGGAAGGGCCTGTGGTGGTTCCTGTAGCTGTGGGTGAGGTGGCCATGGTGGTCAGCCCTGGGGGTGCGTGAGTGGACCCTGGTGTGGAGGAGGGGCCTGTGGTGGCTCCTGTGGCTGTGGGTGAGGTGGCCGTGGTGGTCAGCCCTGGGGGTGCGTGAGTGGACCCTGGTGTGGAGGAGGGGCCTGTGGGTGAGGTGGCCGTGGTGGTCAGCCCTGGGGGTGCGTGAGTGGACCCTGGTGTGGAGGAGGGGCCTGTGGGTGAGGTGGCCGTGGTGGTCAGCCCTGGGGGTGAGCGAGGGGACCCTGGCACAGGGGAGGAAGCCGCCGTGGATCCGGTGGTCGTGGCCGCGGTGTCGCAGTGGCTGTAGTCTCCACAGCACAGCACGCGCACGTGGTAGTTGTGGCAGTACTTCAGGCGGCCCGGCTGCTCCAGGTTTCTGCACACCAGCCCCACGCGCACGTCGCATTTTACCACCTGGTCCAGGGCCTCCAGGGGTTGGTCTGGCTCCCTCTCCGAGCGGCACTGGATGTCCTGTGGCTGCTCACAGAAGACGTGCCCGGCCGTGCGGAGGACGGAGAGTGTCTCAAAGTCCCCGCCGTTGGCCCCCGGAGTGGGGTAGTCCTCATCCATCCAGTCTGTCCAGGTGCACCGGGGTCTGCAAGCCGTGGACCCTGCTGTGGAGGCTGAAGGGGTCGCTGTGGGGCCAGCAGTCGGCACGGGCGACGTCCGGGTCTTTGGATGTGCTGTAGTGAGTTCAGTGGTGGCATTTCCGGGGGCAGGGACTGACCCGCTGGTCCTGGGGTTAGCAGAGGTACCAGAGGTGGCCCACCCTGTGATGGTGGTGGTTCTGGAGGGCTTGGATGTGGTCTGAGGGGTGGATGTGGATGGGCTTGTGACCTGGGAAGTGTTTGTGACTATGGCTGAGGATGTCAGGGTAGTGGGCCTTGAGTGGGGACTGGTGGGGGACAGTGAGATCCCTTGGGAGGTGGCCGTGGTGGTCAGCCCTGGGGGTATGTGAGTGGACCCTGGTGTGGAGGAGGGACCTGTGGGTGAGGTGGCCGTGGTGGTCAGCCCTGGGGGTACGTGAGTGGACCCTGGTGTGGAGGAGGGGCCTGTGGGTGAGGTGGCCGTCGTGGTCAGCCCTGGGGGTGCGTGAGTGGACCCTGGTGTAGAGGAGAGGGTGGTGGTTGATCCCATGGCTGTGGTCAGGGGGCTGGAAGGGAGCCTGGCCTGAGACGTGGGGCTGCTGGCGGAGGACCCTTGGGTGGGCAGGGTGTGGGAGGTGCGCTGGCCTGCCGTCGGTGGGATGCTGGGCAGGGAGGACTTGGAATTTGTGGTCGGAGTCCCTGATGTTGGGGTGTGGCTGACGGTGGAGGCTGGGAGGGTCGTGGCACTGGGCAGCCTCTGGGGGGTCCTGGGAGAAGTCCCGGGGTGGAAGGGGCTTGTTGGGGTTGGGACCAGGGTTGAGGGCCCGCGGGCTGTGGCTGTGGCTGTGGCCGTGGCTGAGTGCCCCGTGCTGGGGGACCCCGGCCCCGGGGAGGCGGTGCCGCAGGGCCCGCTGTCTTCGCAGCAGAGCACGCGGATGTGGTAGTTGAGACAGGTCTGGCCTGCAGGCTGCTTGCTGTTCCGGCAGATGAGCCCGTAGTCCACGTTGCAGAGCACCACCTGGCCGAGCTGCTGGAGGGACGTGTTGGGGAAGAGGACCGCCTCACACTGGATGGCCGTGGGGTTCGTGCACAGCTTCACCCCCGAGGTCATGATACGGTAGTAGGTTTCGATGTCACCCCCAAAGCGTCCTGGCTGGGGCTGGTCTGAGTCCAGCCAGTCCGTCCAGGCGCACTTAGGCCTGCAGGCTGTGGGCTCTGTTCCTGTGGTGGCGGCAGGGCTGGTGGCGGCGGTGAGGGTGGGGGCGGTGGTGGTGGGGGCGGTGGTGGTGGGGGCGGTGGGCGGGGCGGCGCTCGGACAGTGGCTGTAATCATCACAGCACAGCACCCGCACATTGTAGTTGAAGCACATGTGGAACTCCCCCTTCTGGTCCTTGTTCCTGCAGATCAGCCCCTCCTTCAGGCTGCAGGTCAGCACCTGCCCGATGCTGTCGATGCTCACCGCGGGGTAGTTCTCTGCCCGGCATTCTATCTTCTCCGGAGCTTCGCACAGCTTGCCGCCCGCAGCCCGGATGTTTTCGTAGGTCTCCATGTCCCCACGCTCCACTCCTGAGGTCGGGAAGTCCACATCAAACCATTCCGTCCAGTTGCACCTGGGCGGGCAGGGGGTCGGGCCTCGGCTGGCGGTGACCCCAGCCGTGGTGCCTGGTGGCCTGTGCGTCCTCGGTCTGTCGGTTTCTGCTTGGGAAGTGGACAGCTGGCTCGTGTGGGTGGTCCGTGGCGGGCTCGTGGCCAGAGTCTCTGTGGAGATGGTGCTAGCCGTGCCCGTGAGTCCTCCTGTGGGAGAGCTGGCCGTGGACGCTGCTGTGGCGGTGGGTGTGGTCTTGGCCGGTGTGGATGTGGGAGGCGTCGACGTGGCCCCTCCTGAGCTGGGGGTTTTCGTGGACCCTCGAGAAGCTGTGGCTTGTTCTGTGGTGGCTGTGACCTGTGTGTGTCTGGGAGATACCGGTGACATGCTGGCTGTCCCCGTGGTACTGGCTAGGGAAGTCCCAGTCACCACCGGGCTGCTGGTGGGCTGTGGCCTTGGGGAGGGGGTCCAGGTGGCCGTGGCTGGCGGTGTGGTGGTGGCGGGCGCCTGGCAGTGGCTGCGGCTGCAGCACAGCACGCGGATCATGTAGTTGTAGCACATGGGGAAGGGGCCCTCCTGCTCCTGGTTGCGGCACACCAGGCCGGAGCGGACGTCACAGTGCACCCGCTGACCCAGCCTGTCCAGGCTCCAGCCGGGGAAGTTCTGGGCCTGGCACTGGATGTCCTGCGGCTGCTCACAGAGCTCGGCCCCCGTGGCCCGGATCCTGTCGAACGTCTCAGTGTCTCCCCCGGCGAGCTCGGATTTGGGGTAATCCGTGTCAAACCACCCCGTCCACTGACAGCGGGGCTGGCAGGTGGTGGAGCCCGAGGTCACGGTGCTGCTGCCCAGGTGGGTGGGTACCACAGTCGGGGTGCCAGGGGCCGGTGCAGGCCCGGAGCTGAGTGAGGTCCCCAGGATGGCTGTGGTCGGGGCGGGACCGGGCAGGGAGGCGGGGGTGGTGGTGCCCGTGGTGCGGGTGGACAGGGAGGTCTCCGTGGTGGCCCCAGATGGAGAGGGGGAGGGGCTGCCGCTCGGGGCTGGGGAGGCGCCACACGGCGTGAGCTCGCAGCACAGGACCCGCAGCTCGTAATCGTGGCAGAGCGGGGGGCTCTGCTCCCTGTTGAGGCACAGCAGTCCCTGGGCCGGGTCGCAGGTCACCTTCTGACCCAGCTCCTGCAGGGGCGTGTCGGGGAACTGCACCGCGCGGCACTGGATGTCTGCAGGGGCCTGGCACACCGGGTGTCCACTTTGCCTCAGGTTCAGGAACGTTTCGAAGTCCCCGCCCGCCATGCTGGGCTCTGGGTGGCTCCCGTCCAGCCAGGCGGACCAGCGGCACGCCTTGCGAACACACACGGTGGATGGAGTAGGAGCTGAGCCTGCATGGAAGGCAGGAGAGGGTCCACTGAGCCTCCCCTGGCCTGGCCGCGCCCGGGGACCGGCTTCCGGTGCACTCACCCTTGGCGGGAGGGGCCGAGGTGGTGGTAAAGGTGAAAGGCGTGGTGGATGGACTCATAGCACACACTGAGGTCCTCCGGATTATCGTTCCGTTTTCCCCGCAGGTGGCCGCCAGGCAGGCGCCCAGGCCGTCTGTGGTGTTGTAGATGGTGTCCCCGTAACCGTAGGTGCGGTTCTCGTAGGTGCAGTGACAGGCTGGGGGGCGGTGGGCATCAGCTCACTCACCTGAGCCCCCAGCCCCACCCCAGCCCTCACCCGGGACCACTCCTCACCTGAGAGGCTGTAAGCACACTGGAGGCCCGCAGTGGTGCAGCGGCTGGGGGTGGGGGGAGCGGTGAGGTCCTGGAAGGCAGGCCCCATCTCCCCATCCCGCCCCTCTTCGCTCTCCCCTCCCCTCCCCTCCCCCATCTGCCTCTCACCAGGTCTGGCAGTTCTCTGCATTGGGGACCTGCATGTCCCTCCCCTCCCCTCCCCTCCCCTCCCCCATCTGCCTCTCACCAGGTCTGGCAGTTCTCTGCAGTGGGGACCTGCATGTCCCTCCCCTCCCCTCCCCTCCCCTCCCCCATCTGCCTCTCACCAGGTCTGGCAGTTCTCTGCAGTGGGGACCTGCATGTCCCTCCCCTCCCCTCCCCTCCCCTCCCCTCCCCCATCTGCCTCTCACCAGGTCTGGCAGTTCTCTGCAGTGGGGACCTGCATGTCCCTCCCCTCCCCTCCCCTCCCCTCCCCCATCTGCCTCTCACCAGGTCTGGCAGTTCTCTGCAGTGGGGACCTGCATGTCCCTCCCCTCCCCTCCCCTCCCCTCCCCCATCTGCCTCTCACCAGGTCTGGCAGTTCTCTGCAGTGGGGACCTGCATGTCCCTCCCCTCCCCTCCCCTCCCCTCCCCCATCTGCCTCTCACCAGGTCTGGCAGTTCTCTGCAGTGGGGACCTGCATGTCCCTCCCCTCCCCTCCCCTCCCCTCCCCTCCCCCATCTGCCTCTCACCAGGTCTGGCAGTTCTCTGCAGTGGGGACCTGCATGTCCCTCCCCTCCCCTCCCCTCCCCTCCCCCATCTGCCTCTCACCAGGTCTGGCAGTTCTCTGCAGTGGGGACCTGCATGTCCCTCCCCTCCCCTCCCCTCCCCTCCCCTCCCCCATCTGCCTCTCACCAGGTCTGGCAGTTCTCTGCAGTGGGGACCTGCATGTCCCTCCCCTCCCCTCCTCTCCCCTCCCCCATCTGCCTCTCACCAGGTCTGGCAGTTCTCTGCAGTGGGGACCTGCATGTCGATGTCATAGTAATTTTCTTTCTCATCATAGCAGCCGCACTGGGCCACACACTTCATCTGGTCCTCACTGAAGAAGGGCTGGCTGTCGGGGCACTCTGGGTAGCAGCCTGGGGGCGGGGTAGGGGGCTCGCTGGTCCTCCACCCTCTCTGACAGGTCCGGGGCTCCTCTATCCCCCTCCGCCCAGCAGAGCCAGCCCAGGGCTGGCAGACGCCTTACCCTCCATGCCGGGCAGGTCAAGCAGACACTTGCCGCTGGGGTTCCGGCAGGTCTTCAGGCAGGGGGCCCCGCAGGGCTGGTAGTGCCACTCACACTGCCCATGGGGGTTGTAGTAGTCGCAGAACAGAGCTGGGCAAGAGGGCGGAGGCTAAGCGGGCGCCCGCCAGGCCTCCTTGTGAGTGCCCAGGGCCAGCCCACCCTCGGTTCAGAGCGCCCACCAAGCCCCCTTCCCTCAGCACCCAGGACATCGCCACCTCAGGCGCAGGTCCCGGGCCAGGCCGGGCCTCGCCAGCCCCGAAGCTCTGCACCGAGCTGTGTGCGTGCACCGTTGAGGTGCGTGCCCCTAGGCGTGCGCACACGCGTGTCATGGACGTGTATGTGCACGCCTGCTGCCTGGTTCCGCGTTCAGCACCACGGACAGAGCCCCACTCACGGCAGACGTCGGGCGTCCTCCAGGACACGCACACGCCCACGTCGTGGCAGGCCTGGGCGTAGGCCGCCACGGCGGTGCACAGACACTCGCAGTCTCCCCCCGAGTCGCACGCACACGCGTCGCTCACGCAGGCCTCGTAGTACTTGGTGGAGTCGATCTGGAGCAGAAGGGCCGAGGCGCCACTCAGGGAAGAGCCACAGCCAGCCAGGCGCCAGAACCAGCCCTGAGCAGCCGCAGGCAGCCTCCACCCCAGTGACCTCAGATATCCCGGGTCTGTGAGGTGCTTTCTGGGGGATCCCGAACGGGAGCCCCTCCCAGCCCACCTCTCCAGGCACCTTCTCCTGCCCTCCCACGCACCTGCACCTACAGCCCTCAGATCCTTTTAGTATATGAGGATGTGGCCCACAGGTTCCAGGCCCGCCCAGGACATCACCCCTGCCCTGCGCCCCTAGCCTGGCCCTCTGCCCTTGTGCCCTGGCTTGCTCTGCTCGGCAGGCTGGCCTGTCCTTCCTCTGCGTATAGGGATGACACCTTCCTCACACTGATGCTCTCTGGCCCCTGCTCAGGCTGCTCTGCACAGAGCCCCACTCTGGCCACCCCACTGCCTTGTTTCCTGAAGTTGAGCTATGCAAGAACACTCTATTTTCTGTTCTCCGGGGATGGGTTGGAGCCCAGAACCTTCCGGGCTCCTCAGGAAGCTCCAGGTGACGGTGGGGGGCAGGAGCCGTGCCCGGCCTTGCTTCGCTTCCGACCGGCACATCCTTGCTGTGCGTGGCCGGCCCCTGTGCCCTCAGGAGAGCCCGGCCGTAAGGCCCAAGCCAAGCAGGAGGCCAATAGGGCTGTGCGGGCTGCCTGTTTGTACTGTGAGGATGAAGGTGCTGCAGGGTGGCTGCCCGGCTGGGGCACGAGCTGTGGGTGCGAGGGGCACTCTGTCCCCGTGTGGAGCAGTGGCTGCCACGCCCTGGGCAGCCACTCCCCCTCATCACCACCACCGCCTGACTTAGGGATTTGTGTCGCTAGGTAGGCACACCAGTGTTGGTTAGAAACCGCAGGATGGATTTTAGAAGTCCCTAGTGAAGGCCGATCACCCTGTCCTCCTGGGGAGCCCGGGTGGCCTTCCCATCCGTGCTGCTGACTGGGCAGGCCTGGCACTGTGAACAGGGAGCCACTGGTGGGGGCTGGGACAGCAGTGATGTCCCATGCCTGGGACCCAGGGACCTGTCCCGTGAGAGATCCAGCCCATGTAATCCAGCCTGTGTTGTGCCCAGCCTGGCCCTGCTGGACTCCCATGAGAAGGAGACAACCAAAGACCCTGCAAGCCCCTGTCCCCTGCGGGCCCCTGTCCCCTGCGGACCCCTGTCCCCTGCGGGCCCCTGTCCCCTGCGGGCCCCTGTCCCCTGCAGACCCCTGTCCCCTGCAGACCCCTGTCCCCCTGCGGGCCCCTGTCCCCCTGCGGGCCCCTCCCACCCAGCCCAAGCCCAGGTCTCCCTAGGTCCCACCTGAGGGTGACAGGCAGCGAAGGTCTTGCTGTTGATGATGCTGCACTGCTTCTGGGCCCAGGACTTGCGGTAAGGGTTGGCAGTGCAGGGGTCCTTGGGCACCAGGGCATCGGGGCAGGACGGGGAGAACTTCCAGCTGTTGCCGAACTCCAGGGCGTCTCCCACCACAGACTGACTCCGCGTGGTGAAGTCGTTGATGGCGTTGTCATCGAAGTTCCCGCACAGGCCGCAGACCCTGCCCTGCAGCCCATGGAGAACACACAGCCCAGATGGGACAGGCCTGGCCGGGGGCAGGGCCACAGGGCAGCCAGGGAGTCCCTCTGGGCACGGGGGGTGCGATGTGAAGTGGGTCCTGGGGCAGACGGCTGGAGAGCACCTGCTCCCTTAAATCTCCCTGCCAGAGGCGGGGGGGGGGGGGGGGGGGACCCGAGGCATCAGCCTCGCCTCTCTAGTTAGAGCCTTTGCAACCGAGGCCCAGCCCGAGGCAGCAGACTCCACCCCAGCAGGACCTGCCTGGGCGCGGGGGCCCCACCAGCTGTGCGCACCTTGTAATGCTGCTTCAGTCGGATGAACACACTGGTCTTCCGGTCCCAGGACACAACCAGCCCACCGCGTGTCTCAATGACCAGGAAGATGCCCATGTAGCGGATCTTGTAAGGCAGGGTCCCGCCGGACCCCCTGTGTACCATCTGGACGCGCCCCTCATGGAGGAGCAGCTCGTGGCTCTGTGGGTGGAGGGATAAGGGGCGGCGGCTGCAGGGACTGAGAGGGCCGAGGGGCTCACCGTGAGGCCGGGACTCAGGACAGGCCCCTGAACTCGGCGACTCACAGCGAGCCCGGCCAGAGGCCAGGGAAGGCCGTGGCGATCACACCGCCATCACCCACAGCCGCCCTCCTCAGCCCCTCCCGCCAGGAGCTCTGCTTTCTGCCTTGTGTGAACTCTGGTCTACCTTCCGTGAGAGTGGGGTCCGGGTGTGTGGGGTGAACCTGTCTGCCCCATGAAAGCCACGTTACGAGCCTTGGAAGGGCTGGGATGTAACCTGTGGCCGAGCCCGTGCCCAGAATCCATAAGGCTCTGGGTGCCATCCAGCACAGCAATGCTCACACAAACTTCTTGTCTAAAAACAAAGGCCTCTGTAGACAATGAAGAATTTTGGACTGGATCATCCTAAACTGCCTGGATAGCCTTCAATCCAATATGGTGCCCTTTTATATGACAGAGGCGAATACACAGACAGGGTGGAAGGCTATGAGAAGACGAAGGCAGAGGTTGGAGCCCCAGCCGGCCTCCGTGTCAGCCTCCAGGCCTCAGGTGAGGCGGGCCTGTGGTTTGGTGTGGTTTGGCGTGGTGCCTCTGGCTGGGTGCACCTCACCTCTAGGAAGACCTTGATGGCCTTGGAGCAGGTGGTCCCCGTGGTCCCGCAGGGGACGTTCTCCGTGACGATGCGGAAGGTCCCGTTGGTGCTGACACCCCCGCAGTAGTCCTGTGATGGGAGGAGAGGAAGCGTCGGTCACGGGCACCACGGAGGCTCCGTGCGGGGTGGACTGCCCGGTGCCGTGGGGCAGCCCAAGCCACGCACCTGGGCCAGGACATACTCGCAGCTGCCCTGGAAGCTGTAGCGCTCCCCGTCAAACGTGATGAAGTGGCCGTCCCCGTAGGCCACGCAGGTGCCCAGGCAGGGCCGGTCCGTGCATGCCCATCGCCGGTTCTTGCAGGTGCTGTGGGGTGGGGAGGGGGGCTGCTCACCGCGCCCAGCTCTGAGCCAGTGTGCTGCCCACAGCCCAGCCAGGGCAGGGCTTGTGTGGACAGGCAGGCAGTCACCTCAAACTCCAGACCCAAGTCTCGTCCAGGCTCTAGCCCTGCCGTGCCGGTGCCAGCTGAGGCCCTCCCGCCCTGCCTCCCGTGGCCCGGCACCCACCAGGTGTTGCAGTCTGCCCGGATTGTCTCCCCAGGTCTGTAGGTGGCCTCGTTGTGCACACACGGACAGTCTTCCTCGGCAATGCAGCCCCCGTGTCCGTCTGCCACCAGCCCCTGCGGGCACACGCAGCCCGAGACACAGTGTGTGCTGAACTGTGGGCATAGGCAGCCTGGTCAGGGACAGGAGCGTGGCCTGCTCACCCATCTCTCCTGGGGTCCTGGGACTTGAGGCAAGTGCACACTTCCCACCTGGTAGTGGCCAGGCAGGGGTCACATGGGGAGTGGGGCATCGAGGCCAAAGCCGTGGCCACCTAGTGGGGGCGGGGGTATCCGGGGCCATCCCAGCGCCCCTCCCGGTGGCTCAGGTCCTGCCAGCGATACTCACGCAGTCAACGTCCAGCGTGCGGCAGCTCCTGAGGCACTCGGCCCCGGGGGTGCCCGCCGTGACCTTGTTGCAGTCCAGGTGCACCATGGGTGCCACACAGCCTGGAGGGGCAGAGTTCATGAGAGGGGCTGGCGGGAGAGGCAGCCACGCCCCCGCTGCGTCTGCTGACCCCATTGTGCTTTGGGGTTCTGATCAGAGTGTCCAGGCTGCCTCAGACCTGTCCCACGGAGCCAGGATGCACAACCCAAGGTACTGTGGCCACACTAGACAGAAGCCAGTGGCCTTTCCCTGCAGCATCTTGGCACGGTGTCCGTGGCAGGAGCCCGGGGCGCGGCTGGGCTGGGACAGGAGGAGCCCGGGGCGCGGCTGGGCTGGGCGGGCTGGGACAGGGCAAGTGTGTTACCTGTGTTCTCCTGCAGTGTGGCTCCCAGGCAGTTCAGCTTCCCATTCGTGCACGAGCTACAAGAGAAGACAAGCCACCTGGTCTGAACTCCAGGCCCCTACCTGGCCACCCTGGGCTGGCTTAGACCGCCTCAGGCTGCACCATCTCCTCTCAGGACTCGGACGGTGCCTGCTGCTAGGCAGCCGTCACTAGGATGGGCGAGAAGGCAGCTGCACACAGCCCCAGGCCTGTGCTATAGATTGTCCCTCTGATGTCCCCCAATGTCCTTGGTGCTAGTCTTGGTCTGCAGTCTCCTGGGAGGAGGTAGACCTATAAGAGGTGTGGCCTGTGGGGAGGAGGTGAGGTCATGGGCTGTGGGGAGGAGGTGAGGTCATGGGCTGTGGGGAGGAGGTGAGGTCATGGGCTGTAGGGAGGAGGTGAGGTCATGGGCTGTGGGGAGGAGGTGAGGTCATGGTCATGGGCTGTGGCCTGTGGGGAGGAGGTGAGGTCATGGTCATGGGCTGTGGGGAGGAGGTGAGGTCATGGTCATGGGCTGTGGGGAGGAGGTGAGGTCATGGTCATGGGCTGTGGGGAGGAGGTGAGGTCATGGGCTGTGGGGAGGAGGTGAGGTCATGGACTGTAGGGAGGAGGTGAGGTCATGGGCTGTGGGGAGGAGGTGAGGTCATGGTCATGGGCTGTGGGGAGGAGGTGAGGTCATGGGCTGTGGGGAGGAGGTGAGGTCATGGGCTGTGGGGAGGAGGTGAGGTCATGGTCATGGGCTGTGGGGAGGAGGTGAGGTCATGGGCTGTGGGGAGGAGGTGAGGTCATGGTCATGGGCTGTGGCCTGTGGGGAGGAGGTGAGGTGGGCACATGCTTTGGTGGGGTCCTAAGAGCTAGACCCCGCTTGATCTCCTCATAACCGCAGAGCACATTGCAGCATCAGGGCAGGGAGGCAGTGGCTGTGGACTGGACCCTCGGGCCTGGGAACCCAGGTAAACCCTTCCTCCTCTACTGACTGTCTGCAGTTTGTCGTTATAGAAAGGAAGGCTGGCAGAGGGTGTGACCCTTCCAGTCCTTGCTGACCCTCTCCCCCCCCGGCCCCTTTGGGGGCCCAGGACCCTTGAACAACAACTCCCAGGCCTCTTTGTATGGGTCTGGCAAGTGTCCTTCACCTCAGTGCATATGTATCTGTGTCTGTGTGTGCATGCATCTGTGTCAGTGTATGGATGTGCATGTGTGCACGCATCTGTGTCAGTATATGGATGTGTGTGTGTGCATGCATCTGTGTCAGTATATGGATATGTGTATGTGCATGTGTATTTTTGCATGGGTGCGCATAGGTGTGTGTGCATGTATATGCATGTGTGCATATGTATTATGTATATGTGAGTGTGTATGGACATGGGTGTATATGTGTATGTGTGATTGTGTGTGCATGAGTGTGCATGAATGCATGTGCATATGTGCATGTATGTGTGTACGCAAGTGCATGTGTGTATGTGTGTGCATGTGTGTCTATGCACGTGAGCGTGTCTGTGATTGTGCATTGTATGTGCGCATGGGTGTGTGTGCACATGTGTGCGCATGTGCACATGTCAGATACAGCTTCTGGGTGTTGAGATGCTGAGGCCCACCCGCAGGGTGTGAGTGCTGGCAGCTGGCCTGCACCAGTCCCTGGCCTCCATACCGTGTGTGTGTGTGTATGTGTGTGCGCACGTGTCAGATGCAGCTTCTGGGTGTTGAGATGCTGAGGCCCACCCGCAGGGTGTGAGTGCTGGCAGCTGGCCTGCACCAGTCCCTGGCCTCCATACCGTGTGTGTGTGTGTATGTGTGTGCGCACGTGTCAGATGCAGCTTCTGGGTGTTGAGATGCTGAGGCCCACCCGCAGGGTGTGAGTGCTGGCAGCTGGCCTGCACCAGTCCCTGGCCTCCATACCGTGTGTGTGTGTGTATGTGTGTGCGCACGTGTCAGATGCAGCTTCTGGGTGTTGAGATGCTGAGGCCCACCCGCAGGGTGTGAGTGCTGGCAGCTGGCCTGCACCAGTCCCTGGCCTCCATACCGTGTGTGTGTGTGTATGTGTGTGCGCACGTGTCAGATGCAGCTTCTGGGTGTTGAGATGCTGAGGCCCACCCGCAGGGTGTGAGTGCTGGCAGCTGGCCTGCACCAGTCCCTGGCCTCCATACCGTGTGTGTGTGTGTATGTGTGTGCGCACGTGTCAGATGCAGCTTCTGGGTGTTGAGATGCTGAGGCCCACCCGCAGGGTGTGAGTGCCGGCAGCTGGCCTGCACCAGTCCCTGGCCTCCTTACCACATGACGCTGTTGTCCTGCACGACCTCTCCGGGAGCCACCACGGTGCCTCTGAAGTAGCAGGGACACTCCTGGGCGGGCACGCAGGCGCCCCTGTCATTCAGGAAGGTGCCGTTGGGGCACGTGCAGCCGTCCACGGGCACGAAGGAGACGCCGCAGGTGGCGTCGGCCTCGCTCAGGGCGCGGCAGGTGGGCTGGCAGGTGTCCACCACGTACGCGTAGCTCTGCGACTTGGGGCAGCTGCTCATATACTTGGCTGTGGAAGGCAAGAGTGGGGACAGAGTGGTCTGTGGCCAGCAAAACTGGCCCAGCCCTTCCCCCACCAGCCCCAGACTCGGGGTCCCTGCAGGGGCATGATGGGCTTGTGGGGTTCTCAGGAGGTCAGGATGGAAAAACGAAAGCCCCTACCTATGACGGGACCCCTGGCTGCCCCTCTCCCACCTCCCCTGACCCGGTGCCCGTCCCTGCACCTCCCCCGACCCCGGCACAGAGCCCCGGCAGGCAGGCGCTCACCACAGACATCCTTCCTCCAGCCGCTGAGCAGCACGCCCTGGGCCGCACAGGCTCGCACGTAGGAGGACAGGGCCGCGCACATGCAATCCTCGCTCCTCTCACAGTTGCACGTGTCGAACATGCAGTTCTGGGGGCGCAGGTCGGGGCATCAGGGACCCCTCTGGTCCCTTGGGGCCCCTCAGCACCCACACCTTCTCCCACCAGCATCAGCTGAGTCCGAGGCTCACGGCCCTGCAAATGGAGGCTTGGAGAGGAGGCTCTGGCCACCAGGAGAGAGCGGAGGCCAGGCCTGCGCACAGGGGACCAGGGAGCTGGAAGGCTCAAAGGAGGGGAGGCCAGGAGGGTCTCCTGGAGACGGAGGGCCCGCCCCACACTCGTGAGAGGGGTGCCACACTGGGGGCGCTCCCCCCCCCCACATCTACACATATGTGGGGCGTGGGTGAGACCCTTGCAGGTAGCCTTGAGCTCAAGTTGGCTGAGATCCTCAGAAGCGGGGAAATGGACGGGTCGTGGATGGCAGCAAGGACCCTCCCACGGCCTCCAGGACTTTGTTTTTAGTTGCGATTCTCCATTAGCTTCCCCAGAAACCCTGGGCCAGGCAGCGGGGGGTGGGGGGGGGGCTCCAGGGCTTCCCTGCCTCCCCCATGGCCACAGCCTCTCACCGAGTGGAAGGGTACGGGGCTGACGGTGGAGTGGCAGGCCGAGAACACGCCCCTGGGGTCCGTCAGCAGTGAGCACCAGTGCTGGGCGTAGTTTTCTGGGGGACAGGTGGAATGTAGGGTACCACCCTCTCCTGCCTCTTGGAGCCTGCTTCCCTCCTCCTCCCTCCCCTTATCCCTCATGTCCCCTCCCTCCCCCTCCCTCCCCTCCCTCCCCTCCCTCACCTTATCCCTTGTGCTCCCCTCCCCCCTTGCCCCCTTGAGCACTCCTGTGTACATGGAGTCTCCCCCCTCCTCGCCCCCAAGGCCCTCATGACTAGGGTCAGGCAGGGCTGTGCAGCAGCCAAGGGCCACAGGAAGGCTACCGTTCTCCACGCTGAGCGAGCAGGGGTCCTCGAAGACGTTCTTGGAGTTGGGGCAGGTTGCCTGGGTCTTCCAGGTGTTGGCAAAGGCAGCACCCGTCCCCTCCACCACCCCGCTGAGGGCCGTGAAGTCGTCTGCCTGGTTCTGGTTGAAGTTCCCACACAGGCCTGGGAGCCAGGTGTGGCGGGAGGGGGGGGGGGAGAGGGGGGGATTGGGGAGGGGATCAGCCGGGTCAAACCCGGCCGTCCCCTGGGCCTGCAGGCTCTGCTGGAGGGCACAGAGCCTCTTCCCCAGGTTGGCGACCCGCAGACCAGCCATCGCCAGGCTGTGCTGAGTCAGCCGGCAGCTGCCCTGTGTGTGCTGGGGGCTCCTGGGGCCAGGGCGCCTCCACGTTCCCACCCCTCTGGTGCTAGGGCTTGGTGGGGCCTCACTTCCCGGCCTCCCCAGAGCCCCCCCAAGGGCCTCACCGCACATCTGGCCTTGGTGGGAGGGGTCCAGTCTGACAAACACCTGCATGAGGGGCACCAGCTGCACCTGCAGCTGCAGACCCAGGTGCGTCTGCACCACGATGAAGAAGGAGGAGGGGCTGAGGATGGTGATGTTGGCTGTGGGGGGAGCGGAGTCAGGTGAGCCAGAGCCCGCGGGCCACACAGCGCGGGGCTGACTGGCTAACCCCCCCCCCCCCCCCCCCAGAGCTGGCGGGCCACACAGCGTGGGGCTGACTGGCTAACCCCCCCCAGAGCTGGTGGGCCACACAGCGCGGGGCTGACTGGCTAACCCCGCCCAGAGCTGGCGTCCCACACAGCGCGGGGCTGACTGGCTAACCCCCCCCCCAGAGCTGGTGGGCCACACAGCGCGGGGCTGACTGGCTAACCCCCCCCCAGAGCTGGTGGGCCACACAGCGCGGGGCTGACTGGCTAACCCCCCCCAGAGCTGGTGGGCCACACAGCGCGGGGCTGACTGGCTAACCCCCCCCCCCCCCAGAGCTGGTGGGCCACACAGCGCGGGGCTGACTGGCTAACCCCCCCCAGAGCTGGTGGGCCACACAGCGCAGGGCTGACTGGCTAACCCCCCCCAGAGCTGGTGGGCCACACAGCGCGGGGCTGACTGGCTAACCCCCCCCCTCAGAGCTGGTGGGCCACACAGCGCGGGGCTGACTGGCTAACCCCCCCCCCCAGAGCTGGTGGGCCACACAGCGCGGGGCTGACTGGCTAACCCCCCCCAGAGCTGGTGGGCCACACAGCGCAGGGCTGACTGGCTAACCCCCCCCAGAGCTGGTGGGCCACACAGCGCGGGGCTGACTGGCTAACCCCCCCCAGAGCTGGTGGGCCACACAGCGCGGGGCTGCCTGGCTAACCCCCCCCAGAGCCCGCGGGCCACACAGCGCGGGGCTGACTGGCTAACCCCCCCCCAGAGCTGGCGGGCCACACAGCGCGGGGCTGACTGGCTAACCCCCCCCCAGAGCTGGCGGGCCACACAGCGCGGGGCTGACTGGCTAACCCCCCCCAGAGCTGGTGGGCCACACAGCGCGGGGCTGACTGGCTAACCCCCCCCAGAGCTGGCGGGCCACACAGCGCGGGGCTGACTGGCTAACCCCCCCCAGAGCTGGCGGGCCACACAGCGCGGGGCTGACTGGCTAACCGCCCCCTCCCCGCCCCCCCAGTCGCAACAGCTCCCAAGCCTTCCCGGGTTATAAGTGACCCTGGCACCGCCGAGGGGACCAGGAGGCTGAGCCAGATAGGAGTCTGAGCAGCCGAGAGTGTGGCCCCTGCCATGCTGAGTGATGGGGGGGGTACTCTGGAGCAGCCTGCGGGCAGACTGCTCTCTGGCTCTGGGAGTTGACCACCACCTCGGGGATGCAGCCCCAGGTAGGCCCCGCACCTGCGGACAGCGGCAGCTGGGTGTAGATGGAGTTTATGAACACAGCCCCATTGGCCTGGATCTGGATGGCCTGGTGGGAAGGACAGAGCTCCGGTCAGCAGCCACCAGGCCCAGCCACGCCCTCCCGCCGTGGGTAACGCCAGCCTGGGGCTCCCCTCAGCTCACGCCAGCACCCCAGTCGCTGTGGGTCAGCTGGGGCTGGGCAGTGAGGAGGGCCGGGCCAGCTCCGGGCAGCCTCTGCGCTCCGGCCCAGCCCTGTGCTCACCGTCTCCCCGCCCTGCAGGCTCAGCGTCACGGTCTTCAGGCAATTCTCCGTGTCCGTCAGGCCGCACTTGCGCAGCTCGGCCAGCACGATGAAGGCGTTGTGGGTACATTTCTGTGGGGGGCCCAAGGGCAGGGCTGAGGCCCTGTGCGCTCAGCCCACGCCCCCTGCCCGTGTGCACGCTGCCTGTAGGTGCCAATGTGGCTGGGGGGTGCCTTGGACACCCATCCCCCCCCCCCCCCACTGGGCAGCTCAACTCAGGCCCAACCACACTGACAGTCTTCACGGGACTTGGGTCCCCGGCCCCAGCCTGGCCCGCGGCCACACCTCCACACAGCTGCCCGCAGCCCCACCTTGGAAAGAACATAGTTGCAGTCCCCATGCACGTCATAGAGCTTCTCATCATAGGTGGAGATGTGGGACCCACCCTGCACGGAGCAGGTGCCTGGGCACGGCAGGTCCTGGCACTGCCAGAGGCCTCCAGAGCAGGTGCTGCAAGGGGAGACCGTGAGTAGCGGGGGCGGGGGAGGGAGCAGGGGACAGGGTGAGCCTGCGGGCGGTGGGGGACAGAATGGGCGCGGCCAGCCTACCAGGATCTGCAGCTGGTGGAGAAGGAGGCCCCAGGGGCATAGGTGCGGCCGCCGTGCGTGCAGTGGCACTGGGTCAGGGGCAGGCAGCCCGAGTGCCTGACGTCATCCAGCACCGTGCCTGGGGAGAGAGTGCATGATGTCATCCAGCACCGTGCCTGGGGAGAAGTCTGTGTGCGCAGGCCGGCCAGTGCCTAGCCAGGGGTGCCGAGGCTCCCGGCAGGGCCACCAGCCCAGGGCCCCAGAGGAGACCCCAACCCGGGGGTGAGGGAAGGATTCCTACACTAGGATGCTTCTTGGAGTGAACACTGAGCTCCTTTGAGCCAGCTCCCCTCCTGCTTAGGGCCCGTGACACCTGACCTGTTCTCTCCACAGACTCCCAATGGCCAGTGTTCACCCCGGTAGGACCCGGAGTGAGCAGTGGGTGATCCCAGCTGTCAGCAAGGCCAGAGACAGAGACCCCAAAGGCCACCCCGGAGGTAGGGCACAGGGCACAGGGCCTACCTGGGGGACAGAAGCAGCCGTCCATGCAGTGGTCACCACAGGTCTGGGAGCGCTGGGGGTTGGAGCAGGTGTCCACGCAGGGCGAGCCGCACTCCTGGTGCTGCATGTTGAGGGGGCACGTCCGGGCTGCAACACAGGGGCATCCCCTCTGACCATGGTGGACAGAGGGAGTCGCACCCCGTGTCTGACACTGTCCTCCAAAGTCTTCATTCCATGTCCTCCAAAGTCCCTCACTCCATGTCCTCCAAAGTCCCTCACTCCATGTCCTCCAAAGTCCCTCACTCCATGTCCTCCAAAGTCCCTGACTCCCTGTCCTGCAAACTCCCTGACTCCGTGTCCACTGAACTTTGTGACTCCCCATCTTCCAAACTCCCCGTAGCTGTGTTCACCAATGTTCCTGGATGCCATCTTCTGGGTACAGAGGAAGCAAGTAGCAGAACCCAGTACCATGTGAGACCATGCTCCCATCTGGAGCTCTGGGGCAATATCTTCTTGTTGTGCTTATGGTCAGATCCTCCATCTGGACCCAACAGGCCCCAAGCTCTCTCCACTGTCCAGTCCCTGTCGCCCACCTCATGTTGACACCACCCTCCTGCCAGATTTTGGACACTAGTCTGGCCCCGACGTGGACCCTGGTAGGACACTCACGGCAGAGGTCAGGAGCCCTCCAGTTCTGTGGCTGACCCCCTGCATGGGCACACTGGCGGGAGTACTCGGCAAAGGTGGCACATGGGCAGGTGGGGCAGCGGCACAGGTCCTGGATACAGGCGGTCACGTACACGCTGGCGTCCACCAGTGTGTTGCAGTCCGCAAAGGCTGGGCCAAGTAGGGTATGGCGGCAGGTGTCCTCCTGGGGAGCACAGGGAAGTTGGCCACCCTCTCCCCCCAGGGAGAGGGGTCAAGGCAGTCCATGGGGAGCATCTTCTTTCTTTCCAGTTTCCTGCCACCCACTCATGCGTCAGTTTATCCATCTGCCCACACACCCATCCATCCACCCATCCATCCATCCATCCACTCATTTGTCCATCTGTACATACCATCTGTCCACCCATCTGTTTATCCATCATCCATCCTTCATCCTTCATCCATCCATTCATTCATCATCAATTTGCCCATTCATCTGTCATCATCCATCCATCCTCCATCCATCCATCATCCATCCGTCTATCCATCCATCCATCCATTTGTCATCCATCCATCCATCCATCATCAATCCATCCTCCATCCACCCATTATCCATCATCCATCATCCATCCATCTATCCATCCATCCATCATCCATCCATCATCCATCTATCCATCCGTCATCCATCTATCCATCCATCATCAACTTGACCATTCATCTGTCATCATATCCATCTCCATTCATCCATCATCCATCCATCCATCCATCTATCCATCCATCCATCCATCCATCCATCCATCCATCTATCCATCCATCCATCCATCCATCCATCTGTCATCCATCCATCCATCATCCATCTATCCATCCATCATCAACTTGACCATTCATCTGTCATCATATCCATCTCCATTCATCCATCATCCATCCATCCATCCATCATCTATCCATCCATACATCCATCCATCATCCATCCATCTGTCATCCATCCATCCATCATCCATCCTTTATCCATCATCCATCCATCATCAATTTGCCCATTCATCTGCCATCATCCATTCATCCTCCATCCACCCATCATCCATCCATCATCCATCCATCCATCCATCCATCATCCATTCATCATCCATCCATCCATCATCCATCCTTCATCCATCATCCATCCATCATCAATTTGCCCATTCATCTGCCATCATCCATCCATCCTCCATCCACCTATCATCCATCCTTCATCCATCATCCACCCATCCATCATCAATTTGCCCATTCATCTGCCATCATCCATTCATCCTCCATCCACCCACCATCCATCCTTCATCCATCCATCCTTCCATCCATCTGTCATCCATTCATCATCCATCCATCCATTATCCATCCTTCATCCATCATCCATCCATCCACCCATCATCCATCATCTATCCATCCATCTATCCATCATCCATCCTTCATCCATCATCCATCATCAATTTGACCATTCGTCTGTCATCATCCATCCATCCTCCATCCACCCATCATCCATCATCCATCCATCTATCCATCCATCCATCATCCATCTATCCATCCATCATCCATCCATCCATCATCAACTTGACCATTCATCTGTCATCATCTATCCATCCTCCATTCATCCATCATCCATCCATCTATCCATCCATCCATCATCTATTCATCCATCCACCCATCATCCATCATCCATCCTCCATCCACCCATCATCCATCATCCATCCATACATACATCATCCATCCATCCTTCATCCTTCATCCATCCATCCATCATCAATTTGACCATTCATCTGTCATCATCTATCCATCCTCCATCCACCCATCATCTATCATCCACCCATCTATCCATCGACCTATTGTTCTATCCATCTACGCTGAGCTTGCTGCTCTGAGATGCAAAGATCTTGGTTAGTGGAGTGCCCTAACTCTGGACACCCCTCAGCTCTCCAGAACATGCCTGCCATTATGGGAGCCTCCAGAAGAGGATCCCTCCTCCCTGGCTAGCAGCTCAGAGGACAGGAGGCAGATGTGCTGCCTCCCCTTGGGCAGCCCACGTGGGTGCTGCAGTCCTTGTTGACTCCTAGATTGGCCCATGTGGGCCCAAGTTCCCAGGCTTTGTCAGCATTCTCTTTCACAGCTCAGGGCTCAGGGACTCTGCTAGTTTGGGGATTCCTGGGGAAGGCCCTCCCTGGGAGGGGTTCTGGCCCTGCAATCTCCGTGTCTGGTGCGCCTGGCCAGCCCAGTGCGGGCACATGCAGGACCAGGGTCCACGGGCTCCACACATGTCCAAGATGGAGCTGCACATGCAGGGTTCACCCCCCTCCGGGCTCATCCTGCCCGCCGTGCGGCGCCCATCCCGCCTGACCCCTTCGGGCCTAACAGAGCCTCACAGGGCAGAGGCCATTTCCCTCTGTGCTGGGCCAGGCCCTGCCCGCGCCGGGCCCTGGTGCCTGTCCCCTGCCCGCACCGGCTGGCGCCGGCCCCGTGGGGGCGCTCACCCCATCTGTGCAGTTGTCAGCTGCTGAGGGCAGGGGGTCTGGGCACTGCTCCGTGGGACCGTCCATCTTCTGTAGATTTCCAAACTGGAGAGGGGTCAGCTTGACGTCTGCCGGGCGGGGAGAAGCAGTCACCGACCCCGCGGGCTCGGACCCGGGGTGGGCTGCCTGAGGTGGTGTCAGGCCCGGCCCCACCCACGCCCAGATGCCACATGCCCAAGGGAGCGTCGCGCCCTGTGTCTGCTCCCCCACCGGGGCCGGCGTGGGCCTGCGCACACTCACTGTGGGTATAGAACTCGTGGATGTCGGGGAGCCCGTTGAAGTCCCCGCAGAGCCCGCAGGTCTGGTTGGCATACTTGGGGTCCAGCTGCAGCTATGGGGGAGTCGGTGCGTTCAGGGACTTGGGTCCCCCCCTCCCTGGGAGGCCCTACTCTCGACCCAGCCTGGGGCCTGCGGGGCTGTGGGGCATCCTCACCCCCCCCCCCGTGGGGGGCCCTTCTCCCGACCCAGCCTGGGGCCTGCGGGGCTGTGGGGCATCCTCACCCCCCCTCCGTGGGGGGCCCTTCTCCCGACCCAGCCTGGGGGCTGCGGGGCTGTGGGGCATCCTCACCCCCCCTCTGTGGGGGGCCCTTCTCCCAACCCAGCCTGGGGGCTGCGGGGCTGTGGGGCATCCTCACCCCCCTCCCTGGGGGGCCCTTCTCCCGACCCAGCCTGGGGGCTGCGGGGCTGTGGGGCATCCTCACCCCCCTCCCTGGGGGGCCCTTCTCCCAACCCAGCCTGGGGGCTGCGGGGCTGTGGGGCATCCTCACCAGAGCACTGTCTCCTCCATTCCACATGAAGGTCAGGGTCAGGCGGATGTTGACCTTGATGTAGTCGCTGCTCTGCTCCACCAGGAGGCCGGCACGGCTGTAGGGCAGCTCCACCCTAGGCAGAAAGTTCTGGTCCTCCCTCTGCCCAGTGCCCTCCCACGAGCTCTGAGGGGCCCCACCCGCGCCCTACAGTGGACCCGCTGGGCTCTGGAGGGCCGGGCCTTGGCAGGGTCCCCCCGGGGCCCAGCTCACCGGCGCCCATCCACCAAGACAGAGCCGTTCCCCAGCTCTAGCACCAGCCCCTGGGCCTTGAGGACCACGTGGGTGACCGCAGGCCTGGAGCCTGCCAGGCCGCGGCGCAGCTGCACGTTGAAGTCCTCGTAGGTGGCGGCGCAGTGCGCGGAGAACACGTAGTTGCAGAGGCCAGGGAAGCGGAAGACGCGGCCGTCGAAGGTCTTGTAGTGGAAGTCACCCCAGGTGCTGCACACCCGCCCGTTGTGCGCGGGGTTCAGGGCTGCGGGGAACCAGCGCGGGGCTTAGGGCTGTGTGGGAAGCCTGGTGGGGGGGGCCCAGCCCCCGCCCACTGGGGCCCCTGGGCCCAGGCTCCCACACGCGCAGCAAGGAAGCAACTCCTGTGCTGATGGCCACAGCCCACCCTACCTCTCTCTGCTGCTCCGAGCTGTGAGGAGGCCCGGAGCCGCTCCCCACGAGGGACAGCCGCCCCCCGCAGGACCCAGCCACCGTGCCGCAGGTGAGGCCCGGCCAGCCCGCCCCTCCCTGGCCAGCTGGGGTGCCATCCACTCACGGCTCATGTGGAAGATGTTCATGGGTGGGATGAAGGTCAGGTGGCGGGCAGGTGAGGACATGGCAGGTGGGGACATGGGGTGGACTGCGGGAGGAGAGACCCATGTGGCCGGTGTGGGTGGCCCAGGACACCCAGGCCCCGCCCACTTCGGTGCCCACCCTGGGGACTTTCGGCAGCCAGAACGTGCAAGCGGTCCTGTTGCTCCTGCCCCCAACCCCTGCCACCTCCCATCTGCCTTGGGGACTGCTGCCACTGTGTCACACGGTGTACACGGCCTCTGTCCATGACACTCAGCCCTGAGCTCAGGACACCTCCCGTGGGAGAGGCCAGGGAGGGACTCCGCAAAAGGCCTTTGCCTCCATCCCCAGTGCCCAGCCCTTCTGCCTGCTCAGGAGACCCCTCACCACACAGCCGGGACCTGTACTTCATACCTCTGCCCACACGCGGGCTGTCCACCATGGGCTCTGGGTTCCCCGGACTCGGCTCTGCCTGGCCCTGGATCTCTGCAGAAAAGGGGGAGCGGGTCAGCGGGGGTGCCGATGTACCAGCCGCCCCAGACCAGGCCGCCGCCCTGGCCGCAAGGGCCTACTTGAAGCACAGGGACAAGCTGTGATTCAAGGCCGCGTCCCCTCCCGTTGGCACAGGGACCCAGTGACCCTGTGTCAGCTGTCCCTCGGGGCCTCAGGTGCTCCGTTCTGCCTGCGGCCCGAGCCTGCCCTTCGGGGACCCCGTTGTGGCTCATCTGCACTTGGGGTGGCATCCCATCCCAGGAGAGACAGGGCAGATGCTCTCCCGGCTCAAGGAAGAAAACGAATCAGGAAGCAGAGCTGATCCCAGACCGCAGCTGCTCAGGCCACCATCCCTCAAGGGGCAGGGAGGACAAAGACGGGCATTGTGGAGAGACCCAAGCGTGACTTAGCAGCAGCCTGGGTGCTGGGCCGGCCTCCAGCTGGAACCATGAGTTAGGACAGGGTGGCCCTTGGTGAAGGAATGGCTGCCCGGACTGGCCTGGACTGTCCACCACCAGAAGGACAGGTTTCCTCCACAGCCTGACCATGGAGGCCTGGTCAGAGGCTTGGGCAGGACCCGGTTTACCCCGAAGGCCTTGGTCCCCAGTCCTGGAAGTGACTCATGGCCAGCTGCTCACAGCAGTGCCACAATGCTCAGCTTCCTGGTGAACTTTCCCAGCCGTGTCCACGGCACTTGGAAATGACGCCTGCTCACGCATCTCCCCTTCCCAGAGCCCCGTGGACTGAACTTCCCAGATGCACAGCCGCTCCTCTGTCCACCCCTGGATCAGGCTGAGCGGCTGTCACCTGCCGGCCCCGGGTGACAGCAAGGCTGAGGGACCCAGGAGACCCCCCCAGGTCACAGCATCTCCCACCCCTCAGGCCTCGCTCCATGCAGGCCCTCCTGAGCCAGAGTGCTTGGTCAGCATGGCCTGTCCTAGGCAGTGCTGGCCAGCAACCAGCCGCTCCGCCTTGGCCTGCTCGGTGCCTTCCACTGTGCATCGGATGTGATGTGGTGGCCTCGGTCCCCAGCCACCGCTGGGACTAAGGCCCCCGTCCCAGCGTGCCAAACTGCCTCAGGAGCCAAATGAGCATGGCAAGGTGACTCAGCCCGGCTGGGGATGGCAAGGCCCTGCGGCTTCCCCAGTCCCCATGGGAGGTGCTGCAGAGACCCTCCCCCAAACCCGGTCCCCAAGGAAGGGAGACATCTTTGCCCATTCCACAAGTAAGCCAGCCTGGGGCGGAGACCCCACTGCTCAGACCTGGAGCCTAACAGAGGGCAGGGTTTGGGGACTGTGCCCTCCGGCAGCTGCCGGGACTCCGGGCCAGCCCGGCCTGCTTACTGTGGGCCCTGTGGGTGTCGGCTGGGCTGGGATGGTCTTTCCCTGTTCACAGTTTAGCACTGTGGCCTTCTCAGGGCAGACGGCACCCGTGGGTACAGGACCCACATGGGCTCCAGGTTTGAGCTGCGCTGGTGCCGTGGCCGCCTCCGGGGGGGAGGGGCGGGAGGACTGCTCGGGGGGCCGTGATCCCGGCCACGGGGGGCAGGGCAGGGCCACCGTGGTGCTGCTCCCTGGAATGGAACCTCTCCGACCCAGAGAGACCCCATTCCTGTCCCTTCTAAGAGCCTCTTGGGGTCTCCTCAAGGGGCCTTAGGTTAAGTTGGGGCACCCACCTTCTCTCCAACACCCCATCCCGGCCTGGGCTCTGCTCCTGACGCCATGTCGGCCCCTGCATGGGGCATGGGCCGAGCGAGAGCTGGTGGGACTCTCAGGCCAGGGCCCCTGGGACCTGCCTGGAGACGCTCCCCGGTGCAAGCCCCGCCGGAAGCTGGCCTGGGTCTGGGGGGGCCTGACCTTACCTGCTGGCCTCACCATGAGCAGGGCCGTGAGGGCCCACGCCAGCACCTGGCTCCCGCTGCCGGTGGCCATCCTGGGGGCGGCACGGCAGTCAGGCACAGCGGGGCAAGGCGCTCTCTCCCTGGGGGCCTGGGCTTATGTAGCAGAACAGTTTGGCTCAGGGCCCAGGTCCTAGGCCACACAGATCACTGTCCACTCCCCGGGCAGCCACGTGTGTTTGCTCTTGGGGAGGGGCTGCAGCAGGAAAGAGACCTGGACGAGGAAGGATTTGTGGCCACACCGGACAGGACGCCCCCACCCCCCGCAGCTTGAGAACCGTGGGGCCGGGCGGAGCCAGCCCGGCTGGATGCGGAGCCCTGCACCAGCTCACGCCAGCCCGGCTGGATGCGGAGCCCTGCACCCGCTCACGCCAGCCTGGGAGGGCAGGACCAGGGGTGAAGGGCTGGGCCTCGTCCCATGTTGGCCCCAGGAGTGACCATGGGGCCCAGCACTTGTCCCAAGGCCTCGGCAGGCGGGGGTGAGGCTGGGCCTGAGCCTTGGTGCTCGCGGCTCTGTGAGCAGACAGGAAGTCCGGGGCTCCTCACTTTGGAGTGCCCTCAGCCATGCATTGGGGGTCGAGGGGGGCCCTGCGGTCCCAGGGGAGTCTCCTCACAGACCAAGGAGCAGCTGGGGCCCTATCCAGGGGCTGTTGGGCCTGGCTCTAGTAGGCCTCCTCCTCCCTCCCGGGCCCAGGCCAATGAACTGGCCGGTGCACCGAGGCTGGGGGGGGCGGGGGGTCTCCGGGGCTCCTGACCACGCTGCTCTCCTGGCTGCCCTCCCGGGCCGAACCGCTGTGGGCAGAGTGGGAGGCATGGGAGGTGACAGCCCGGTCCTTTCACGCAGGCCTGTGCACTGTGACAACCCTCAGATGGACCCAGAGGGGCAGGGTGTGGGGGCCAGTAGGGTACAGGGGTCACAGTGGGGTGGGGGGCAGTGGGGTGCGGGGTCACAGTGGGGTGGGGGGCAGTGGGGTGCGGGGTCACAGTGGGGTGGGGGCCAGTAGGGTACAGGGGTCACAGTGGGGTGTGGGGGCCAGTAGGGTACAGGGGTCACAGTGGGGTGGGGGGCAGTGGGGTGCGGGGTCACAGTGGGGTGTGGGGATCACACTGGGGTGTTGTGGTCACAGTGGGGTGTGGGGATTACACTGGGGTGTGGGGATCACAGTGGGGTGTGGGGTCACAGTGGGGTGCGGGGTCACAGTGGGGTGTGGGGTCACAGTGGGGTGTGGGGTCACACTGGGGTATGTGGGGTCACACTGGGGTATGTGGGGTCACAGTGGGGTGTGGGGGTCACACTGGGGTATGTGGGGTCACACTGGGGTATGTGGGGTCACAGTGGGGTGTGGGGGTCACAGTGGGGTGTGGGGATCACACTGGGGTGTTGTGGTCACAGTGGGGTGTGGGGATTACACTGGGGTGTGAGGGTCACAGTGGGGTATGTGGGGTCACAGTGGGGTGTGGGGATTACACTGGGGTATGTGGGGTCACAGTGGGGTGTGGGGGTCACACTGGGTTATGTGGGGTCACACTGGGGTATGTGGGGTCACAGTGGGGTGTGGGGGTCACACTGGGGTATGTGGGGTCACAGTGGGGTGCGAGGGTCACAGTGGGGTGTGGGGTAACACTGGGCTCACACTGGGGTATGTGGGGTCACACTGGGGTATGTGGGGTCACAGTGGGGTGTGGAGGTCACACTGGGGTCACAGTGGGGTGTGGGGGTCACTGGGGTGTGGAGGTCACACTGGGGTATGTGGGTTCACAGTGGGGTGTGGGGGTCACAGTGGGGGTGTGGGGTCACAGTGGGGTGCAGGGTCACAGTGGGGTCACAGTGGGGTCACAGTGAGGTGTGGGGGGTCCCAGTGGGGTGTGGGGGTCACAGTGGTGTGTGGGGTCACAGTGGGGTCACAGTGGGGTCACAGTGGGGTGTGGAGTCACATTGGGGTGCGGGGGTCACAGTGGGGTGTGGGGTCACAGTGGGGTGCAGGGTCACAGTGGGGTCACAGTGGGGTGTGGGGGTCTCAGCGGGGGTGTGGGGGTCACAATGGGGTATGTGGGGTCACAGTGGGATGTGGGGTCACAGTGGGGTTTGAGGGTCACAGTGGGGTCACAATGGGGTCACAGTGAGGTGTGGGGTCACAGTGGGGTGTGGGGGTCACAGTGGGGTCACAGTGGGGTGTGGGGTCACAGTGGGGTCCCAGTGGGGTATGGGGTCACAGTGGGATGCGGGGTCCCAGTGGGGTCACAGTGGGGTGTGGGGGGTCCCAGTGGGGTGTGGGGGTCACAGTGGGGGTGTGGGGTCCCAGTGGGGTGCGGGGTCACTGTGGGGTCCCAGTGGGGTCCCAGTGGGGTGTGGGGGTCCCAGTGGGGTGTGGGGGTCACAGTGGGGGAGTGGGGTCACAGTGGGGTGTGGGGTCACTGTGGGGTCACAGTGGGGTCCCAGTGGGGTGTGGGGTTACAGTGGGGTCACAGTGGGGTATGGGGTCACAGTGGGATGCGGGGTCCCAGTGGGGTCCCAGTGGGGTGTGGGGGTCACAGTGGGGGTGTGGGGTCCCAGTGGGGTGCGGGGTCACTGTGGGGTCCCAGTGGGGTCCCAGTGGGGTGTGGGGGTCCCAGTGGGGTGTGGGGGTCACAGTGGGGATGTGGGGTCACAGTGGGGTGCGGGGTCACTGTGGGGTCACAGTGGGGTCCCAGTGGGGTGTGGGGTTACAGTGGGGTCACAGTGGGGTCCCAGTGGGGTGTGGGGGTCCCAGTGGGGTGTGGGGTCACAGTGGGGTGCGGGGTCACTGTGGGGTCCCAGTGGGGTCCCAGTGGGGTGTGGGGTTACAGTGGGGTCACAGTGGGGTCACAGTGGGGTGGGGGGTCACAGTGGGGGTGTGGGGTCACAGTGGGGTGCGGGGTCACAGTGGGGTGCGGGGTCACAGTGGGAGCAGGGCCGCGGTGGGGCGTGAGGCGAGCCCGCGGGCTGTGATCGAATCCAGCCGCAGGGCCCTTCCAGGGGCTGCGGTCTGGTTGTGAGGATGAGCCCACGGAAGGGGGCGCTGGGAGAGGGCAGAGCCAAGGAGCCCCGGGGCTGGACGTCAGGCCGGGCCGGCGGAAGGGCTCACCGCGGAGCCCTGACACAGTCCTTTTTGCGTCCACTATTTTTCACTTATTTTTCATATTTGTTCTGTGCGGCCGGGCCTTGGTCCGCTGTTTGTGCTTTCTCTCCAAGCGGAGTGACAGACGCACACCACCACTGCCAGGTTTTCACTGGTTGAGGTGGAGTCTGGGGAACTTTGCCTGGATGGCCTCCACCGCTCACCCTCCCAACCTCAGCCTCCTGAGTAACTAGAAATGGTAGGCCTGAGCCCTGCGTCTGGCTCTAAGGTATCTGAACCACTTCCTATTCAGTAGCTGCCTGGTGTCAAAAAAACAAACCCAAAGAAAAACCCCTGCAAATAGCAAGCGCTGTGAGGATCTGGGGCCTGGGGCCCTGCTCTGTCCAGGGGGGAAAATGCTGCTGCTGTAGAGAATTCTGGCCGGCCCCCCAGCAAGTCATGCATAGAACTTCCATGCGGCCTCACGATTCTACATGTCGTGGGTGTGTCGAAGACTGGGACGTGGGCTCAGGGGCGCACCCCACCACGCGCCACCCGCGCAGACCATGCAACCCGGGGTCCGGGCCGAATGGGTGGAGCAGCAGCAGCAGCGTAACGTGGAGACTGATCCGTGCCAACCGGTGTGCCGAGGTCGCGCACGAGCCAGTCCCCAAAGGGCCGCGCCTGTCTACTCTGTGAGGTCCCCGCAGGTGGGAAAGTGGGCTGCCAGGGCGGGACCTGGTGTTTAATGGGGACAGAGTTTCCGTGTGGGAAAACAAAAGTTCTGGAAGCAGCCGTGTGATGGTTGCACAACTCGGTGAGCGTGATCACCTGCTGGCCCTGGGTGGTGTGCTTACGCATGATGTAGGGCCGGGCTCTGTGCACGTAGATTCTCCCAATACTTTCCAAGGGCTTTTGACACATTTGACTGATGGTCACCCTGACATGATGGATGACCCCACTCTGCCTGGGCTTCCTGGGAGCCCCGGGGACTGGCCTGGACCCCGCCTCTCACCCTTGTCCCAGGTGTCCCAGGCGGTGGCACTTGCCTGTGGTGGGGCCCACTAGGGGGCCTGGTGAGGGCCGGGTCTGGGCCCGGATCTCAGCAGAGCCTCTGACCTCCACTCTAGATGCTGCCCGGGGCCGGGGCCAGGCTGGGGCTGGGCTGCTGGCTCCTTGCCAACCCTGCCATTCCCAAAGCCGGGGGCCCAGGTTTGGGGCTTTAGGGTCCTCGAGGTTCTCTTTGGTATCTGGCCTGCAGCCAAACAACATGGCCGGAGGGGCCCGGGGCCTCAGGACGGTCTGAAGAGAAGGCTGTGCCCCCTGCCCGGCTGGCCTGGGCTCTGGGCTTCCCGCTGGACCCCTCTCCTGGGCCGCGGTGCACTCACAGGCTGGGCAGCAGCGGTGGCTCTCACACCACGGTGTGTGTGTGTGTGTGTGTGTGTGTGTGTGTGTGTGTGTGTGTGTGTGTGTATGGCGCCCACTGCCCGGCTGGCCACCTGCGAAGCCCTCCACCCATTCCCGCCTCTGAGGGTGCCAGCCCCCGTGGCAGCGGGTCAGAGCGGTCAGGGCTCATTGTCTGCTCCTCCGGCCCCACCCAGGAGGACGCTCAGCAGGGTCACACCGGAGTCGGGACGGACAGCCGCAAGTCCTGCCTTTGTCCCGAGCGCTTTCCTCGGCCAGGCCGGCACCGCAGGGGGGGCGCGGCCGAGGGGCGGCCGCTGTTGTGACATCCCGGATGCGTTAGGCCCGGCCTGTTTGCTCAGCCTGCTGGGGAGCTGGCCTCTTCACAGTTGAGGGAGCGGGAAGCCGAGGAGGACCCAGTGCACAGAGCTGCTGGCCAGCCGCTTCCCCGGGGGTGGGGTGTCTGTGCCAGGAACCTGGCCAGCCGGGCGGCCCCCGGCCTCATTCCAGCCGCTGCTGACTCTGGGCCAGGCGGAACAAAGGGAATGCGCTGGGCTGCGCCCTGGACAGGCCCCAGGGCCAGACAGAGCCTGCGCTGAGCTTGCTCACAGGACTGAGGGGCTCTGGGCTTAGGGAGTTTCTTGGGACTCCATGAGCTCCAGGAGACCCCTTGGGTCCTGCGGTCCACCCTCCCCCCGGCCGGTCCAGCTGCAGACACCGCTGGCAGGGCCGGCACCCCAGTGGGAGCAGCGATTAGGAGTGGGCGGATGGATCACTCCGCTCCCAGCAGATCGGTCCCCGAACTGCCCTGGCTGTGACCAGGGCTCTGCCCGCCACCCTGTATAGCCCAACCTGAACCCACACTGCCAGTCCAGTCCTCCCTAGATCCCTCCCTGCCCATCCTCCCGGTCATGGTCCTCCCTCTACCCCCCATCTTTCTCTGTGTCTCTTTCTCTCTGTGTTTTTCTCTGTCTCTCTGTCTCTGTCTCTCAGGGTCTCTGTCTCTGTGTCCCTCTGTCTGTCTCTGTCTGTCTCTGTCTTTGTCTCTGTCTATCTCTGTCTCTGTCTATCTCAAACTGACAAGTCCAGCTCCTGCTGGAACTGCACTGGGCAGGGGCCGGGCAGGGACCAGGACAACAATGCCCTGCCTTCAAGGTATATGACATCGAGGCTCTTGGAAATAGAAATGGGGTTCCCAGGACCCACAAGCAGATGATGGCTCTGTGTGGGGCAGGACGGGCAACCAATCCAGGCAAGGGCACTACCAAAGAGGGCCCTGCAGTGCCAAGGCCCTAGGGTAGGATGGGCCCAAAGGCCCGTGCTGAGGTTGGGACTGGGGTGCAGGGGTGAGGGACAGCAGGTGTGGTGGGCAGGTTAGACGGGAGACAAGTTCTCAAATTCTACCAATTCTGCGTCTGAGGAATGGCGGTACTGGTTGTGGATTTAAAGCAGTTAAACCATAGGGTGTGTGTGCATGAGTGCGTGCATATGTGTGCATGCGCGTGTGCGTGCGTGTGTGTGTGTGTGTGTGTGTGTGTGTGTGTGTGTGTGGCACTGTGGCTCAAGTGGTAGGGCGCCAGCCTTGAGCTGACCAGCTGAGGGACAGTGCCCAGGCCCACAACCGACCCCCCGCAAATCCATTTTAGTTTAAAGTTGGTTGTGAGTCCTTTTATTTCTAGTTTTAGGAATTTGACTCTTTTCTCATTCCCTTAGCCAACCTAGTCAAAGAGCCATCTTTTGGTCCCACTGGGTTTTTTCCTTAGGACCAATGATCCTTTATTATCTCCTTCCTCTTGCTAGCTTTAGGTTTTGTCTTCTGTCTCTGGTCCCTTGGGGTGTACGTACGGGCTATTGACTGAGATCGTTTTTCTTTTCTTTTTATTGACTGGGATTGTTTTCCTTTCCTTTCTTGCTGGTGACCCTCAGCTTGGCTGAGGGCACGCTAGGCAGACTCTTGCTGCCACCCAACTCACGCCCCCAATTCTCTCTGCTTTCCAGTTATTTTTTTCAGATTAGGTTTTAGGCTAATTTTGCTCCAGTTTTGACCTCCTACCTATGCCTCCTGCGTAGCTGGGGCTCCAGACCTGAGCCATCCTGCCTGGCTTCTGCCCAGGCTGGCAATCGAATGCGATCCTCCCACCCTCCATCTCTAGAGTATGAAACTTAGTTCCTGTGTACATGCTATCTACATTTTCCCTTCTATTATGGATTTGTAGTATCATCCCTTTGTGGCTGGAAAGCATACTAGGTGTAATTTCAGTATCTTAAAACTCACTAAGATTCCCTTTTTGATCCTAGCATCCAAAAGTTTAGCCATCTTTGGGATAATTTATTCTGGAGAATGTACCATGTGCCCTTGAGGGAAATGTGCATTCTGCTGAGTTGGGTGGGCATGCTGTGTATGTGTGGTTAGGTCTAGCCAACTCAGAGTGTCTGTTGTTCAGGTGTGTTCTGAATTGATCTTCTGTCTCATTGTCCTACCATTGAAAGTGCTGTAGCAAAGCCTTCTATTATTATTTTTGAACTGTCCATAGCTCCCTGGATTCTGTCAACATTTGTTCTCTGTATTTGGGGGCTCTGTGGTTTGGTGCATGTGTGTTGACAGTTGTATCTGTTGACTCATTTGTTGATTCATAATACCTCTCTCCATCTCTTGTTAACTTCCTTTGTGTACACTGTTTCGTCTGATACACAGACATCTCACGTCTGTTTTGGCTGTGATTTTCACTGTGTATCTCTCTCAGTCTGCCACCTGTAACCTACTATGTTCTTAATTCTAAATAGTATTTCCCACAAGCTGCCCTTTCCTCTCCCATTACATATGGTTAGATCATGTTTTTGCTGTGGCCATTTTCAGCCATTTTGCCCATCTCTGTTCACTGGAGAATCTAGACCCATTCACATTTAAAGGAGCTGCTGACAAGGATGCCTTTGGGCCTCCCCTGTCCTGGAAAGTATGCAGCCAGCCTTCTTAAGAATCTATTCAGGAAGTGGTGCTGTAGCTCAAGTGGTAGAGCGCTCGCCTTGAGCTGAAGAGCTGAGGGACAGCGCCCAGGCCCAGAGTTCAAGCCCCACGACCGACCAAAAAAAAAAAAAGAATCTATTCAGCGTGACAAGTCATTTCTGCCATAGTGCTTTCACAACTCTTTCTTTGCAGCCAAGTGTGGTGCACACCTATAACTCCAACAGCCACGAGGCTCAGGCAGGAGGGTCATAGTGTGAGGTAAGCCTGTGCTACATAGTGAGGCTCCATCGCAAAATATATTCCTTCTTTCAACAGAATGGACTTACCTCTGTGATTCACCATGTTTTCTGTGTCTTCTAATCTTTCTATGCCTCGTTCCTTGTTGCTTCTGTTAGTCTTCTTTTGTATTGAGCTGAATTTTTGCAGTTACAGATTTTGATTCCTGTTCCGTTTGTGAATAATCACTGTGTGGCGATGTGTGTGTGTGTGTGTGTGTGTGTGTGTGTGTATCTCCTAAAGATAGGGCAGTCTAATGTGAGTTGGTACCAACTTGACTTCAAATGCATACAATTCCTAAGGACTTGCTCATCACAAATTATGTTTTTGTAACCTTGTACCCAATAGGATGAATTTATAATTATATTTATACAATTGCCTTTCAAAACCTGTGGAGAATAAAAGTGCAAAGCAGAATTACAAGGACCTCGGCTTTTGTATTTGCCCATGTATTTAGTTTCACTGGATTTGTTTTTCTCCATCCAGCTTGAGTAATGTCTGGGGAGGCTTTATTCCATCTAGAGGACTTCCTGTAGCATTTCTTGTAGGGCAGGCCTTGGCTGTTGTTTATAGGAGGGTGTCTTGGCTTCTCCCTAATTTTTAAAGGGCCATTTTGCCAGGTGTACAAGTCGTGGGGACCAGGTTTCTTTCCTTTGTTTTAGATGGGCCATCCCCTGGCCCTCCAGCCTCCGGGTGATGGTCAGGGACCCCGAACATGACAAGAAGTCAGTCTCTTCCTGCAAGATTCTCCCAGCAGTTTGGCCACCATGTTTATGCTACTCAGAATTTGTACCCTACTTCCTGGATTTTGTGGGCCCGTATCTTCCATCAAATGCAGGAAGTTTCCGTTCTTGCTTCTCGTTCTCTTCGTGCGTGCGAGTTCCCCAGGGAGTTGCCTCACTCTCCTCCGCCGTTCCTCTTCTCCCCTGCTCAGACTGGATTCCGTTCCCTGTCCTTCCCCTGCTCACCCTTGCATTTGTGGACATCCGGCGGACTTCCAGCACAGCCCCGTGCTTTTGTGCTATTTAGCTCCCGAGTTTCTGTTCTTTCTAATGGGCTCCCCCTCCTTGTTGGCTCACTTTGTACGTGTATTATTTTACCGATTTCTTTTTGCTCTTTCTTCAGTGTTTTCCTTGGCTCTGAGAGCCTCGTGAGGATTGTTGTTTTTGAGTTCTTGTTTCGTAGGACTTGCTCAAGATCATTTCTGTCCATTTTGTGCCTTTGAACGAGCCACGTTTGTTTCTTATAAGCTGTGAGATTTTTGTACTGGCTTAAACCTCGGGGATTTGCCTGTGAGTCCTTCTTCCTCTTCCTCTTCCTCTTTCCTCCTCTGCATCCTCTTTTCTTCCCCCTCTCATTATTGAAGACTGTAGCAGTCTAATTTTTTTTTGAACTGCTTCCAACCTACTTTTGGAAAGACTTTTCCTTATCACCCATGATTACTGAAGACTCTGTGCCTTGGGTTTGTGTTCCAGTAATGAGGTAACAGGTGTTTCTTCAAATGCCACAGCCTTCCCGGACTTGCTCCCTGACCGAGGGGAGGTGGTCCGCCCCTGGGCCGGCCCTGCTGGGCAGGCTTGGCTCTCCAAGTCCCCCATCTGAGTTCGTTGGTCGAGTGGAATCTCCCCCCAGGACGCCGTGATTGGTAATCACCAGCAATGCCTGACACTTTCCCTGAGAGGTGGTGACTCAGGCCCCCAAGCTTCCACCAGGCACGCAGTGTTTTTTCCAGTATGGTCTTTCCACACTTTCCAGCCTGTGGAAAAGGGGAACGGATGTTTTGCTGCACTTGGAAAGGGGGTGTGAAGTAAGACCATGTGCCACCAGGGGTGGGACCACAGGCCACTAGGGGAGACCACAGGCCACTAGGGGAGACACAGGCCACAGAGGGAGACACAGGCCACAGAGGGAGACACAGGCCACAGAGGGAGACACAGGCCACAGAGGGGAGACACAGGCCACAGAACTTCACTGACAATACAGTGGATTTTCTTGTCAGGCCTCAGTTTGGTCGCTTCTCAGAGCCTGGCAGAGCTGGTTCACAGTCTCTCCTGGTTAGGCTAGCTCCCCCGCCCCAAGGCCATGGGTCCTGGGAAAAGGAGTGCAACGCTTCCTGTGTCTCACTTTACTGCCTGACTCCTATCTGTTAGATGATGCATTCTGAAAACAAAGTCTATGCTAAGAAAAACACGCGAACCATGGTTCATGGAGGGGCAAAGCTTTTTCAGACAGGGAGCAACGTTGTCCAGGACGAGTGGGAGGGTGGGAAGCCGGGGGGGGGGGGGGCTGACCGCAGCTAGAGGCGTGGGGCGGAGGGACTCCCATGGCCTCTAATACGCGGCCTCCACAGTCACTCCTTCCAGGGGGAAATGGCAGCTTCCTCCTGAGACGTGACAAAGGCGGTGACCCAGAGATGGTGCTGTCAGCACCATGGGCGTGGACCAGTCCACGCTCCGTGCCCCGACGTGAGCACGGCAGTCCAGGCTTGGGTGCTGCCCAGCATGTCCAGCCTGCGCCCCTCTGAAAGGCTGACACTGAGGGACAGAGAGAGGCCAAGGGCAGGTCCCAGGTGGAAGACTCAGGAGATGCTCTCCTGCGGGGGTGTCCTGGAGATGCTCTCCTGGGGGGTGTCCTGGAGATGCTCTCCTGGGGGGTGTCCTGGAGATGCTCTCCTGGGGGGTGTCCTGGAGATGCTCTCCTGGGGGGTGTCCTGGAGATGCTCTCCTGCGGGGGTCCTGGAGATGCTCTCCTGGGGAGTGTCCTGGAGATGCTCTCCTGAGGGGGGGTCCTGGAGATGCTCTCCTGGGGGGTGTCCTGGAGATGCTCTCCTGGGGGGTGTCCTGGAGATGCTCTCCTGGGGAGTGTCCTGGAGATGCTCTCCTGGGGGGGGGGGGTCCTGGAGATGCTCTCCTGCGGGAGGTCCTGGAGATGCTCTCCTGCGGGAGGTCCTGGAGATGCTCTCCTGGGGGGGGGGTCCTGGAGATGCTCTCCTGCGGGAGGTCCTGGAGATGCTCTCCTGGGGGGTGTCCTGGAGATGCTCTCCTGGGGGGTGTCCTGGAGATGCTCTCCTGCGGGGGTCCTGGAGATGCTCTCCTGGGGGGTGTCCTGGAGATGCTCTCCTGGGGGGTGTCCTGGAGATGCTCTCCTGCGGGGGTCCTGGAGATGCTCTCCTGGGGGGTCCTGGAGATGCTCTCCTGGGGGGGGTGTCCTGGAGATGCTCTCCTGGGGGGTCCTGGAGATGCTCTCCTGGGGGGGGGTCCTGGAGATGCTCTCCTGCGGGAGGTCCTGGAGATGCTCTCCTGGGGGGGGGGGGTCCTGGAGATGCTCTCCTGGGGGGTGTCCTGGAGATGCTCTCCTGTGGGAGGTCCTGGAGATGCTCTCCTGGGGGGGGGGGGTCCTGGAGATGCTCTCCTGCGGGAGGTCCTGGAGATGCTCACATGTGGGGTGTCCTGGAGATGCTCTCCTGCGGGGGGTCCTGGAGATGCTCTCCTGGGGGGTGTCCTGGAGATGCTCTCCTGGGGGGTGTCCTGGAGATGCTCTCCTGGGGGGTGTCCTGGAGATGCTCTCCTGGGGGGTCCTGGAGATGCTCTCCTGGGGGGTGTCCTGGAGATGCTCTCCTGGGGGTGTCCTGGAGATGCTCTCCTGGGGGGGTCCTGGAGATGCTCTGCCGGCGGCAGCCACCGTGGCAGGGCGCCCAGGCTGGGCGGTGGCGTCACATCACGCAAACTCAGCCGGCGTGACTCCTGCCCCGTTTCCAGGGGCACACACGGTACTTCCCCTACGCAAGTGTTCAGGAAAGAGGGACAGTGTCAACAGTGACACATGCAGAGCACAGTGCAGGCCGGCAGGTCCCGGTCGGGGCGCGTGGAAATCTCTGCTCTGTTTTCGCAATTTTGCTGTAAACTTGAAAGCCGATCAGGAAAGTCGCTCAGGGCTCTGTGCTGGCTGCAGCTTGAAGAACGGCCGGCGGGAGGGCAGAGGGCCCAGCACCCTAGCCCCGCCAGAGCCACACAGAGGGGAGGTGGGGGAAGGGCCGGGGGCCCCAGGGACGGCCCTGGCTCTGCGTCCATCCAGCAGGGCTGGCTGGGGGGCCCGGGGACGGCCCTGGCTCTGCGTCCGTCCAGCAGGGCTGGCCGGGGGGCCCGGGGACGGCCTTGGCTCTGCGTCTGTCCATCGGGGCTGGCCGGGGGGCCCGGGGACGGCCCTGGCTCTGCGTCTGTCCACTGGGGCTGGCCAGGGGCCCCGGGGATGGCCCAGCCTCTGCGTCCGTCCAGCGGGGCTGGCCGGGGGCCCCGGGGATGGCCCAGCCTCTACGTCCGTCCAGCGGGGCTGGCCGGGGGCCCCGGGGATGGCCCAGCCTCTGCGTCCGTCCAGCGGGGCTGGCCGGGGGGCCCGGGGACGGCCCTGGTTCTGCGTCCGTCCACCGGGGCTGGCCGGGGGCCCGGGGACGGCCCTGGCCAGGCTCCGTGCGCCCATTTGGTGCTGGCTTTCACACACCTGTCCAGGCCCAGGGCTGTGGAGCGGGCCCTCCGTGGTGGCACAGGCCTGGCCCAGCACCAGTGGACCGGTGTGGATGCAGGGCGGGACCCCGGGCCAGGAAGAAAGGATTCCCCGCCACCACATTTGCTCAGGATTAGATAGCACAAGAGAGAGCAAACAGGAGCAGGGCCGTGGTGTCCTGGAGCAGCTCAGGGAAGCCAAGTGTCGTGGACAAACAGGCCCTCCCTTCCCTCCTGTTGACTCAAGGCCCGCGGAGGGGCCTTTACCCCCGAGACCTCGCTCGGAGAGAGGGGCCTGGAATCGCCTGGGGCTGCACATCCGTGCCCAGGCCTCATGGTCCCGCCCCCACCAAGCCTGCCCGCTGGCCCCAGGACCCCCCAAGATGACCCCCAAGGTCCTGGGGGGGCACAGAGCGCCCAGGACATCCACACGAGGACAGGCCCAGGTGTGACCCCGTCGGCCCTGCCCATCCCCAGGTGTCTTCTTGCCCCCAAGGCTGGCTCCAAGCAGCGCTGCTGTGCCGGCCATGCCAGGGACGCGCCAGTGCCGGGAGAGGAGGGGCAGAGGTGAGAACACACTCCAGGCACCTGAGGTCAGTGGTCAGCGGGCGCTGACCTGTCCCCGGGGCCAGGAACACTGAGGCGTAGGGGAACCTGGGGGGGAGGGGACGCGGGGGGAGGGGGGCACGAGGGCGTGGGGGGAGATCCTTCACCCAGCTCTGCTCAGGCCCAGCCTCGGGGGTCACCGCAGAGCTCCACGGGGTGCTCAGCTCAGAGCCCCTGCCCTGTGACCCCTGGTGGGGGCCATGTGGGGCCGTGTGCCCAGGAGGAATGGGGGTAGGGGAGAGGTCTCTTCTGAAGGGAGGGCCTGCCTGGTGAGCCCATGTGCATATCCTGCATGGAGCCAGGGAGCCGCGGTGTGTGCGCGTGTGTGTCTGTCTGCCTCTCACACATACACACACACACACACACACACGTGCGCACGCACATACTTGGAAAGCTGTCCTTCTGGCTGCTGCTGCTGCAGAGTCCCAGGGGAGAGCTTTGAGCCGTGGGGACCCTGGGGGCAGAGGGCTAGGGACAGCTTCCTGCCACGTCCTGGACAAGTGGCCAGGTCCCAGCAGAGCCACCAACCAGAGCGTCCTGGCTGGGCATGGTAGTCCACGGCACGTGTGTGTGCATGCGTGCGTGCGCGTGCGTGCGTGGGCGTGCGTGCGTGTGTGTGCGTGTGTGTGCGTGCGTGTGTGTGCGTGTGTGCGTGCGTGCGTGTGTGTGTGCGTGCGTGCGTGCGTGTGTGTGTGCGTGCGTGTGTGTGTGTGCGCGTGCGTGTGCGTGCGTGTGTGCGTGCATGCGTGTGTGCGTGTGCGTGCGTGTGTGCGTGTGTGTGTGTGCGTGTGTGTGCGTGTGCGTGCGTGTGTGCGTGCGTGTGTGTCAGGGCCCAGGGCCGCTTCCCCACCAGTGCCCGGCCCCATGTCTCCTGTCTTCAGGGCCGCCCTGTGGGCTGTGGAGTGGAGCCACTGTGTTGTCAGGTGCCCACTAGGCCGGGCTGGGCCTCCTATGAGTGAGATGGGGGGCTGGGTGGCGGGGGCTGGGCGGGGGCTGGGCGGGGGCTGGGCCTCCTATGAGTGAGATGGGGGGCTGGGTGGCGGGGGCTGGGCGGGGGCTGGGCGGGGGCTGGGCGGGGGCTGGGCCGGGGCTGGGCGGGGGGGGGGGGGGCTGGGTGGCGGGGGCTGGGCGGGCGCTGGGCGGGCGCTGGGCGGGCGCTGGGCGGGCGCTGGGCGGGGGCTGGGCGGGGGCTGGGCGGGGGCTGGGCGGGGGCTGGGCGGGCGCTGGGCGGGGGCTGGGCGGGGGCTGGGCGGGGGGGGGGGGGGGCTGGGTGGCGGGGGCTGGGCGGGGGCTGGGCCGGGGCTGGGCGGGGGCTGGGCGGGGGGGGGGGGCTGGGTGGCGGGGCGCTGGGCGGGGGCTGGGCGGGCGCTGGGTGGGCGCTGGGGGACCGGGAGGAGGGGGAGGGGTCTCTCCTGGAAACACTCCTGGGATTTCTGTCCCCCTTGAGGCTTCCTGCTGCCTACAGCTTGGCCCCTAAGGCCTCTAAGGCCGTGGCCCTGCGTGCTCCCGTGAGAGACACTAAGTTCAGGTGATGCCAAGCTTGGCCGGGCCAGGGGAGGGGCTGGCTGGCCAGCTGGAGCTCGGCCTGGGGCCTGAGCTGTGTAACTGGGAGGAGGGGCAGGAATGCGAGTGGCTGTGTCATCGGGGCCACGCAGTCCAGCCCCGACTCAGAGCGGCCTTGGGACACAGTGGGCTCCAGCCTCCTCCCTGCTGGGAGTGGGAGCTCAGTGGCTTCCTTCAAGGTGAGAGGAAGGCCGCACCAGGCCACACGCAGCCGCCACACTCCTTTCCCGGCCACTGGGGCTTGGAACTCACCGCCTTTGCCCATCGTTGTTGTGCTGTTGGGGAGGGGGGATGCTGGGATTTGAACTCAGGACCTCACACCTGCCAAGCTGCCCTCTACCCCAGCCATGCCTCAGCTCTGTGCTCGCCTGGGAAAGGCCCGGGGATCTGTCCTCCTTTCTGGATCACAGCAGCAGCCCACGCTGTCCCCGGGGCCGGCCGTGCGCCCTCAGGAAGCCGCAGGCCGCTCCCAGCCGGCAGCGCCCACACCAGCGCCCAGCTGCGCTCCCCTCCGAGCGTCTCCCTCCTGCTGACCCTGACGCAGCCCCTCCCCGCCCTCCGCTGACCCTGACACAGCCCCCCCGCCCCACGCCCCCCAGGCCTCCTCCGGGCCTCGGGGCCTGGCTGTGTGCCCCCTGCTCCTGGCGGCTTTCACGCTGGTTAAGCCTAGGGTGCTGAGAGGTCAGGGGAGGCTGGGTGCCTCTGTCCCCCGGGCCCATAGGCTCCCTAGAACCCCACACCTGTCCCCAGCACTGACCCCCAACTCAAGTTTGTGGCTCCCCAAGGCAGCTCCTGAAGTGAGGCCTTCCTTCTCCGGGCTGGAGGCAGCCTCTTCCTAACGCCCGGGGCTGAGGGGACATTGCCGCCCGGCGTCAGGACCCCCGCGGCCCTGCGGCTGCACCGCCAAGGCTCTGTGACCACACGCAGCTCAGAGACGCTTTCCAGAAACAACGCCTTGCATAACCCGGCTGGGGTTGCGCTGGGGCCAGCTCTCCGGTTACCCCCTGCCAGCGGGCCCTCGGTTCCAGGCAGGGATGTGGCGTGGTGGTGGGCGGGGCGGGGCGGGTCCCGAGGATTAGCCACTTCAGGGTCCCCCTGCTCAGAGAGGAAGAGCTGGCCCGTGGGACACCCGATCCTCCCCGGGGGGCAGCGCCCTCAGCCAGGGCCCAGAAGTGGCTGAGGCCAGCAGGCCAGCCAGCACCAGCGCAGGCTGCCGGGTCAGCCACGCTCACCGGCTGTGCCCCTGCCGGCCACAAAGGGTCAAGGGTCACACAGGAGAGCCCCAGCCCTGCCTGGCCACAGACGGGCACCTGTGCCCAAAGTCAGCCCTGCGGGCTGCTGCTGTGAGGGTGGAAGGGCCAGGCCAGACGATGGGAGGGGGTCACGGGACCGGCAAGGTGACCCCACCCCCACCCCTGCCTGCGGGGCCACAGGGCCGCGAGGATCCCAGTGACCCCCCCCCACCCCTGCCTGCGGGACCACGGGCCTGTGAGGATCCCAGTGCCCCTCCACCCCCCACCCCTGCCTGCGGGGCCATGGGGCCCGCGAGGATCCCAGTGCCCCCCCCACCCCCCACCCCTGCCTGCGGGACCACGGGCCTGTGAGGATCCCAGTGACCCCCCCCACCCCTGCCTGTGGGACCACGGGCCTGTGAGGATCCCAGTGCCCCTCCACCCCCCACCCCTGCCTGCGGGACCACAGGGCCGCGAGGATCCCAGTGCCCCCCCACCCCCCACCCCTGCCTGCAGGACCACGGGGCCCGTGAGGATCCCAGTGCCCCCCCACCCCCCACCCCTGCCTGCGGGACCACAGGGCCGCGAGGATCCCAGTGACTCCACCCCCACCTGCGGGACCACGGGGCCCACGAGGATCCCAGTGACCCCCCCCCCACCCCTGCCTGCGGGACCACGGGGCCCGCGAGGATCCCAGTGCCCCTCCACCCCCCACCCCCACCTGCGGGACCACGGGGCCCACGAGGATCCCAGTGACCCCCCCCACCCCTGCCTGCGGGACCACGGGGCCCGCGAGGATCCCAGTGCCCCTCCACCCCCCACCCCTGCCTGCGGGACCACGGGCCTGTGAGGATCCCAGTGCCCCTCCACCCCCCACCCCTGCCTGCGAGGCCATGGGGCCCGCGAGGATCCCAGTGCCCTCCCACCCCCCACCCCCACCTGCGGGACCACGGGGCCCACGAGGATCCCAGTGACCCCCCCCACCCCTGCCTGCGGGACCACGGGCCTGTGAGGATCCCAGTGCCCCCCCACCCCCCACCCCTGCCTGCGGGGCCACGGGGCCCACGAGGATCCCAGTGACCCCTACCCCCCTGCGGGACCACGGGGCCCGCGAGGATCCCAGTGACCCCCCCACCTGCGGGACCTGCCAGACCAATGGCAGTGTGAGTAGCAGGCGCTGGGGTGGACTATGGACTATGACCTGGAAGCTAGTGGGACTGGCACGCCGTGCCCTGGGCCTCAGGGCCTCTAGGCGGCCCGAGGACAGCCCCGGCCCACGTGAATGTCGACAGCCAGGTCGGAGGAGCCCGGGCACACCCAGTGGATGTCCGGTGTGGACTGTGAGGACCCCGGGCCTCCCACCCAGCCCCTCACTCAGGGCCTTAGTTCCCCTGCGGCTGGCTTCCAGGGACCCAGGAAGGCCCCAGAATAAATGAGTGAATAAGCGAGGGAGGAAACACATGTGTAAGTGAATGATGGATACGTTAGTGACAGTGTGAGTGAATGAGTGTGCACGTGATGAGCGAGTGTGTGGGCCAGCAAGAAAGTGAACGAACGAATGAATGAAAGCTTCAAGGCCAGGACCCTGGGTCCCTGGCACGGCAGCCTCAGCCAGAAGGTGCGGACCCGGGTCATGCGCCACCTTGTGGCAGCCACAGGAAGCGCCGCTGAGCGCCTCCTGTCCAGCTGACCGCGGCCCTGCTGGGACTCACCCCTGCTGGGCCCGGCACTGGGAGTGGAGAGAAACGGAGGCAGTGTGTGTTTGAAGTAGTGAACATCATGTTCGAGAAGGCAGGGCTGGGAAAATCACCCACTCCAAGCAGAGGACACGAGGCTGCCTGTGTGCACATACGTCACCCTACACGTGCCCACAGGTGTGCCCCAAGCATGCAGTGGTGACATGGAAGTGTCCCGGAGCTTTGTGCATGGAGGTGGGTGCACAGGCAGGCAGAGCACCTCCGCCGGGCTGGGGACCGTGTCCCGGATACTCTGTAGAACCCTGGGCCCAACTTGTTTGCTCACGGCTCGTTCACTGGCTCACAAGTCCACACGATGATTCACTTACTCGTTTACTTGTTCACTCACTCACTTTCCGTTCGTTCGTTTCATTCGTTCATCTTTTCCTCCACCCCTCACTGTCATCTGACCAGACGCCTCTTTGGGCGATGGCATCCTTGCCATCAGGCATCAGGCCTGTGCTCCAGGCACGCGACCCCCTCCAGCTGATGGTTCAGCAGGCTCCCCCAGGTGGCCGACAGCACCGCCCGGTCCCCGCCTGGATGCATGGACACGTTTTTAAAATGCACAGTCCAAAGATTGCAAAAGGCTGAGAGTTTATTTATGGAAGAGACGGATGGTTTCCTGAGCGGGCCCTGGGCGGGACGCAGGCTGGGGAGCCGCAGGGCCCGTGTCTGTGACTGTCATGCATTGTGTGTGTGTGTGTGTGTGTGTGTGTGTGCAGGGGCAGGCCGGCCCACAGCCAGCGCTGCCCAGCAGCCCGGCTTCCTGGCAGGTGGAGGCCGGGACGCCAGGAGTGATGGTAGAGGAGAAGGACGTTGGACGTTGTTTACATTCTCCTGGCTGCCCCCGGGGCAGGCGGGAGTGGCACTGGCCCTTACGGGGGAGGCCTGGGCCCCTCTCCCCGCTCCTCGCGCTCCCCGCTCTCCTCAGACTGGAGCTCCGACGCTGACGGGGCTGAGCGGCTGGTGCCACCCGGCCCTTGGCACTGCTGTTGGAGGCAGGTGCACTCGTCCACCTGGGTGTAGCTGAAGACCCGGCTGGAGCCGTCCGGGCAGCGCAGGGTCACGTTGCTCTGGGAGGTGCGGAGTTCCTGGCAGCACCGGCATCTGCGCTCCACCGTGTTGGCCTCCAGGGAGTACCTGCGGGCAGACATGCTCAGCACCAGACCCCGAGTGGGCTCCTCAGCCCACCGTGGCCACCCGGCGGGTGCCCTGGGCCGGCTGTCCCCACGAGCTGGCACCACGCCAGGCACAGCCACCTCACACCGGCCTGCACAGCTCTGGGCTATCATCCGCTACTGACTCACCCCTCAGTCCTCTTGGGCCAGTTCCAGCCGGCTGTGACCACCGGGTTCTAGGGCTGGAGACCCAACCGGGCTGCAATGCACCCCGGGGCTGGGAGGGTGGTACAGCCAACAGCAGCACTGCCTACCACCCAGGCATGGCCAGGGACCCCAGGCCAGGGACCCCGCACTCGTGCATTCCCAGGGACTGATCGTTAGGGGTCCTTGGACGAGCCTTCGCCCTACCCCTCCTCCTGGCTCCGGGCCTTCCACTCCCCCACTGCCTGTGGCCCTGGACGGACCTGACCACACCCAGGGTCAGCCCTGCCTCTGAGCCCCCCATGACCCCTGTGGCTCAGGGCCCGGCCTGGGGTCTCCTACTTGGACGTGGACTCCCCGCAGTGCCCCTGGCAGTAGGAGGCGCGCACGGAGCCACGGCAGCCGTCCTGCTCCACGGTCTCGTCCCTGTGGTGCACCATGCAGCTAGACCCTGGGGAGGGGCACGGAAGGTGGGCAGCGTTTAGGCACCCGCCTGACCTCTCCTGGCCCCCTGGGCTGGAGGGCCTGCCCGGCAGCCCCCGCTGCTCACCGCTGTTTATCTGTGGGCAGGTGTGGCTCTCCTGGCCGTCCTGGTCCTGTGCCAACCAGGATGCGATGAGTGTGGGGAAAGCCAGAGGGGGAGGTGGGGACCCGGTCTGGGAGCCCCCCCTCCATGGCACACACAGGTGGGCAGCCATCCTGCCGGCGGCCGCACCCTGCGCCTGTCTCCCCGGGACGCCCAGGGCGCCAAGGCCCAGCACTCGCCTGGGAACAGTTGGCGGAGCACACCACCTTCGTTACCACCTCCAGCCGGTCCCCGCGCCGCTCGCAGTGGTGAGTCACGCAGCTGTTCCCGGGCTCCGTCCAGGTCTCGCCAGCCTGGAAGGAGGCCGGGCCACGGGTGAGCGGCTCTCCCCGGGAGCGGCTCCCTGGGAAGCACGGGCACTGCCCAGCTAGACGCCCGACACGGACAACTTCCCAAGTGCCCCCACACACCAGGGCTCTGCCGGCTCAGCCCTGCTCCAGGCCTGTGTTACACACCGCCCTGACGCTGGGCCTTCCTGGAGCCTGTGGGAGGCGCTGCAGTGACCTGGCCCCAACAGAAGCCTGGAGCCCACACCCGCAGGCCCCGCCCACCCCGCAGCTGTGACCAAGTGGACAAGGCAGAGGCCGCACCCCACAGGCCCTGTCCGCCCCATGGCAGTGGCCACTCACGTGGACCAGGTGGGCATCGTCACTGCTGGAATTCACTACGACGCAGTATTTCTGCACACACAACCCGCAGCACTGCCCGCTGTGGGCCCGGTACTCAAAGCCCTGTGGGAGGAGGACAGCGGCCTGAGCCGGGCTGGCCGCCTGGAGGAGGGGGCGGAGCCGGGCACGAGCACTCACCAGGGGGCAGTGGGTGTCGCAGTGCTGCGTCTCGCAGCTGACCACCAGAGTGTCCACGGGAGAGTCGCTGGGCGCCTCACACCTGCACGTCTCACAGAGGCTGGAGTGGATGATGGCGCCCGGCTGCAGAAGCCCGGAGCTGGGCGTTAGTGGGCTCGGCCCGGGCCATCCTGCCCCAAGAGGGCTGCCCGTGGTGCCACCGCCGGGCACCGGGGTCCAGCGCAGGCCCCCTCACTGGCACAAGCTTCGGCTGTGCCTCCCGAGCCTCGGGCAGGTGGGGCCCAGGGGAGGGAAGCCCAGGCCCGGAGGGGTCCTCACCTTGTAGAGGGTCCCGTTGACATTGCAGACTTGCCAGCCTGTCGGGAATCACACCCGCTGACACACTGGCCATCCTGGCCGCCCCTCCCACCCTGCACCTTCCAGCCCGGCCCTGCGGCTCACCCCCAGCCCTCCCGGGCCCGCTCCTGCCGCGTCCCTCCCCAATGTGAGCCCTGCTGCTCCCCACCAGCCCTCCCAGGCAGAGGCCCGGCCAGCATCGGTCCTGACTAGGCCGAGGGAAGTCCCAGGCCTCGGCCCCCAGCCCACGGTGCCCACGGGGCCTGGCACAGGGTGGGAGACACTCACTGCAGTTTTGGCTGGGGCAGCAGGCGTCTTCCTCGTAGGTCACGACCCGGATGGAGCCCTCAGGGCAGTCCAGGGGTTCGGGGCAGTAGCTGGAGTTGCAGGCTGTGTGGGGGGGGTGGCAGTCAGAAGCGGGGCCCACTCTGCCCCAGGGAACTGAACCCCACGGGGGTCTCCAGGAGCATCCATGTCCCGGGAGACCACACTTGCGGCCAGCCCCACGCCGGAGAACGCCTGGCTTGATCGCCCGGTGGGCGAAGGCAGGACCCAGGCCGGGCCCGCGCCCGCCCGTTGCCCCTCTGCGGGGTGTGCTGGCCCGCGCCCGCCCTCTGCCCCTCTGCGGGGTGTGCTGGCCCGCGCCCGCCCGCTGCCCCTCCGCGGGGTGTGCTGGCCCGCGCCCGCCCGCTGCCCCTCCGCCGGGTGTGCTGGCCCGCGCCCGCCCGCTGCCCCTCCGCCGGGTGTGCTGGCCCGCGCCCGCCCGCTGCCCCTCCGCGGGGTGTGCTGGCCCGCGCCCGCCCGCTGCCCCTCCGCGGGGTGTGCTGGCCCGCGCCCGCCCGCTGCCCCTCCGCGGGGTGTGCTGGCCCGCGCCCGCCCGCTGCCCCTCCGCGGGGTGTGCTGGCCCGCGCCCGCCCGCTGCCCCTCCGCGGGGTGTGCTGGCCCGCGCCCGCCCGCTGCCCCTCCGCGGGGTGTTCTGGGCGGGGGTGCACCTGTGCCCCCAAGACTTCCCCTCCCCCCACGGCGGTGTACCTGTGACCCCAGGACTGCCCCCCCCCCGCACTCACCGCAGCTGAACTCTTGGCAGCACTGGCCAGCCTCCAGGGCCGCGGGCACCAACACAAAGCCCGGCGCTCGGCACACGGGGGGCAGGGCGCACGGCGTCCTGCGGCAGCTCAGGGCCAGCGTGGCGGGGTCACAGGTGCACTCCTGGCAGTCGGCGCTGACCGTGCGGCCCGGCTGCGGGGGAGCGTGAGCGTGACCTGCTGTGGGCCAGCGGCTTGGCCCCAGGGCAGCCGCAGCCAGAACGGCACGGGCGGGTGGGGCTGGGGCGGGCAAGGGGAGGGGTGGGGGCGAGCCTGGGGGGCTCCCGCATCCCCCGTGCCCCCACGGGGCGGAGGACAGGTCGGGGGGCCAGAGGCACCCCGGGGTCTGCAGGACAGCAGAGGGCCTCCAGGCCGCTCAGCGCTGCCCAGCCCCGCACAGCCCAGCCCCCACAGCCCCACACAGCACCGCACAGCCCCACACAGCCCCGCACAGCCCCGCACAGCCCCGCACAGCCCCCACAGCCCCGCACAGCCCCCACAGCCCCGCACAGCCCCCACAGCCCCGCACAGCCCCACACAGCCCCACAGCCCCGCACAGCCCCGCACAGCCCTGCACAGCCCCGCACAGCCCCGCGGCACCCGCTGCCCCGCACAGCCCCACACAGCCCCCACAGCCCCACACAGCACCGCACAGCCCCACACAGCACCGCACAGCCCCACACAGCCCCCACAGCCCCACACAGCCCCGCACAGCCCCACACAGCCCCACAGCCCCGCACAGCCCAGTCCCCACAGCCCCCACAGCCCCACAGCCCCACACAGCCCCGCACAGCCCCCACAGCCCCACAGCCCAGCCCCCACAGCCCCACACAGCCCCCACCGCCCCACACAGCCCCGCACAGACCCGCACAGCCCCGCACAGCCCCGCACAGCCCCGCACAGCCCCCACAGCCCCGCACAGCCCCGCACAGCCCCGCACAGCCCCGCACAGCCCCCACAGCCCCGCACAGCCCCGCACAGCCCCCACAGCCCCACAGCCCAGCCCCCACAGCCCCACACAGCCCCCACCGCCCCACACAGCCCCGCACAGACCTGCACAGACCCGCACAGCCCCGCACAGCCCCGCACAGCCCCACACAGCCCCGCACAGCCCCGCACAGCCCCGCACAGCCCCCACAGCCCCGCACAGCCCCGCACAGCCCCGCACAGCCCCCACAGCCCCGCACAGCCCCGCACAGCCCCCACAGCCCCACACAGCCCCACACAGCCCCGCACAGCCCCCACAGCCCCGCACAGCCCCGCACAGCCCCGCACAGCCCCACACAGCCCCACAGCCCCGCACAGCCCAGTCCCCACAGCCCCCACAGCCCCACAGCCCCACACAGCCCCGCACAGCCCCCACAGCCCCACAGCCCAGCCCCCACAGCCCCACACAGCCCCCACAGCCCCACACAGCCCCGCACAGACCTGCACAGACCCGCACAGCCCCACACAGCCCCGCACAGCCACGCACAGCCCCGCACAGCCCCGCGGCACCCGCTGCCCCGCACTGCCCTGCACAGCCCCGCACAGTCCCGCGGCACCCGCTGCCCCGCACTGCCCTGCACAGCCCCGCACAGTCCCGCGGCACCCGCTGCCCCGCACTGCCCTGCACAGCCCCGCACAGCCCCGCGGCACCCGCTGCCCCGCACTGCCCTGCACAGCCCCGCAGTCCCGTGGCACCCGCTGCCCTGCACTGCCCTGCACAGCCCCGCACAGTCCCGCGGTGCCCACTGCCCTGCACTGCCCTGCACAGCCACGCACAGCCCCGCACAGCCCCGCACAGACCCACACAGCCCCGCACAGCCACGCACAGCCCCGCACAGCCCAGCGGCACCCGCTGCCCCTCACTGCCCTGCACAGCCCCGCACAGCCCCGCGGCACCCGCTGCCCTGCACTGCCCTGCACAGCCCCGCACAGTCCCACGGTGCCCACTGCCCTGCACTGCCCTGCACAGCCACGCACAGCCCCGCACAGCCCCGCACAGACCCGCACAGCCCCGCACAGCCACGCACAGCCCCGCACAGCCCAGCGGCACCCGCTGCCCCTCACTGCCCTGCACAGCCCCGCACAGCCCCGCGGCACCCGCTGCCCCGCACTGCCCTGCACAGCCCCGCACAGTCCCGTGGCACCCGCTGCCCTGCACTGCCCTGCACAGCCCCGCACAGTCCTGCGGTGCCCACTGCCCTGCACTGCCCTGCACAGCCACGCACAGCCCCGCACAGCCCCGCACAGCCCCACACAGCCCCGCACAGCCCCGCGGCACCCGCTGCCCCGCACTGCCCTGCACAGCCCCGCACAGCCACGCACAGCCCCGCACAGCCCCGCGGCACCCGCTGCCCCGCACTGCCCTGCACAGCCCCGCACAGTCCCGCGGCGCCCGCTGCCCTGCATCCATCCTGGCGGGGCGCTTACCTCCACCGGCTCCCCGCGGGGCCCCAGACACACTGCAGGAAAAGAGGCCAGGCGGTCACTCTGGGCAGCCACAGGGAGGGGCGGGGACCCACGGGGAGCCAAGGAAGAATCTGGGGTCCGTTTTACGCCCTGCCCCTCCCTCCCTACACCTCCCTGCTCCCGCCTCGGCCTGGCCCGGCCCACGGCGTGTACCAGGGCACTCGGAGGACACACAGACAGGGAACTCGTTGCTGAACAGCGTCATGGTGTCAGGGCAGAAGCAGCCTTCGGTGAAGGGGCCAGCCTCGGGGAGCGCCCTGTGGGGAGAGGGGGTCAGCGGGGGGGGGGAGGGAGAGGGGTGTCTCTGTGCCCCGCCGCCAAGCCACAGGGGGGAGCCTGGCCGGGGTCTCCGTGTGGCTCTGAGGTGCGCCGTAGGACATGTCCTGTACCAGATGCTGGTGCTGTCATTTCCGTAGCAGTAGCGGACGCGGGATGGACCGCAGGGCTGGTACACCTTGTCGGCAGGGCAGGAGAACTCTGCGGGAGAAGCGGGCGCCTGAGCAGCGGCCCCAGCCGGCCCCCGCGGCTTCCTCCCCCTCGGCACCAGGCCGGGGCGCTGCCGGGCGGGCACTCACGACACGAGCCGTTGGTGCGGCTCCTCCAGTCGATGCACACGCCGAAGGAGGCGCAGAGGGACGCGTAGAGCTCCAGGCTGGAGCACTGCACCTGGATGTCCGTGCTGTAGCAGTGGTCGAAGGCGCAGCCTTGGAAGAATGGCTGCGGGGGCACGGTGGCGTGGCAGGGCTGGAAGACGCTGGGGCAGGACGGACGGACGCGCCGGTGAGTGCACCGCCGCCCCCTCCCCGGCCACCGGCCGGCCTGAGTGCCCAGGGGAGGACTCCACTGAAGGCGGGCTCCGCTCGGCCCCTGGGCCTGGCCAGCCGGCCTCCGGGACAAAGGCCATCCGCACCGCTGTGTGCCGGTCCCAGTCCCGCCAGCTCACCCCTTCCTGCGAACACGCCCCACCCGCCTGCCGCCCGGGCCCTAGGCCGTGACCCGAGCCCACGTCCATGAGAAGAGGCCGGTAGAAGGCTCAGACACAGAGTGGCCTGGCCCTGGCCCGGCTCACGCCGGCTTTCCAGCACTGACTGCTCTGCCAGGAAGCCTGAGGGCAGCCCTCAGGACCCAGCACGGGACAGTTGTCCTCCTTCTAGAAGGATCTCCTTGAGGGCCAACAGCACCGGGACAGGGTGGCTAGGGTTGCGCCCCCTCCTTCCCCCCACCAAGTCTTACTCGCCCAGGATCAGCTGGCAGAGCGGCGAGGGTGGGCACCAGGCCAGTGGGGGCGTGGGCACCACGGAGCTGGGCGGGGGCGGAGGCCCGGAGCAGGAGGGCTGGCCGGGGATGTGCACCTTCCAGTGGCCGGCCATCTGGGCGCAGGAGCCGGCCACGGCGCCCCTGGGGAGTCGGCAGTCATCCCTCTGGTTATTGCTGCAGGTGCCTGGGGGTGAGGCGGGGTCGGACGGCTGGACGGACGCCAGAGTCTGGGTGGCAGAGCCAGACGCCCATGCCCCGCTCCCCCACCCCAGACCCGTGGGCCCTTCCTGAGAATCTCCTGCCCGAGTGTCTTCCCTATGTGCCATGTCCCCCCCCCCCCCCCCGAGAAGCCAGCCATGGACGGTGCCCGGCCAGGGTACCAGGCCGCCGCCCCCTGACGGCTGAAGACCCAGGTGTGTGCAGCCGGAAGCAGCCGCAGGCTCAGCCCGGCGACCCTCGGCAGGCAGCCACGGCGAGACTGGGCCGGCACTCACCACACTGGCCCTCGGTGTTGTTGGCGAACGTGTGGAACGGCACCTCCACTGAGAAGATGAGGCCGGAGAACATGACCTGGACCCCGATCTCGCGGATGGTCACGTACATCTTGATGCCCACGCGAGAGACGGCGATGCCGTTCCTCTGGAAGCCGGGGCTGACCACCTCGTCGTTGAAAAGGATCTGGATTTGGAGGCCGCGGCCCACGGGAGGTGAGGACAGCAGGCGAGTCACCCCGCCGCACCCCAGGCCCCCCGCCTGCCCGCCCGCCGCACCCCAGGCCCCCCGCCCGTCCACCTGCCACACCCCAGGACCCCCGCCAGTCCGCCCGCCGCACCCCAGGCCCCCTGCCCGCCCGCCCGCCCGCCCTCCCCACCCCCTCGCGAGGGCCGCTCACCTGGTTGGTCATGACCCCGCCCACCGGCCTGCGCGTGAGCACCACACGGTCCTGGTGGTACTCCACGATGATGGACTGCGGGCAGGACACCTGGTCCTTGGGGTCGCAGAAGTAGTTGTCGACCAAGACCCGCAGGTGGCCAAACACGGGTACAATCTGCTGCAGCAGCACGTAGGTGCAGTTGTCCAGGAAGGTGTAGTACGTCCCGTCGAACGTGATGTAATGGGGGTCTCCCCAGCCGCTGCACACACCTGCGGGTCACGGCGGTTACGCCAGCAGCCGCCGCCGCCTCCACCACACAGACAGCGTGAGACGCTCTGCGTTGGGAGGCGCACGGTCCGCCCCGCGCTGCGTCCGCCGGCCCCAGAGCTCAGAGCAGCAGAGGCCAGTGTTCCCCACTCCCGCCCCACAGGGCTGGGGCTCCACAGAGCTCGGAGGACACCCTGAGCTGAAGTCTGCTGCTGTCTGAGCCCCGCCCACCCGGCCCCTGAGCCCCGCCCACCCGGCCCGCCCAGCCTGCTGGTGTCTGAGCCCCGGTGGGGCTGCCCGCCCGCCCTGGTGGGACCCCCGGCTGGACCCCCAGCCCGCCCCGGTGGGACCCCCAGCCTGCCCCGGTGGGACCCCTGGCCCGCCCCGGTGGGACTCCCGGCCCGCCCCCGGTGGGACCCTCAGCCTGCCCCGGTGGGACCCCCGGCCCGCCCCCAGTGGGACCCCCAGCCCGCCCCCAGTGGGATCCCCAGCCCGCCCCCGGTGGGACCCCGGCCCGCCCCTGGTGGGGCCCCCAGCCCACCCGGTGGGCCCCGGCTCACACTGGCACTGGTAGTGCTGGCAACAGCCGTCCTCATCGTCCACCTTCAAGGCCGGGTAGCCATTGGCACACGCCGGTACTTCTATCTCCGGGCAGGTGCGGGGGCTCAGGGAGACGCTGTGGTCCTCCTCACAGGTGGCCTGGGAGCAGTTGGCCATGGCCCACGTCTCCCCTTTCTGCAGAATGAAGACAGCTGCGGGCCACAGCCCGGCCTCGGCACCCTCCCTCCCCCGCAGCAATCAGGGTACTGTGCGCGGACCCAGGACCCACTGGGGCCCTGCCTGCCTCCCACCCACCTGTGACCTGTGGCCCCCTCCTGAGCCGAGCTGGCTGGGGGTGCTCACCGTGTGGAGACGCCCCTCCTCTGTCCCTGCCCCCCCAGCAGCCCCAACCCCAGGCCCCACACGCCTGGACAGCCAGCCACGGGGGAGGCCCAACCCCCAGTCCGCAGCAAGACTGCCACCCAGTGGTCACTCGGCCAGCGGAGGACCTTGGGCTGAGGCCTCACTGCAGAGGCCCTGCAGCGGCCCAGGCCCCACGGCAACTGACCTTTCTTGGAGGAATCACATTGTGGCACCAGTGGGCAGGCGGGGAGCCCGAGGGAGAGGTGGATGGCGGAGAGGGCGATGATGGGGAGGGAGACAAAGTGGGCGTGGGGGGCTGTACGGTGGAGGGACAGTCCTGGTCCACACCCCGGATGACCAGGCAGTCCTGGCTGCACGTGGCGTGGTAGCAATGGCCCTCGAGGTCTCTCTGGAGGTATACAGTAGACCCTGAACCAAAGGGCGAGGAGGATGAGTAGAGGCCTTCCCGGAAAGGCCCCTCCCCAGCCGGGCTGGAGCCGCCAGGCCCGGGGGCCACACCACCCCTGTGGAAGTGGCGTCAGCACTCCCAGGGTCTGGGGCCAATCTGCGTGACTGCTAAATGCCAGCCCTGCCTGGCTGCCGCTCCCGCAGGCCCCTGCGCCTACCTGCTGCATACAGGTGGTTGTGTACATTGCAGAAGCATTTGGGAGCGGAGACTGACAGGGAGCCAGACGTCCAAGGCGAGGAGCGAGCTGACGGGGAGGGTGGAGGAGACCAGGCGGAGGCGGTGGAGATCGTGTGAGGCACCGTCGGAGTCACACCGCAGCCCTCGGGCTGCCGGCAGCACAGCACCCGCACCGCGTAGTCCAGGCACATTCCCAGGGTCCCCGGCTGGTCCTGGTTCCGGCACAGCAGGCCCACGTCGGGGTCGCACCGCACCACCTGGCCCAGGCTCTCCAGGCTCGCTTCCGGGCGGCTCTCGGCCCGGCACTGCAGCTGAGTGATCTCCTCGGGGCGACCGCAGATCTGCTCTCCCGCCCTGAGGATGCGGCTGTAGGTTTCCACGTCCCCTCCGTGCGGCCCGGGGACGGGGGAGTCCACATTGAACCACTTGGTCCAGTTGCACTGTGGCTGGCACTCAGGGGGCACGGCGGAGGACTTGCTTGCTGGCGGTGTAGACACAGGTCTTGTGCTGGCTGTAGATGCAGAAGTGGTGCTGTGCCTTTGAGAGGAGGTGCTGACTGTGTGCGCAGGGGAGACACTGACTGTGTGCGCAGAGGAGGAGCTGACTGTGTGCGCAGAGGAGACACTGACTGTGTGCGCAGAGGAGGAGCTGGTCTGGGGTCTGGAGGAGACACTGACTGTGTGCGCAGAGGAGGAGCTGGTCTGGGGTCTGGAGGAGACACTGACTGTGTGCGCAGAGGAGGAGCTGGTCTGGGGTCTGGAGGAGACACTGACTGTGTACGCAGAGGTGGAGCTGGTCTGGGGTCTGGAGGAGGAGCTGACTGTGTGCGCAGAGGAGGAGCTGGTCTGGGGTCTGGAGGAGACACTGACTGTGTGCGCAGAGGAGGAGCTGGTCTGGGGTCTGGAGGAGACACTGACTGTGTGCGCAGAGGAGGAGCTGGTCTGGGGTCTGGAGGAGACACTGACTGTGTACGCAGAGGTGGAGCTGGTCTGGGGTCTGGAGGAGGAGCTGACTGTGTGCGCAGAGGAGGAGCTGGTCTGGGGTCTGGAGGAGACACTGACTGTGTGCGCAGAGGAGGAGCTGGTCTGGGGTCTGGAGGAGGTGCTGACTGTGTGCGCAGAGGAGGAGCTGGTCTGGGGTCTGGAGGAGGTGCTGACTGTGTGCGCAGAGGAGGAGCTGGCCTGGGGTCTGGAGGAGGAGCTGACTGTGTGCGCAGAGGAGGAGCTGGTCTGGGGTCTGGAGGAGGTGCTGACTGTGTGCATAGGAGTCACACTCTCAGTGGAGGCCCTGGGTGGGGTGACAGAGGTGGTGGTAGGGCAGCCCTCGGGCTGCCGGCAGCACAGCACCCGCACCGAGTAGTCCAGGCACATTCCCAGGGTCCCCGGCTGGTCCTGGTTCCGGCACAGCAGGCCCACGTCAGGGTCGCACCGCACCACCTGGCCCAGGCTCTCCAGGCTTGCTTCCGGGCGGCTCTCAGCCCGGCACTGCAGCCGAGTGATCTCCTCGGGGCGACCGCAGATCTGCTCTCCCGCCCTGAGGATGCGGCTGTAGGTTTCCACGTCCCCTCCGTGCGGCCCGGGGACGGGGGAGTCCACGTTGAACCACTTGGTCCAGTTGCACTGTGGCTGGCACTCAGGGGGCACGGCGGAGGACTGGCTTGCTGGCGGTGTAGACACAGGTCTTGTGCTGGCTGTAGATGCAGAAGTGGTGCTGTGCCTTTGAGAGGAGGTGCTGACTGTGTGCGCAGGGGAGACACTGACTGTGTGCGCAGAGGAGGAGCTGACTGTGTGCACAGAGGAGGAGCTGACTGTGTGCGCAGAGGAGGAGCTGACTGTGTGCGCAGAGGAGACACTGACTGTGTGCGCAGAGGAGGAGCTGGTCTGGGGTCTGGAGGAGACACTGACTGTGTGCGCAGAGGAGGAGCTGGTCTGGGGTCTGGAGGAGGTGCTGACTGTGTGCGTAGAGGTGGAGCTGGTCTGGGGTCTGGAGGAGACACTGACTGTGTGCGTAGAGGAGGAGCTGGTCTGGGGTCTGGAGGAGGTGCTGACTGTGTGCGCAGAGGAGGAGCTGGTCTGGGGTCTGGAGGAGACACTGACTGTGTGCGCAGAGGAGGAGCTGGTCTGGGGTCTGGAGGAGACACTGACTGTGTGCGCAGAGGTGGAGCTGGTCTGGGGTCTGGAGGAGACACTGACTGTGTGCGCAGAGGAGGAGCTGGTCTGGGGTCTGGAGGAGACACTGACTGTGTGCACAGAGGTGGAGCTGGTCTGGGGTCTGGAGGAGACACTGACTGTGTGCGCAGAGGTGGAGCTGGTCTGGGGTCTGGAGGAGGTGCTGACTGTGTGCGCAGAGGTGGAGCTGGTCTGGGGTCTGGAGGAGGTGCTGACTGTGTGCGCAGAGGTGGAGCTGGTCTGGGGTCTGGAGGAGGAGCTGACTGTGTGCGCAGAGGAGGAGCTGGTCTGGGGTCTGGAGGAGACACTGACTGTGTGCGCAGAGGTGGAGCTGGTCTGGGGTCTGGAGGAGGTGCTGACTGTGTGTGCAGAGGTGGAGCTGGTCTGGGGTCTGGAGGAGGTGCTGACTGTGTGCGTAGAGGAGGAGCTGGTCTGGGGTCTGGAGGAGGTGCTGACTGTGTGCGTAGAGGAGGAGCTGGTCTGGGGTCTGGAGGAGGTGCTGACTGTGTGCGCAGAGGAGGAGCTGGTCTGGGGTCTGGAGGAGGTGCTGACTGTGTACGCAGAGGTGGAGCTGGTCTGGGGTCTGGAGGAGGTGCTGACTGTGTACGCAGAGGTGGAGCTGGTCTGGGGTCTGGAGGAGGTGCTGACTGTGTGCGCAGAGGAGGAGCTGGTCTGGGGTCTGGAGGAGGTGCTGACTGTGTGCGCAGAGGTGGAGCTGGTCTGGGGTCTGGAGGAGACACTGACTGTGTGCGCAGAGGTGGAGCTGGTCTGGGGTCTGGAGGAGGAGCTGACTGTGTGTGCAGAGGAGGAGCTGGTCTGGGGTCTGGAGGAGACACTGACTGTGTGCGCAGAGGAGGAGCTGGTCTGGGGTCTGGAGGAGGTGCTGACTGTGTGCGCAGAGGAGGAGCTGGTCTGGGGTCTGGAGGAGGAGCTGACTGTGTGCGCAGAGGAGGAGCTGGTCTGGGGTCTGGAGGAGGTGCTGACTGTGTGCGTAGGAGTCACACTCTCAGTGGAGGCCCTGGGTCGGGTGACAGAGGTGGTGGTAGGGCAGCCCTCGGGCTGCCGGCAGCACAGCACCCGCACCGAGTAGTCCAGGCACATTCCCAGGGTCCCCGGCTGGTCCTGGTTCCGGCACAGCAGGCCCACGTCGGGGTCGCACCGCACCACCTGGCCCAGGCTCTCCAGGCTTGCTTCCGGGCGGCTCTCAGCCCGGCACTGCAGCCGAGTGATCTCCTCGGGGCGACCGCAGATCTGCTCTCCCGCCCTGAGGATGCGGCTGTAGGTTTCCACGTCCCCTCCGTGCGGCCCGGGGACGGGGGAGTCCACGTTGAACCACTTGGTCCAGTTGCACTGTGGCTGGCAATTAGTGGTTACAGGTGCAGTGCTGGTTTGAGTTCTGCCAGTGGGGTTTCCGGTTCTGGATACAGGTGCTGAGGTGTCTGCTGACGAGTGTCTGCTGGCAGTCCAGCCGGTGGCTGGCGTCTGGGGGCTGGTGTAGCGTGGGCTGGCCTCGGTGTGGGCCCGCATGCTGGTAGCACACTGATCCACGGTGCGGCAGCACTTCACCCGGATCTCGTAGTTGTAGCAGATGGGCGGGAGCTGGTTTTTGTTCAGGCAGATCAGCCCCTGCTCCAGGCTGCAGGTCACGTCCTGGCCCAGCTCAGCCAGCGGTGTGTTGGGGAAAAACTGTGCCCTGCATTCCACCTGCTGAGGGCGCTCACAGAACTGGAATCCCTGGGACCGCAGGTTTTCAAAGGTGTCGAAATCACCACTGTTCCTGTCTGGCCTGGGATAGCTGCCGTCCATCCATTCGGTCCATTCACACAACTCCTGCCGGCAGGGGCCTCCAGGGGAGGTCAGGCTGTGGGTGTGCGCTGTGGCTTCCGTGGCCACAGTGGACGCGGAGGGCCTTGCTGAAGTGGTTGACACGTGCATTATGCTAGTGGTGGGAAGAGTTGTTTGGGCAGGTGAAGGGGTGCGTGGGGCAGGTGTGGAGGTGCGTGGGGCAGGTGTAGGGGTGCCGGGGGCAGGTGTAGGGGTGCCGGGGGCAGGTGTAGGGATGCCGGGGGCAGGTGTAGGGGTGCCGGGGGCAGGTGTGGAGGTGCCCGGGGCAGGTGTAGGGGTGCGTGGAGCAGGTGTGGAGTTGTCCGGGGCAGGTGTGGAGGTGCCCGGGGCAGGTGTAGGGGTGTGTGGAGCAGGTGTGGAGGTGCCCGGGGCAGGTGTAGGGGTGCGTGGAGCAGGTGTGGAGTTGTCCGGGGCAGGTGCAGGGGTGTCCGGGGCAGGCACAGGAGCACTAGCTGTGGAGACAGTGGCTGAGGTGGAGGCGGCCGGGGAGGCGGTTCCGGGTCTGGCTGGGCTGGAGGCGGTGCTGAGGGTCGGTTCGGGGCTGCTGGAGCTGGAGCAGGGCGCGGGGCTGCAGCACAGGATCCTCACCTGGTAGTTGTGGCAGAGCCCCGACGCCTGGTCCCTGTTGCGGCAGCTTAGCCCCACGGCGGGGCTGCAGTCCACGCGCTGGCCCGGGGCCAGGGGTCGCTCCTCGGGCGCGCCCTCGGCCCGGCACTGCACGGCCCTGGGCGCCGGGCAGACCCGGAACCCGTGCGCCCGGAGGTTCTCCAGCGTCTCGAAGTCACCACTGTCGAGCCCCAGCCCTGGACGGCTGACGTCCAGCCACGGGGACCACAGGCATTGGTCCTCGCAGCCCGGGCTGGTCTGCACAGAGGTGGTGCCCGGCATCTCCCTGGAGGAGGAGGCGGTGCTCGGGGGCTCCGTGCTTGCCGTGCTCTCGGTGGGGCTGGGCCCTGTGCCGACGGTTTGCCTTGAGCTCACAGCTGTGGGCAAAGAAGGGGACAGAGATGGCACCAGGGCTGGTGCTCGGGGCCGCCTCTGGCACCGGGGCTGGTGCTCGGGGCCGCCTCTGGCACCGGGGCTGGTGCTCGGGCCCTGCCGCCCCGCCATGCCACCAGCTGCCTGGGCCTTTCACCACAGAAGGGCCAACAGCGCTCGGCCTGCCTGACCCGGGCAGGGGTGGAGCAGCAGTTTGGAAGAGCCCATGTGTATAATCCCTAAAAGCAGAGCGTCAGCAGCGCCTCGCTCGGAGGCTGGTGACGGTGCTGCCAACACCGCGGGCGTAGGGGCTTGGAGATGCCCGGCGTGCGTGCAGTAGCCCTAAATTCCCATGTGTGGGGAGCCTCAGTCCTGGGGTCAGAGCACGCTCAAAGCCAGGCCCGTCCGCTGCTGGAGGCAGGATCGTGGAGGCCAGGCCCGCCCCGGCAGCTGGGGGCCGGAGGCGCCGGCCCTTTCCACGGCAGGGCGCCTGGGAGAGGGGGCAGGGCGCCATCAGGTGCTGATGCTCCAGACCCCTTCTGACCCTCGGTGCTGGGCACACACCCGGCATCCAGCCAGCCAGACTGTGGGGCAGCCACAGGACCCCGAGCCCCTCTGCCTTACCGGGCGGCGCCGTGGAGAAGGAGAAGGTGGTTGTGGGCCCGGGGGTGGTGGGGCTGCACGCGTAGGTCTTCCTCTCAATGGTGCCCTCGGCCCCACAGCGGGCAGTGATGCAGCCGCCCGTGCCGTCGGCCATGTGGTAGATCACGTCCCCCGGACGGAAGCGGCTCCCGCCGTAGGTGCAGACACAGGCTGCGGGGAGCAGAAAGAGCCGCGGGGCTGATGGGGGCCGGGGCGCTAGCGGAGACCGCCAACCCCCGGCCCGGAGGCTGCGACTACTCACCCTGGGGGTCGTGGACGCAGTGCACGCCGCGCTCCGTGCAGACGCTGGCGGGAGGAGGAGCATTAAGCAGGGTGTGCGGGCTGCCGCCGGCCCGCACAGGGCCCCGTGCCTCCCCACGGCCCGCTGGCCAGGGGCGGCCCTGCCTCCAGCCCTCTGGGGTCAGCACCCCTGGGCGCATGTCTTCTCCAGGGCTGGCCAGCGGTCAGTGACCATGGAGACATGCGAACTAAAATACTGCCCAAGGCCGGGAAGGTGCTAGTGGTAGAGTGCTGGCCTAGCGTGCACAAAGCCCTGGGTTTGATGCCTCAGTACCACATATGCAGGAAAAGCCGGAAGTGGCGCTGTGGCTCAAGTGGTAGAGCACCAGCTTTGAACAAAAGCAGCTCAGGGACAGCGCCCAGGCCTTGAGTTCAAGCCCCAGGACTGGCCAAAAATAAAAAACACTGCTCTTCGGCCCACGCTTCCAACCGGCACCCGTCCCCTGGCGTCAGCACAGGGGACCCCGTTAGCTGTCCCCTGCACCCTCAAAGCACCCCAACCTGGAACGTACCCCACATCTCTGGACCTCAGGACACAGGACCCCAGCCCCTAAGAGAAGTGTGTCCTGTGTGCTTGATCCAGAGCACACAGCCTGTCAGGAGACCCGGGCCCAGGGCGCAAGGCCCAGAGCTGCTGGGAGTGCAGCGGCCCAGCCCCCCGCCCCCGCTGGGCAGGCACGTGACGCACCAGGAGTGACAGTTCTGGCCAGAGGGCACCGCAGTGCCCAGCCGGTACGACTTCCCGTGGACACGGCAGATGGGTGGCGGTGGTGGCGGGGTGGGGCACGTGGCCACACACTGCATCTTGTCCTCGTCGAAGATGGGTGTGTCGGCTGAGCACTGGGGGTAACAGCCTGCGGGCCAGAGCTGCGTCAGACACGCCGGCCGGGCATGCCGCGTGCCCTGGGGCAGCCCACGGCCCCGGTGGACCCCCACTCTGGACCCCAAGTTCCCCAGGGCAGATCCCGGGGGCCCGGCCACACCCCAGCCCTCCCAGGCCAGCCCCCAGCCCACCTTCAAGGCCACGAAGGCCGTTCAGGCACTGGCCGCTGGGGTTCCTGCAGGTGCGCATGCAGGGGGCTCCACAGGGCTGGTAGTGCCACGTGCACTGGCCCTCCGCGTTGTAGTAGTCGCAGAAGAGCGCTGCGGGGACAGCGAGAGTCAGCCCGGAGCTCGGCCGGCGCCGCCACCCCACGCTCCCGGCCACGGCCACGGTGGCCCAGAACAGGAAGGGTGACCCTGGTCCCGCCACCCCACGCTCCCGGCCACGGTGGCCCAGAACAGGAAGGGTGACCCTGGTCCCGCCACCCCACGCTCCCGGCCACGGTGGCCCAGAACAGGAAGGGTGACCCTGGTCCCGCCCCTCCTGGTTCCCAGGTCCTGGAGGGGCTGACATGAGATGGGGCACAGGGGTCTCGAGACAGAACCCCTCAACCACACCCCAGGGCTCACTCAGACGCGGCTACGCTTCCTTCAAAACCCGCCTGTCCCTCCCGAGGGCCCCGGCGCTGCCTCCCCGCCCGGCACTCACGGCAGACGTCGGGCGTCCTCCAGGACACGCACACGCCCACGTCGTGGCAGGCCTGGGCGTAGGCCGCCACGGCGGTGCACAGACACTCGCAGTCTCCCCCCGAGTCGCACGCACACGCGTCGCTCACGCAGGCCTCGTAGTACTTGGTGGGCTCCACCTGGGGGAGACAGGGCTTCAGCTCCGGGGACCCCTGGATGCACACCCTGGTCTGCTGGCCCGTTTCCAGCGGGGCTCAGGGAAGCAAATGGCTGGTGTCTGTAGCGCGGTCCTGATGCTGCTGAGTTCTGGCTACCGGGTGTTCCCATTCAATCCCCGGCTCCCAGATAGCCCATCCTGGCCCCCGCATGCACCCTGGGCTGATGGCTGCATCTCCTTCCTTGCCTGCTCCCCAGGATGCCTCAGCCAGGCCCCCCCCGCCCCCTCCCCTGCCCTCAGCCAGGCCCCCACCGCCCCCTCCCTGCCCTCAGCCAGGCCCCCCCCGCCCCCTCCCTGCCCTCAGCCAGGCCCCCCCCGCCCCCTCCCTGCCCTCAGCCAGCCTCCCGCCCCTCCGTCATACATGGGCGTGGCAGGCAGCGAAGGTCTTGCTGTTGATGATGCTGCACTGCTTCTGGGCCCAGGACTTGCGGTAAGGGTTGGCAGTGCAGGGGTCCTTGGGCACCAGGGCATCGGGGCAGGACGGGGAGAACTTCCAGCTGTTGCCGAACTCCAGGGCGTCTCCCACCACAGACTGACTCCGTGTGGTGAAGTCGTTGATGGTGTTGTCGTCGAAGTTCCCGCACAGGCCGCAGACCCTGCCCTGCAAAGCCCAGGAAGAGCAGAAGTAAGCTGGGGCCCCTTCCCACACACCCCAGCCCCCTAAGGCCGCACGGCTGCCCCAGAGGCCAAAGAGGCCGCCGCGGCCTACCCAAGCCCAAGCGGGAACGTGGCTCTGCCGGCGTCTCGTCTGCAATTCTAGTGTCTAGAGCTGAGGGAGGACTGACCACCTAGTCTACCGCCACCTGCTATGGCCGCGGAAGGACAGCCATGGACGAGGGTTCCTGCCCCCCCCCCCCCCCGTCTCCCTGTGTCTGCCTTTCTCTGCCTGTCTCCTCTCGGGGTCGCTCTGTCTCTGTCTCTGTGCATCCTGCCTCTTTCTGCACCTTCTAAATCTGCCCTTGTCTCCGTCTCTGTCCCCTGCCCACTGGGTCCCTCTGGCCTTGGGAGCAATGCAGTGGCCTTCCCGTCTCCGTCTCACCTTGAACTCTGGATCGAGCCTGAGGAAGATGCTGGTCCTTCTGTCCCATAGTAGCACCAGGCCAACGTCCGTCTCCACCACCAGGTAGACACCCACCTGGCGGATGGAGAAGGGCATCTCCTGCCCCGCCTCCTTCTGAACCACCTCCACCTTCCCGTCGCTCAGCTTCAGCTCGTAGCGCTGCGTGACAAACAGCCCTCAGGGTCTGGCAGAGCCTCGGCCCCCCCATCCCACCACGGAGCCCCCTGCCCAGCCCCAGGCCTGTATCCCGCCGCGGAGCCCCCGCCCAGCCCCAGGCCCGTATCCACCACAGAGTCCCGGCCCAGCCCCTGCCCCCCATCCCGACCCAGAGGCCCCGCCCAGCCCCAGGCCGTATCCCGCCACGGAGTCCCCGCCCAGCCCCTGCCCCCCATCCCGCCATGGAGCCCCCGCCCAGCCCCAGGCCCATATCCTGCCATGGAGCCCCTGCCCAGCCCCAGGCCTGTATCCACCACGGAGCCCCCGCCCAGCCCCTGCCCCCCATCCCGCCACGAAGCCCCCGCCCCAGCCCCTGCCTCCCCATCCCACCACGGAGCCCCCGCCCAGCCCCAGGCCGCATCCCGCCATGGAGCCCCCGCCCCAGCCCCAGGCCGTATCCCACTGCGGAGCCCCCGCCCCTGCCTCCCCATCCCGCCCCAGAGCCCCCGCCCAGCCCCAGGCCGTATCCCGCCGCGGAGCCCCCGCCCAGCCCCAGGCCGCAGAGCTCCTGGTACCCGGGCTTCTCACCCCGAGGAAGAGCTTGATGGCTTTGGAGCAGGTGGTCCCTGTGGTGCCGCAGGGGACATTCTCCGTGACCACGCGGAAGGCGCCCTGTGCACTGCTGTTCCCGCTGCAGTGGTCCTGGAGGGCAGAGAGCAGAGGGCCGAGGAGACCGGATGCGTGGGGCGCCCACAGGCATGCTGGGACAGCCGCACTCTCGAGGCCTTGTGTGGCTGGGCCCAGGCTGCTGACTCCCTCCTCTGCACACCCCTGCACAGCGCACACTCGCCTGCCATGCACACCCCTGCACAGTGCACACTCCCCTGCCGTGCACACCCCTGCACAGTGCACACGCCTGCCATGCACACCCCTGCACAGTGCACACTCCCCTGCCGTCCACACCCCTGCACAGCGCACACTACCCTGCCGTCCACACCCCTGCACAGCGCACACTCCCCTGCCGTCCACACCCCTGCGCAGCGCACACTCCCCTGCCGTCCACACCCCTGCACAGCGCACACTCGCCTGCCGTCCACACCCCTGCACAGCGCACACTCCTGCCGTCCACACCCCTGCACAGCGCACACTCGCCTGCCATCCACACCCCTGCACAGTGCACACTCGCCTGCCGTGCACACCCCCGCACAGCGCACACTCGTCTGCCGTCCACACCCCTGCACAGCACACACTCGCCTGCCGTGCACACCCCTGCGCAGTGCACACTACCCTGCCGTGCACACCCCTGCACAGCGCACACTCCCCTGCCGTCTACACCCCTGCACAGTGCACACTCTCCTGCCGTCCACACCCCTGCACAGCGCACACTCGCCTGCCATCCACACCCCTGCACAGTGCACACTTGCCTGCCGTCCACACCCCTGCACAGTGCACACTCGCCTGCCATCCACACCCCTGCACAGTGCACACTCGCCTGCCGTGCACACCCCTGCACAGCACACACTCCCCTGCCATCCACACCCCTGCGCAGCGCACACTCGCCTGCCGTGCACACCCCTGCACAGAGCACACTCTCCTGCCGTCCACACCCCTGCACAGCGCACACTCGCCTGCCATCCACACCCCTGCACAGTGCACACTCGCCTGCCATCCACACCCCTGCACAGCACACTTGCCTGCCGTCCACACCCCTGCACCAGCGTACCCTCCTCTGTCCACACCCCTGCACAGCGCATAATCCCCCTGCTGTCCACACATTTGCACTAGTGCATACTAGCAGTACCCACACACATGAAACAGGACATACTCACCCCCCATACATACCTGCACCAGTGTATACTCGCAGTCTCCACTAAAACTGTAGCGCTGTCCATCAAAGGTGAGGTAGTGGCCATCCCCGTACACAGAGCAGGTGGCCAGGCAGGGCTCATCTGTGCACTGCCACTTTCTGCTCTCACAGGTGCTATGTGGGACACAGAGGTCAGGCCTGGGCCCCTGCCAGGGACCCTCCCAGAGGCTCTGTGGAGACCCTGCAGGGCCTGTGGTGGCTGTGACCTCCAAGAGGACCTGTGATTTAAGTATCTGACCAGAGTTTTCCTGGCTGGATATCCCGTGACAGACATGTCAGTCAGCAGGGCCTCTGCACTGGCTCGTTCTTTCCCCAGCCCTGGCCTCTGTGTCTCGGGGTTGAGGATGGCTTGGACGCCCACGTGCCAGGTGTTACAGCCACCCAGATGGTCGCCCCGCATCTGTACAGATGCCCACGTGCCAGGTGTTACAGCCCATGCAGATGGTCGCCCCGCATCTGTACAGATGCCTACGTGCCAGGTGTTACAGCCACCCAGATGGTCGCCCCGCATCTGTACAGATGCCTACATGCCAGGTGTTACAGCCCGTGCAGATGGTCGCCCCGCATCTGTACAGATTCCTACATGCCAGGTGTTACAGCCACCCAGATGGTCGCCCCGCATCTGTACAGATGCCTACATGCCAGGTGTTACAGCCCGTGCAGATGGTCGCCCCGCATCTGTACAGATTCCTACATGCCAGGTGTTACAGCCACCCAGATGGTCGCCCCGCGTGTGTACAGATGCCCACGTGCCAGGTGTTACAGCCCATGCAGATGGTCGCCCCGCATCTGTACAGATGCCTACGTGCCAGGTGTTACAGCCACCCAGATGGTCGCCCCGCATCTGTACAGATGCCTACATGCCAGGTGTTACAGCCCGTGCAGATGGTCGCCCCGCATCTGTACAGATTCCTACATGCCAGGTGTTACAGCCACCCAGATGGTCGCCCCGCATCTGTACAGATGCCTACATGCCAGGTGTTACAGCCCGTGCAGATGGTCGCCCCGCATCTGTACAGATTCCTACATGCCAGGTGTTACAGCCACCCAGATGGTCGCCCCGCGTGTGTACAGATGCCCACGTACCAGGTGTTGCAGCCCACCCGGATCGTCTCCCCGCGTCTGTACGTGGCCTCGTTGTGCACACAGGGACAGTCTTCCACGGCCACGCAGCCACCTTCGCCATCTGCCACCAGCCCATCAGGGCACACACAGCCAGGCACGCACTGAGGGCTGTACTGTAGGGGAGGTGGACAGGGCTGAGTGGACAGGAACAAAGCCGGACTGCCACGACCCCCAAGAGACGTGGCACATGGCCGCAGGGCCCCAGGAGCATCAGAGTCTTCGAAGGACCAGTCTGGCCACACTGTCCCAAGCTCCAGTGCGCTGACCCCACTACTGGAGCAGCCACAGACATCCTCAGCAGCAAGGGTCAGGGGTCAGGAGCCAGTGGGAGGGGTGACCAGGGTACTTACACAGGCCATGTCCAGCGTGTGGCAGCTCTTCTGGCAGCCAGCCCCGGTGGCCCCCGCTGTGGCGTTCCGGCAGTCGAAGTAGACCATGGGTGCTCCGCACACTGGGGAGGGAGGGCCAGTCAGGAGACCCGTTCCCACCCCCGGGGGGCAGCTGCACCAAAGGGGAGCAGCTGCTGCCACCCTTGAGCGTGTTCCCAAACATCTGACCACCCTGAACGTGGGAGAGCTGCACATCTGTGCTGTGTGTGGGAAGCGTGTGTCCGTGTGGATTGTGAGGTGTGTGTGTGATTGTGTGTGCTGTGCGTGAGGAATGTGTGGACGTGTAGATTGTGAGGCATGTGTGTGATTGTGTGTGCTGTGCGTGGGGGAAGCGTATGTGGATCGTGAGGTATGTGTGTGGGGGATTGTGTGTGCTGTGCATGGGGGAGGTGTGTGTGGATCGTGAGGTGTGGGTGTGTGGGGGGGGATTGTGTGTGCTGTGCATGGGGGAGGTGTGTGTGGATCGTGAGGTGTGTGTGTGTGTGATTGTGTGTGCTGTGCGTGAGGAATGTGTGGACGTGTAGATTGTGAGGCATGTGTGTGATTGTGTGTTCTGTGTGTGGGAAGCGTGTGTCCGTGTGGATTGTGAGGCGTGTGTGTGATTGTGTGTGCTGTGCATGGGGGAGGTGTGTGTGGATCGTGAGGTGTGTGTGTGTGATTGTGTGTGCTGTGCATGGGGGAGGTGTGTGTGGATCGTGAGGTGTGTGTGTGTGATTGTGTGTGCTGTGCATGGGGGAGGTGTGTGTGGATCGTGAGGTGTGTGTGTGTGATTGTGTGTGCTGTGCATGGGGGAGGTGTGTGTGGATCGTGAGGTGTGTGTGTGTGATTGTGTGTGCTGTGCATGGGGGAGGTGTGTGTGGATCGTGAGGTGTGTGTGTGTGATTGTGTGTGCTGTGCATGGGGGAGGTGTGTGTGGATCGTAAGGTGTGTGTGTGTGTGATTGTGTGTGCTGTGCATGGGGGAGGTGTGTGTGGATCGTGACGTGTGTGTGTGTGGGATTTTGTGTGCTGTGCATGGGGGAGGTGTGTGTGGATCGTGAGGTGTGTGTGTGTGTGATTGTGTGTGCTGTGCATGGGGGAGGTGTGTGTGGATCGTGAGGTGTGTGTGTGATTGTGTGTGCTGTGCATGGGGGAGGTGTGTGTGGATCGTGAGGTGTGTGTGTGTGATTGTGTGTGCTGTGCATGGGGGAGGTGTGTGTGGATCGTGAGGTGTGTGTGTGTGATTGTGTGTGCTGTGCATGGGGGAGGTGTGTGTGGATTGTGAGGTGTGGGTGTGTGATTGTGTGTGCTGTGCATGGGGGAGGTGTGTGTGGATCGTGAGGTGTGTGTGTGTGTGATTGTGTGTGCTGTGCATGGGGGAGGTGTGTGTGGATCGTGAGGTGTGGGTGTGTGTGATTGTGTGTGCTGTGCATGGGGGAGGTGTGTGTGGATCGTGAGGTATGTGTGTGTGATTGTGTGTGCTAAGTGTTGGAAGTGGCCAGTTCTTGCTCCCATCGTCCTCACCAGCACTGAGGGGTGGGGAGCAAATACCACACCAGACACAGAGAAGCCAGTCAACAACCTCTTGTCTGTTTGACCCCAGCACCAAATAGGGAGCTTCTCGTGGAGATGAGGGAGCTTAAGGGCAGTGATTCCCAATCCCGCCTCACCTGGGGTGGGAGCAGGGCCTCCGATGCAGGTCAGGGACCCCGTTGTGCAGGTGCTAGGAGAAGAGGGCTGTCAGCATGTCTGCTCTGGGCCCCTGGGGCCTGGAGACCCACCAGCCAGGCCCCACCCACCAGACCCCACCCTGCCTTGTCCCCACCCTGCCCGGCCCACAAGCCCTACCAGACAGCCCCGTTGTCGTGCACAGACTCGCCGTTAGGGACCAGGGAGCCTCTGTGGTAGCAGGGGCAGCTGGCTGCCGCCACACACTTGCCCACGTCATCCAGGAAGGTGCCCTCGGGGCAGGCACAGCCATCCACAGGGACAAAGCTGACCTGACAGGTGACATCCTCCTGGCTCAGGGAGCGGCAGGTGGGCTGGCAGGTGCTGATGTGGTAATGGTAACTCATTGACTTCGGGCAGGTGGTGGTGGGTTTTGCTATGGGGTAGGAGGCAGGAAGGGGACACTCAGGAGGGTTGTGGTAAACAGCCTGGAGTCAGCTGGCAGCCCAGTGGGCAGAGGCCTCTGGCTCCCCGGATACTAAGCCTGGTGGTGGTGGTTTGGGTGCTGCTCAGCCTTAGAGCCAGGGAGCCAGGCCCTAGAAGACGATGGGGCCTCCCCCAAGCCTGGTGGGGGCCAGGCCCAGCCCCCTCCCAGGTGCACTCACTGCAGAGGCCGTCCCGCCAGCCGCTGAGCAGCACGCCCCGGGCCGCACAGGCTCGCACGTAGGAGGACAGGGCCGCGCACATGCAATCCTCGCTCCTCTCGCAGTTGCACGTGTCGAACATGCAGTTCTGGGGGCGCAGGTCGGGGCATCAGGGACCCCATGTCCCTCAGGGTCCCTCAGCACCCAGCTCTGCAGGTGAAGGTCAGGACACCAAGAACCCCGCCCACACGTGGAGACATCTCCTTCACGGTTGGCCTGGGGTCTGGAAGCCCAGTGTCCCTGCATCTCCCCACCTTCCCTGGCTCCCCCAGGATCCCCCGAGGCCCCCACCCGCCCTGGTGAGAAGTGCTTGTGCAGCACACAGGACTTGGGTGCTGCCTCTTGGAGCTTCAGGTCCAATCAGGTCCTCAGGGCAGTGAGTTTTGGAAAACTCTGGTGTTTTCTCTCTGTGACCCACCAAGTGTGGGTTCTACATGCATCTGCTCTATCCCTTCCTGGTTCCCCACTTAGCCCTTGGGTCCAGCTAGCTGAAAACCCCCAGAGTTTAGTCCCTGTGCTGGTGTGGGCTTATGGAAATGATGAATGAGTGAGTGAGTGAATGAGGTGTGAGAATGAGGAAATGGCACCAGAGCACAGAGCTTCCTCCAGACCCCGCTGCCCACTGCCCACCAGGTGCCCCTCCTCAGATTTCCGCAGCCCTCTGTGGGGGACCCACAAGCCCATAGTGGGGCTGTGTCCAGAGGCTGGCAGAGAGTGTTACCGAGTAGTAGGCAGCAGGGTTCACGGTGGCGTGGCACTGGGAAAAAGGGCCGTTGGAGTTTGTCAGCTGTGAGCACCAGTACTGGGCATACTTCTCTGTGGACAGAAAAGAAGCCATCGGCTACTCTCACACCTGCACTCCTGGTTGCTCCTGCCTGAGGTTTGGAGGTTCTGGCAGGCGCCGTCACACTGAACACAGCACTGCAGACTGAGGATGCAGTGTCCTCCCACATACAGGGAGCACGGAGCAGCCGCGGCCCAGGCTCCTCCCCCTTCCCCGCCCCCAGCCCTCTCCTCAGAGCCACCATCTTCTAGGGGTGTGAGAGGCCCTCACTATGGATAGGTAAGCCAAGATAACTATGCCAGGGCAGGCAGTGATGGAGTCAGGACTGGCTGAACTCCTTGCCTCTTGCACCTTGCCTGGTCCAGGAGGCTGAGTAACTAATATCACTGGTAGGTCAAGAGAGGCCCAGAAGCAGAGGCCCAAAGTGTGATTCTGGGTGCTCAGTGACAAGGCAGGTGGCTGGCTGTGACCTTGGCTGTGACCATTTCAAGGCCATTTTCCATTGCCTCACCCACCACCACCACACCCAGACATGGACACCAGCCTTCCATCTGCCCTGGGGCACCCAGACTTGCCTCACTTGCCACCCAGCACATGGTGAGTTTGCCTGATGACCTCCCTTCAGAGCAGAGAGCTGAACCCTCGCCAGGGTCAGAGGGCACTGAGCAAGTGCCCAGCTCAGCAATGGGGGTGGGTAGACCAGCCCTGGGAAGCCAATGCCCACACGTACCATTCTCCACGCTGAGCGAGCAGGGGTCCTCAAAGATGTTCTTAACATTGGGGCAGGCAGCCTGTGTCTTGAAGGTGTTGAAGAAAGCAGCAGCGGTGCCCTCCACCACCCCACTGATGGTCCGGAAGTCATCAGCCTGGATGCTGTTGAAGTTCCCGCAGAGACCTGGGGGTGGGGGGGAGAAGGCAGCTTGAGACCCAGGTGGACTCTGCGATGGGGTCAGTCAGGCAGCCCGGAGATGGTACTCTTACCGCAGGTCAGTCCCCGGAGCTCAGGTGCCAGCCGCACAAACACCTGCATGGTGGGCACCAGCTGGACATCCAGCTGCAGGCCCAGGGTGGTCTGAGCGATGATGAAGAAGGTTGAGGGTCTGAAGAGGGTGACGTTGGCTGCAGATGAAGAGCACACAGGTGGTGCTGGGGCTCGGGAGGAGGCCCAGAGGCGGCCTGTGACTGGGGGCGGGGTGCACGGGGAGACTGCAGGCCACGCCCTCACCTGCAGAGACCGGCAGCTGGGTGTAGATCTGATTCACAAAGACCTCTCCACTGGCCTTCATCACGACAACCTGGAAGCGGCCACAGACAACAAGTCAGCATGTGGCTCAGGCCTGGGGCCTTGTCCCTCCAGCTACCCTCCCCCTTGGTGCCCGGCCGAGGCTGTGAAATGTGTCCTTGAGGGGCCTGGAGACCATCTTCCCGGAGGGTCACCACCCCCTTGAGGTGTTCTGATTCCTATTCTACTTTCCTAAACTTTATGAGAACTTTCCCCCATCCCTGACATCTACAGCCCCAAGTCTGTTAAAAAAAAATCAACTTCAGTGAAGAAGCCTGATGGCCAGAGATGCTGCAGCCTCTCCTACCTACGTAGGACCAGGTGGGCCAGGCCTGGGGCTCAGCATCCCGTCCCTGAGCCTCTCCACTTAGGGATAGGCACTGGGAAGACGCAAGCAGCAGCCAGTGGGGGAGAAGCCACAGCCACTTGCTGCTCATCACGTGGGCACAGGTGACACGCCACAGGACACCCCTCCCTGGGTCACCCCGGGCCTGCGCCCCCCACCCCCCCCGCCTGTGACACTCACCGTCTGCCCCCCACCCAGGCTCAGCGTCACGCTCTTCAGGCAGGTCTCACTGTCGGTCAGCCCGCACCTGCGCAGCTCAGCCAGCACAGTGAAGGCACCACTGTCACAGGGCTGCGGGCACGGCACGGGTCCTCAGGCACTGTCCCCACCTCCTCCTCCCTCTCCTCCGGCCCGTGCTGTGTCCCTTCACTGGGCTCCTCAGCAGCACCTCCCCCCAATCCCAGGCAGATGTGCTTTCAGATCCCCAAATGGGGACCCCTCCCCCGCCCCGCAGCCCACACAGGGGAATGGCAACACGCCCACTGTGTGGAAGAAAGCTAAGAAGGCGGCCAGTGATCATTCCAACCTCGGGACCAGAGGGTCTGTGGGCTCCGAGGGGGGGAGAGGTGGGCGGGCATCCCAGGTGCCCAGGCAGTGGCACTATTCTGCATGACACAGCTCTGTGGGGTGACACTGCGATGGTAGACACAGCACACTGCACAGCACCAAGAGCAGCAGGAGGGTGCCACACGCGGCTCCCGCACTCAGCGCCCGGGCAGCAGGAGGGTGCCGCACGCGGCTCCCGCACTCAGCGCCCGGGCAGCAGGAGGGTGCCGCACGCGGCTCCCGCACTCAGCGCCCGGGAGGGATGTCAGGTGATGGGGGCCACATGATGGGCGATGCCATGGCACAGGCATCGTGGCAATGAGGCGTCGATTTTGACCCCTCGATTGTCACAAAATCTCACTAATGTAAAAAGTTAACGTGGGGGGAAACTGGACTGAGGATGGGAGTACATGAGAGTTCTCTGGACTTTCTGCTCAATTTGTAAGCCTAAAACTGCTCTTTAAAAAGGCAGTATAGCCAGACACTGGTAGCTCACACCTGTAGTCGTAGCTACTCGGGAGGCTGAGATCCGAGGATCACTGTGTGAAGCCGCCTGAGCAGGAAAGTCCGTGAGACTCTTACCTCCAAATAATCAACCACAGGAAGCCAGAAATGGAGCTGTGGCTCAAGTGGTAGAGCATCAACAACAGAGGCTCAGGGACAGTGCCCAGGCTCTGAGTTCAAGCCCCAGGACTGGCAAAAAAAAAAAAAAAATACAATCTAACGGGAAAAATAGCTTGTTAATGGGCCCTTGCCTAGCAAGCACAAAGGCCAGAGTTCAAACCCCTGTGTCTCCCTAATAATTCTTTTTTTTTTTTTTTTTTTGCCGGTCGTGAGGCCTGAACTCTGGGCCTGGGCGCTGTCTCTCAGCTCTTCAGCTCAAGGCAAGCGCTCTACCGCTTGAACCACAGCGCCACTTCTGGCTTTTTCTGTTTATGTGGTGCTGAGGAATCGAACCCAGGGCCTCATGCATGCAAGGCAAGCGCTCTACCACTGAGCCACCTTCCCTATAATAATAATTCTTATTATTACCAAGTTTATTAAACAAAAACTTCAGGGCTGAAGGCATGGCTTAGTTGGTACCTGTGTAGCAAGAGACCCTGAGTTCAAGCCCAATGCTACCAAAACAAAGACAAAGCTCAGGGTCAGAGGCATCAGCCAGGCACTGGACAGCAGTCTTCCATCGAGGGAACGCAGGTGTCCCTGGGGAGCCCATGTTTGAGGACAGGGCATTTCTTTAAGATCTCACACCAGGTATTCCCAAGGATGGCTGAGATGTGAGACCCTCGGTCAGGGGAGTTAAACCAGGAGGCTGAGCCTGGGACCCCGCCGGGTGCATCCCAGCCAGCAGAGAACAAGAGACAGCCCAGGCCCTACCTTGGTCAGCACATAGCTGCAGTCTCCGTGCACCGTGTACTGCCTCTCATCGAACGTGGAGAAGTGGGAACCGCCCAGCACCGAGCAGGTGCCTGGGCAGGGGACCTCCCGGCAGCTCCACCGGCCTCCAGAGCAGGTACTGCAGGCAGCGGGAACAGGGATAACACGCATTGGCCTTGGCCGCGGGAGCAACAGGCCGTCTGGCCCCTCCACAGGCCACAGGAGCCCGGGACCTACCACGTGGTGCAGTCTGAAGAGTAGTTGGCTCCCGGGGCATAAGCAGTCCCGTTGTACAGGCAGGCACACTGCGACACCGGCACACAGCCAGTCTGGCCGATGTCATCGAGCACCAGCCCTGCAGAGAACAGCCGGGCTGTGTGGCAGGCAGGTACCAGCCGGGGTCTCGGCCAGCATCGACAGCTCAGGACACCTCCAGTCAGGGGTCAGAGGCGTCTTTTCTCCAAGGCTCAGCCATGGAAGATGGCCACCTGGAGCCCAGAACGCAGGTGCACCTCTGTGCATGGGCGTGCAGGGCTGAACCCCATCTTACCCTTGGGGCAGAAACACCCAGCGACACAGTGGTCCTCGCAGGTCTGGGAGCGCTGGGGGTTGGAGCAGGTGTCCACGCAGGGCGAGCCGCACTCCTGGTGCTGCATGTTGAGGGGGCACGTCCGGGCTGCGGAGACCACCAGCATGGGTTTAGGTCCTGGCCCGGCCCCGGCCCCCTGACCCCAGGATGGCGTGATGGAGAAGGGGCGCCCGGCTGCGGGCACTCACGGCAGAGGTCGGGATCCCGCCAGTCCTGCGGCTGCCCTCCCGCGTGGGCGCACTGCCTCGAGTACTCGGCCAGGGTGTGGCAGAGGCAGGAGGGCAGGTGGGCGTGGGTGCACCGGCAGACATCCTGCCGGCAGGCCTCCACGTAGCTGCCGACCTCCACCAGGGCCGCACAGCCTGAGAACAGCCGGCTTCTCAAGATCTCATCGCAGATGCCCTGGGCAAGACAGGAGCCTGTGCTGAGCCTCGGCTCAGAGCACGCTGGGGTGTCCTCACGGCTCGCTGCCACTCCCTGTCCCCCGTCCCCCATCCCCCGTCCCCCTTCCCCCTCCCCCTGGCCAGTTCGCTTCAAGGCTCACGTGGCTGTTTGAGCAGTTCTTCTGAGGCTCCGGGACGGGGTCTTGGCACTGCTCTGTGGGACCATCCATCTTCTGCAGGTTCCCAAACTCGAGGGGGGTCAGCTTGACATCTGCAAGAGACACAGAGCCAGCCCTGCCTGTGGGCCCTGGGGCCTCAGCCCAGAGAATTCCTGAAGCTAGATCCCTGGGGGAGGCTGGCGCCCTACCAGGAATCCCCCATCCTCTGCCCAGACACTCGGGGAGTCTGGAGCTGCGTGAGGAAGAGGGAGGAGCCGAGGGCTCCAGCCTGGCACTAACCACACGGGACCCAGGTTCCTACCCGCCAGACTGGCGGAGGCCCTGGGCAGCACGCGTGTGAGGCGTGTGCGAGAGCTGTGCCTCGGCAGGCTTGCGTGTGGGTGCACGCAGAGTGCTCTGGGTGCGTGTTTTTGTGCGTCACGTGTGGGGGAATGTTTGCACACTATTTGGAGATGCTGGACTGGGGCTCCCGGAGTCTGAGACCCCGGGGGGCTCTGGGTGGGCCCGCCGGCGGCCTTACTGTGAACGACGAACTCGCTGGACACGGGGCTGCCGTTGAAATCGCCACAGAGCCCACAGGTCTTGTTGGCATACTTGCCGTCCAGCTCCAGCTGAAATGGGGGAGACGTCAGACCCCGTCCCGCCAACAGGGTCCCAAGATATGAAGGGCAGACTCCCAAGGAGGGGTTGGGGGTCCTCGGAGGAGGCCCAGGCTGGGAGACCCCCACAGGAGTCGATGGAAGCTGACCCCAAGCAGGGTGCAGACACTGCACACAGGGCGCCTCCGTCTTGGGGCAAAGCCCCACTGGTGACAGCCTGCCGCCCCCACAGCCCATCCCACGCGCCTTCCGCCCAGGAAGGCCTCTGCGGAGCCCGTGGGACTGGCCAGGCCTCGGCTGGAGCGTGGCCCCATCCTGCCTTCGTCACAGGCCCGTCCGCCCCCTCCCACGCCTCCCACCATTGCTCTGCCCCTCCCCCTCGCCCTCCCCCCTCCTCCCCCCTCGCCCCCCCCCCCAGCTCACCAGGAGGCTGTCATCCTCATTCCACATGAAGACCAGGCCCAGCTTGGCCACCACCTTCAGGTATCCACTGCTGAGCTCCATGAAGACCCCGGACTGGCTGAAAGGCAGCTGGACACTGTGGAGGAGAGCAGGCGGAGGAGCTGAGCGGCCGGGGCTGCCCGGGGTGGAGCACAAGCCCCGCGCCCAGGACCGCGAGGCCCTGCTGTCCCCCACTGCCCAGACGCAGGTTCCCCCCAGCACCCCCCGGAGACTCACAGACGGCCGAGGCCCTGCTGTCCCCCACCGCCCGGACCCAGGCTCCCCCCAGCACCCCCCGGAGACTCACGGATGGCCGAGGCCCTGCTGTCCCCCACTGCCCGGACCCAGGCTCCCCCCAGCACCCCCCGGAGACACACAGACGGCCGAGGCCCTGCTGTCCCCCACTGCCCAGACGCAGGCTCCCCCAGCACCCCCCGGAGACTCACGGACGGCTGTTGACCAGGACGGAGCTCTTGGCCAGCTGGACCACCAGGCCGTCGAGCTTCATGGTGACCTGCAGCGCGCTGGTGTTGGGGCGCGGGCCGCGGCGCAGCTGCACGTTGAAGTCCTCGTAGGTGGCGCCGCAGTGCGCGGAGAACACATAGTTGCAGAGGCCAGGGAAGCGGAAGACGCGGCCGTCGAAGGTCTTGTAGTGGAAGTCGCCCCAGGTGCTGCACACCCGCCCGTTGTGTGTGGGGTTCAGGGCTGCGGGGAACCAGCGCGGTTGAGCCTTCGGGGCTGCTGCCTTTCCCGCAGCCTCCTGGGCACACAGCAGCTGCCACCGCCCTCTGCAGGCCTCCAGGACCCCCGACACTGCAGGCTCAGGCAGCAGTCCTGGCTGATCTAGAACATGCTGGGGATGGCTGGAGGCCCTGGGGACCCCTTTCTGGGCCTGCTCGTTGTCAGCCTGGACGTGGACCCCCGCTGTCTACCCGCCCCAGGCAGCCCTGCCACCCCGGGCCAGCCGTCGGGCCGCACTCACCCTGGACCACCGGGAGGGGCCTCAGCGGAGAGAGGTGCATCACGCCTCGGAGTGGGTCACCTGCGGAGACCGGGGCTCATGGGGCTGTGCGCGGCCTTGAGAGGGGCTAGGGACCCCGCGGCCTTGAGAGGGGCTGGGGACCCCGCGGCCTTGAGAGGGGCTGAGGACCCCGTGGCCTTGAGAGGGGCTGGGGACCCCACGGCCTTGAGAGGGGCTGGGGACCCCGCGGCCCAGAGGAAGCGGGTCGTGGAGAGCCACGTGGGCGGGGGGCCTCCCCCAGCACCCCTCCCTCCGAGTTCTGACCCCTCGGTGGTAACCAGCTGCGTTGCCACTTCAAGAAGTCCTGGGGCCCCTGGCCGTGCGTGTTGGAGGTTGGGGAACCTGGCAGTCGCGTGGGGTGGGGAAAGAAGGCCAAGACTTACCGCCGTGCCCCTGAGCCGGGGAGAGGCTTGGGTGTTGCTGATAGCCGGACTTCAGAGCGTCACCCTGGGCCTGGCCTGTAAGAGATGAGCCTGAGCAGGGCAGGTGCCTCAAACGGTCCAGGCCGCCGGTCACCAGAGGCGTGGATGAAGGGAGAGGCATAAGGATGCAAAACAGGTGGGAGAGCCGGTCACAAGGGCTGTCTGGGTGGCAGGATGCCCCCGTCCCTGTGGCCAGGCATCGGAGGCCTCCCGGGCTGAGGGCCGTGAGCATGGGCATCGGAGGCCTCCCAGGCTGAGGGCCGTGAGCATGGGCATCGGAGGCCTCCCAGGCTGAGGGCCGTGAGCATGGCCCCATCGCTGCCCCATCAGGCTGCACACATGTGCACAGTGTCACCTGCTAGCCTGATGCCTGGGGCCGGCATGGCCTGCGGGCCTCGCCGGGGCCAGGCCCTGCGAGGGTGGAGGGGGTGGTGTGCAAGGCCACACTGGATTCCACCTGGAGTCCAGCTGCCTGATCCTGTGCTCCCCCCCACGCCCTGCTGTCCCTCAGCTTCTGCAGGGGTGATCTTATGAGGGTCATGACTGGCCAGCCTGGGGAGCAGACATGCAAAGGACAGAGCAAGAGCCGGTTCCAAGTTGCTGCCCCTCCCGCCTCCCTGGACACGAGCCTCATCAGCACCCTGGCCAGGGCCTCAGGCCCGGCAGAGACCAGCGAGGTGGTGGTGTAGCCCTGCCCAGGGCTCCCAGACGCCAGAGGCCAGGCCAGCCTTGACACGGCGTGGCAGAGGCCAGCGGGAAGGTGGCTGGCTCAGGACACAGGCCAAGGCATGGGTGTGGCCCCTCAGCACAGACGGAGCTTCAGAAGCCAACTCACCCAGTGCCTTGGCCCTGCCCTGTGAGCTCTGCAGAGGAGAGGACCATCCCAGGCCTCGGGGAGGACCATCCCAGGCCCCGGGGAGGACCATCCCAGGCCCCGGGGAGGACCATCCCAGGCCTCGGGGAGGACCATCCCAGGCCCCGGGGAGGACCATCCCAGGCCTCGGGGAGGACCATCCCAGGCCCCGGGGAGGACCATCCCAGGCCTCTGGGAGGACCATCTCAGGCCTCGGGGAGGACCATCCCAGGCCCCGGGGAGGATCATCCCAGGCCTCGGGGAGGACCATCCCAGGCCTCCGGAGCGAGTGTCCACTGGGGGTCAGCACAGACCGGGTGGGTGGCCAGGCCAGACAGGGTCCTGTCTGCCAGAGGAGCACAGGCAGATGGAAGGAGGCCCTGCGGGCTCCAAGTCTCTGGCAGAGGGCTGTGGCTTAGAGCAGGACAGCCAGTGTGGCCGGAACTGTGAGCATGTTCCCTGCCCCTCCAGGGCCCGGGGCCTGTGCCACGGCCATTCCCCCCACCCCCGCTACCCCCTCCACGCCCACCTCCTCACTGCAGGCCGTCCCCCCCCCCACTCCCCCCCTCCACGCCCACCTCCTCACTGCAGGCTGTCCCCCCGCCCCCGCTACCCCCTCCACGCCCACCTCCTCACTGCAGGCCGTCCCCCCCCCCCCCCGCTACCCCCTCCACACCCACCTCCTCACTGCAGGCCGTCCCCCCCCCCACTACCCCCTCCACGCCCACCTCCTCACTGCAGGCTGTCCCCCCGCCCCCGCTACCCCCTCCACACCCACCTCCTCACTGCAGGCCGTCCCCCCCCCCCGCTACCCCCTCCACACCCACCTCCTCACTGCAGGCCGTCCCCCCCCACTACCCCCTCCACGCCCACCTCCTCACTGCAGGCTGTCCCCCCGCCACTACCCCCTCCACGCCCACCTCCTCACTGCAGGCCGTCCCCCCCCCCGCTACCCCCTCCACGCCCACCTCCTCACTGCAGGCCGTCCCCCCCCCCCGCTCCCCCCCCCGCTCCCCCTCTCCACGCCCACCTCCTCACTGCAGGCCGTCCCCCCCCCACTACCCCCTCCACGCCCACCTCCTCACTGCAGGCCGTCCCCCCCCCCCGCTACCCCCTCCACGCCCACCTCCTCACTGCAGGCCGTCCCCCCCCCACTACCCCCTCCACGCCCACCTCCTCACTGCAGGCCGTCCCCCCCCCCGCTACCCCCTCCACGCCCACCTCCTCACTGCAGGCCGTCCCCCCCCCACTACCCTCTCCACGCCCACCTCCTCACTGCAGGCCGTTCCCCCCCCCCCCCGCTACCCTCTCCACGCCCACCTCCTCACTGCAGGCCATTCCCCCCCCCCGCTACCCCCTCCACGCCCACCTCCTCACTGCAGGCCGTCCCCCCCCCACTACCCCCTCCACGCCCACCTCCTCACTGCAGGCCATTCCCCCCCCCCGCTACCCCCTCCACGCCCACCTCCTCACTGCAGGCCGTCCCCCCCCCACTACCCCCTCCACGCCCACCTCCTCACTGCAGGCCGTCCCCCCCCCCCGCTACCCCCCTCCACGCCCACCTCCTCACTGCAGGCCGTCCCCCCGCCCCCGCTACCCCCTCCATGCCCACCTCCTCACTGCAGGCCGTCCCCCCCCCCGCTACCCCCTCCATGCCCACCTCCTCACTGCAGGCCGTCCCCCCCCGCTACCCCCTCCACGCCCACCTCCTCACTGCAGGCCGTCCCCCCCCCCCGCTCCCCCCCCCGCTCCCCCTCTCCACGCCCACCTCCTCACTCTCAGCCTGGCTCTCCTGCAGAGGCAGGGTGTGCTAGCCCCGTGGGAAGGACGACCGGCCTGTCCTAGGACTGTAACCTTCTCTCACCTCAAGGACGCAGGCCTGGGTGAGTCTGGGTCCCCTTGTCCCCCAAGGTCGAGACCTCAGGACACCCCCACCAAGGCCCTGACAGAGGCAGACTCTCCAGACATGAGTCCTGTGTCCAAGATGCCGAGAGCCACCCGACCAGGCCGGCCAGGCTTGGAGATGGAGCGCGCTTCTCCACCACAGGGGCGTCCAGCCCGCAGCCCCCCAACCCCCCAGCCAGAAGCTGTCTTGGGGGAGGAGTAGGGCTGCACGGGGGCTGAGGGGCTGGTGCCCCGTGGATGCATTCAGTTTGCCCACAGGGAGGAACTCCAAGTGACCACTGCCCACCTGAGACCAGAGCTTGGACAGTGGCCGGGGGCTCCAAGCCCCACCTGGGACATTGGGACAGCTCAAGTCCTACCTGTGTGCTGGCAGCAAGCCAGGGCCAGCGCCAGCGCCCACAGCGGGGCCAGCTTCGCCCGGCCAACACGCATGGTGTGAGTGTGAGAGGTGTCCCCACAGGCGGCCTCTGAGGGGAGGCTGGAGTCTGCCCTGGGCTTTTGTAGCCCCAGAGCCGGCCCCAGCCCCGGGGGCTCCACGTGAGTGGGCGGGGCAGGCTGTGGTTCTCACCCAGGTAAACAGTGGGCACCGGCTTCAGGCAGGTCAGCCGCAGAGGGTGGAGGTGGGAGGGCCCACCCTGGGTGGGGCCTGTTTTCCCCTGGATTCCCGCAGGCCCTAGCCATGTGGCCCCCACCCTGACTTTCTCAGTTACAACCCAGGAGTTCCTGGTTCTTCAAGGAACATGACCAAATGCTACCCATAAGGTGTCGTGAGCCTGGACTGGCCGGTCACCTCCCCTCACTTCCAGAAACTCCGTGGGCAGCAGCCCCCAAGCGAGGGGCAGAGCCCTTCCCCACAGAGCAGCCCAGCCCCCTGCTGCCTGAGACCACAGCTGGGCCCAGGCAGGCGGTGAGCAGAGGCCCAGTTCCTCTGACCGCCAGGGACCAGGAGTCCTTGATGCCCACTGGCCACCGGGCTGAGAATTGCTCCCGCTGGAAATTGCCCTGAAGTCATTGTTCTGATGCCTCCAGCGGAGACAGCACCTCACTGGACGGAAACCTGCCCTGCCATGGGCAGGTGGCGCTGGGCCTCGTCTGCGCTGCTGGGACTCGGGCCCGACCCACCCACCACACGGCCCCCTCCCCCAGCAGACCCACAGGGCGGAGTGCAGCGGGGGTCTGGAGGAGGAATGGCAGCACAGGGGGAGAAGGGGACTGGGCTCTGCTCTGCCCCGGAGGGCACTCGAGAGGCACCCCAGATCCGACCATCGGCTTCCGGCTTCCCTGGGCCTATCCCAAGCCAAACCTGATCTCCTAATGTAACTCTGTCTCTGCTCTGTCCCTCGACACTGTCTTGGTACCAGTATCTAGGAGAGGGAGCACCTCTCACATCACAGGAGTGTAGGAACACAGGAATGAATGGATGAATGAGGGAGTTAATGAATGAGGGTTGACAGGGTAAGTTAAGGAGTGAATAAGGGAGGGAGTTAATGAATGAGAGAGTGACTGGGTAGGTTAATGAATGAATGAATGAATGAGGGAGTTAATGAATGAGAGAGTGACTGGGTAAGTTAATGAGTGAATGAGTGAGCCAGTGAATGAATGGGGAGCAGGGAGGGGGTGTTGGGGTGCCTGGGCCAGCCCTGTCACCTCCCCAGACACAGCCGGGGCTTCCCTGCCCGACCTTTGCCCTGGACTCCACATCCGCCAGTTGCTGACAGAGCTGAGATCGAGGTCAGCAGTGGAGAGCAGCCTCCCTGTGGACAGGCCGGTGGACAGGGCTGGCCCCAACACGTGTGTGGCCTCTCTGACGGGGCCTGGCGGGGACTGCAGGCCGACGGGCCCCCGGCCAGGGGTCTGAGCCATGCTCTGGCCTCCTTGTGCCCTCAGAACGGCAGGGAAGTGGCTGGCCAGCAGCTTCCACGGCCCTGGCACGAGATTGGGCCTGAGTCACCACTTGGGCCCAGGCCTTGACCCTGACCCGTTTGATTCAGCACGCTGGACTCAAAGGGCACCACACCCTGTGTCCCAGGCTGGACTGAGCCACTAGGCAGCTGGCCACCCGGCCACCCAGAGCCTGCAGCCCAGACCGGCACCAGGCCAAGCACCCAAGAGGCGGCCAGGGCTGCTTCTACCCGTCAGTGCCCACCTGGTGTCCGCGTAGAGCCCAGCTCTGAGCACTAGAGCCGCTGGACATTGGGCTCCAGGTCCCATGAAAAGCCAGCCGAGGCCACGAGTCTTGGGAGGTGAGGTGACCAGGCCACCTCTCCCATCCTGCAGCCAGAAGAGCTCAGGACCAGAGATTCCGGATCTTTCTTTCCCAGTGGCTCCCAGAAATAAGCCTGTAGCATTCCACTTGTCCCTCAGGAGGGACCCAAGCCCCTGGGGGTGCTGGCAGGACAGGGGCTCCGAAGCCCTCCCGGCTCTGGTCTCCCAGGCCACTCAGCTCCAGGCCTGGGCTTGGGCTGGGCCGGTGGCTCCCATCCCCCCAGGATCTGATAGTCCAGTGGCTCACTCCTAACAAGAAAGGGCTGGCGGGTGTCCAGAGACGTTGCCATGGGGACAGGGAAAATGTTGGGGGTCAGGGCAGGGTGGAGGTGACAGCATCGCTGCCGGGCTGCGTCAGGATGCAGACCCGCCTCTGGTCCCCTGATCTGGGACAGGAAGCAGGCGGGCAGCCCCTTTGTCCCGCAAGCCAACCCCGGTGACTCAGTGGCGATTAAGCCCCGGGCCAACTCGGATGCCATTCAGCGGGGCCTCAGGTGGGGCCAGAAACGGCCAAATCTGGACAGCCTTGGGAGCTCTTCCAGCTCACTCAGTGCCCCCTCTGGGTGTCCAGAGCTCCTTGGCCAGGTCTGTGTATCTGGGCATCTCACGCGCTGTCTAGGGTGGGCTGTGTGCTCAGCAAGGGGCTTCCCAGGCGTGAGCCATGCATACAGCCAGCTGCCAGCCCCAGGTCTCCAGCTCCCCCGGGGGTCTCCAGCCCCGATCTTCCCCCGCCCCCGCTGAGGTCTCCCGGGCTCAGGCAGAGCTTGGTGGCTGTACCCCATCTGCATGATGAGGTCTCCAGCCCCCCAGGTCTCCCGGGCTCAGGTGGAGCTTGGTGGCTGTACCCCATCTGCATGTGAGGCGGCCGCACACATCCTGGTTCCTGTGCAACCCACCCCGCTGCCCGAGGGCCAGGAATCGTCTCCGGCCCAGCTGCGTCCAGCAGAGCCCCTGGCTCAGACCTGCAGGCCCTCAGAGCAGTGCCTTCGGACCACGCAGCTGGGCCCTGCCCCCTGTAGCCCTGCTCAGCCACACCTCCACCTTCCTCCCCTGCCCTGGGGATGGAGGACAACTCTACCTGGGGAGGGGAGGAGGGGCTGTGGCCCGCCCTCCCGCCCGTGGATTCCATGAGACTAGATCCCCTGCCAGAAGCCATCGTCCCGACTCACACAGCACCTGTGTCCCTGGGCCAGTCCATCCCTCTGTGCCCAGTCCTCTCCTGCGGGATACACAGCCCACCTCCTCTGTACCTCTATCCCCTCTCCTGCGGGACACACAGCCCGCCCCTCTGTACCTCTGTCCTCTCCTGCGGGACACACAGCCCGCCCCTCTGTACCTCTGTCCCCTCCTGCGGGACGCACAGCCGGCCCCTGTGTACCTCTGTCCCCTCCTGCGGGACACACAGCCCGCCCCTCTGTACCTCTGTCCCCTCCTGCGGGACGCACAGCCCGCCCCTCTGTACCTCTGTCCCCTCCTGCGGGATGCACTCCTGGTGCTGTGCTGTGAGGATGAGCAGACCATCCTGGGGCTGCCACGGGCCCCACAAGTGCTCATGTAGCCCTGCCTCCCTCCCAGGGGTCTCTCCCCGCCCTCCCCATGCAGGGCTTGGGCCAGTGAAGGGCTGGAACGTGTGCTTGGCCCCATCCCCGGCAGTCTGTCTGTTCTGTGACACATCTTCGCCCTGTGGCGCATGGAGCACCGCTCGTGTTCTGGTGTCAACGGCAATCACTTCCCCAAGGTGAGGGCATCCTCCTGAAGGACCCGGCTGTGTGGGAACACCAGAGGTCGGCGTCATGGGAAAGCTGCTGTCTGTGTGTCCGTCCCTACTAAGGGGCGAGCAGGAAATGAGCTGCGGCAGGGAGGGGGTCTCCTGTGGCTGCGGCCGGGCAGCCTGACCACGCTCACGATGCGTGGCCAATGTTGACAGAAGGGGCAGGCTTCGCTGTGCGTCAGGAACTTCCGTGATAGGAGGAGGGATCTTAAATTTCTCCTCTGCTTACTTAGGGGAGGGGACTGAGGGAGGGCATGCAGAGCCATCCTGCCCTGTCCAGAGGGCCCGACCGGATATGAGGACCTGCACCTGCCATCAGGAGAACAGGAACAGCGCAGATTTGACTTTGTGGTGTGGCTGCACTGATTTGGTGCATTCCTGTACTTATTTGCTTTCTCTGAGTCACAGAGCAAACAGAATTCCTCCCAAGATCGTCCAGGGAGCACGGAGCAGTCCTGAGCCCTCCTTCAGGGATCTGCCCATGCCCGGGCCTCTGTACCCCGTCGGCAGCAAGGCCCATGTGATGTCTTCAGAGCACGGTCTGTCCCGGCCCCACACAGCTGAGCCCCTCCTACCCCTCAGCCTACCCGGCAGGGCCCCTGCACCTCCAGGGCCAGCACAGCTCCTGGGCGTCCAACCTTCTCCTCCCAACCCCTGACCCCTTCCCCTCCTCCTTCAATCTCTGGCCCCAGGCAGCTTCACAGTGAACATGATCCTGGCCCCTCCCCCATCACCAGCCAAGCCTCTCCCCAGCTGAGAACTCCAGAGGTCTGGCCCACACTGTCCCCTCCGCTCCATTCCTCTCCTTGCCCTGGGCTGAGGGCCAGGCCAGGCTGCCCACCCTCCCTGGGCCACCTGCGCTCTGCCTCGGCAGGGCCGATGACCCGGCACGCACAGACACCTTCACTGGGCTCCCTGGCAGGCTGTTGGGGCCCCTGGGATTTCCACACAGAGAAGGCGTCCACAAAATGAGGCAGCACATTTGAAGGCGTATTTCTCAGTATAAAATTATACTCCTAAAAATTAGCGTACTGTTGGGTAGTGGTGGCTCACACTTGTCATCCTAGCTACTCAGGAGTCTGAGCTCTAAGGATCACGGTTCGAAGCGTACGTGAGTAGGAAAGTCTGTGAGACTCTTTTCTTTAAAGTTGCTACTATGCAGGTGATCACAGGGGGTTCCAGTTACATGAGTCAGGTAAAGAGTGCACCTCTGTTTGGACAGGGTCACCTCTCCCCGCACTCTCTCCAAGTTGTTCCCTCCGGCCCCCTGCACAAGCTGCAGAGTTCGTTTTCAACACAGCGTCTAGTGAGGACCATGGCTGCATTTGTTCCCTCAGTCCCTCCATTTCTATGCCCTCACCTTCCCAAAGACAGGTAAGTGAACAAGCCAGACAAG